TATAGCATCACTTGTATTCATGACACTTTTTATGAGGAAAGTGAAGAAGGTCAAAGTGGAAATAATTCTTTTTTTTTCTTGATAAAAATAACTTTCATCACAAAAATAATTATTTTAATAATCGTCTCAAAGGAAAATAATCAAATAACAACAACAGAGGATTACAAAAAGATTACTTTACAAAATTTTCATACCAAGTCTCTCTATTTCCTTGTATGCCTGAGATGGCAAGCCACCATTACAGCCTTCATCAACCTTGTCACAGTCTACAAGCTCTGAAAATATACGAACATAGCTCTGTTACAGTCTAACAGCTTCAGCAGAATAGGCAAATAGTTTGGTTACAGTCTTACAGCTTTACTTGTAAAGGAAAATAGTTCTGTCACAGTCTTACAGGAAAATAGCTCGGAAATAGGAACATCACAATAAACACAGGATAATAGTTTTATCAGAGTCTAAAAATATAGGAAAATTTCACAGTCTTTCAGATCTTGAGATAAAGGAGAATTAAGCTTTAGAAATAAAGAATAGCTTTGTCATATTCTTACAAACAACTCTGAAAACATAGGTAAGTAATTTTACCACAGTCAAATCAGAAAATACTAAACACTATTTTACATCATAACAAATTACAGTCTAAATGACACAAAAACCAAAGTACAAAAATTGATGAACCTTGGCCAATCCACTCAACTAATTGTTTATAGAAAATGTACAATGAGTGGTATAGTTTAGTGACAGGGGTTAATATCCAAATAATCAAGAAGTTACATAAAACATATAATAAAGGTTCAGAGTAACTAGTCTTTGTGAATGCAACTGTTGCACTAAATGTTTACAAAATTAAGAAATATTCTAATTTGACTACATAAGACATAACTTTTTTGAATAACAAGATCATTGTATAGTTTAAGAGACCTACATATAATTATGCATCATAATAGTCATACTTGTGTAGGCAACCAACAAAGAATTACTCCTATGAAGTTTTATCATGCAACTGGTATGTTGTTACAGTTAGGTATATTGTTTAACTCTTAGCTTGCTACACTCCCACCCCTACCCACCCTACTCCCTCAAAGCTATCTGTGGTTAACAACACAAAATAAACTTTATTATACAATATGCTTTATGAATGTACATACTAGTATTCTATCAAACAGAACAATAATAAGGAAATTAAAACATAATACAGGAAGTTAGACATTGTAAATTTACTAATAATATGAATGTATCACTTATCATAAAACAGATCATGACAAAAACAAATCTTCATTCTCCATTTTTAGTGCTTATTTCAAAATTATTCATTTCCTTTAATGGCAATATTCAATAAAATCAGTAAATTCTGGACTCTGAACTGCCACTTTAACCTATTTTTCCAACAATAACTACATTGTTCCGTACTTACTCATCTTTAAGACAGGACCTTAATTTTAAATTGCTTTGATTTCTGTATATGACGAGCTGAATAAATGAATTTCTTTCATGCATGTCAAAAAAATTCCTTGCGTAGTTACTAGTCTTTTGTTAAAGACTTATGGAACATTTGAATTAGAGATAGAAGACACATGAATCCTTATCCGACTGTATTTACTTAGTGGACTTGTCCAATTTCCATTTTTAGACAGTTGATTATCAATTTTAGGGATGTCTAGATGGAAATTCGAAACTTAGTTTGCTAACACAGTAACAGCTTTGCAAGCCTGCAAAGATTTTGCAGCTTTAGTTTCAGCTGTTTATCAGCTATAGACAATTTACCACCCTGGCTGAGTGGTAAATGTATCGGACTAGTAAATCTATAGATTGCTGGCTATGTGGGTTTAAACTCTGAAAGGGGCGAGGCATTATATCCTTGAGCAAGAAACTTTACACTCATTACTTGGTACTAGTTGTCAGATTCCAGGAACAGTGTGTCTATAAGCTAATATAGCTTCCTACTCAATCAAACTATAAATAAATGTTGTACACTAGTAAACGAAATACTCTTTGAACTGTTTGTAAAAGTTATGACAGTAATGTAATAATCCCTCAAAATGCCTTTACCATATTTAACTATAAAAAATTCTTGCAGAATGAAATGTGTAGGCTGCCCTCCAATGTTTGAACAAACGATCTGGATATGATGACCTTAAATTCTCCCTAATGTATGGGCTTGGATATTAGATTTCTTGTTTGCAAATTAGGAAGTCTGGAATGATTTTAGGACACAAGCAAAATGATTTATCAGCACATATTAATTTGCTTCTCCTCTAGATGTCACATGAGGAATTTCTACAATTTTGCAACAACCAAAAAGAGGAAAAAAGAGAGAGCAAAAAAACCCTTCCATTTCAAAATGTTAGGTTAACAAATATGTGCAAAAAGAGACCAAGATCGTTGGCTGACACTGTCATCAACAGACTTTCTGACCTGAGAAAATAACAAATGTTACAGATAACATTTTAAGGAATTCCAATTATTCAAGATATCTAAAACAAAATCTCTCTTATTTGCTGACTGTGTGAGAAAATGGCAAGCCTATGCACCTTTTTAAGATAAAATTGTCATTTTTGCTACATGATTTTTTTTTCACACGTGACCTCAGAGGTCATGACCTCTGATGAACTCTTCAATAAGGAAGTTTGAGATAGTGCCTTATCTGGATGACATCATATTCTGTAACACTATCAGATGTGGTTTATGAATTTCAACTCCATTGATGAGCTCATGTATTAAATATAGCACAAACGAAAATACTAAGAAATTTAAATATTATTCATATAGAAGAAGAAAAAAACTTTCATGGAAAAGTATTAAGCCTTTAACATGTGTTAAATTAATGTATGCATACACCAAACAGAATGGCTGATTTTTTTATAATATATTTTCCTGTTAATCATATCAAATTTTATTACTAGTTTTGTTAACTTCCTGTGTGAATGTTAGTATGTCAGAAATAAAAGTCTCTATATTTTATGTCTTTAAAATATTGTATGTCTGTATCTATAAAATATTTATGTCTCTAAAATATTGTATCACACTAAAACATTATATGTCTCTAACATATTGTTTGTCTCTAAAGTATTGTATGTCTCTAACAAATTGTATGTCTCTAATGTATGTCTCTTATTTCATTGAATAAAATAATCTTAACCAACTAAATAAATCTCAAATAGCTTTGCTATATTTACAAAATCTAAGTTACATGACTAGTTTATTTAGATCTCAAATTAAATGAAGACATCTCACTTACTTATTGGTAAATTGCTATCATGACATTGCATAAATTCTCAAGAACAGAGCAAAAAATTCCCTGATATGACATGTTAATTTCATTTCCTCCTGCTATGTGCTTTCAGATAGCATGGTGTGATTACAAACAAGAGTTCATAGACAAACATTATGCTCAACAATTCTATGTCTAAATAGTAAAACAACTGACATGACAAGTTAGAAAAAGGGGATCAATTCTATGAAAATCCATGCTTGAGTTATGGGTCTTGATCAGTGACCTAGAGGTTTGTCTCTGGAGACAGGTTTCAAAACAGCCAGTGGCTAGGGAGATGGAACTTGCATATAAAACCTTAACAAAGTTAGGAAGTTCACAAAGGGATATAATACAGTCAAAATACAAGCTACATGTAAGTCCTAGAAAGTGACCTCCATTTATAATCTTGAATACATGTGTAAGGTTTCCAAAGAACATTTTTAATAATGAGACTAAGGCAATATTGAGTTGTTTTTAAAAAAAATACCAAATTGCATCACCAACAACAAGTAAAATAGCCCCACTATATTTCGACAGTCGGGCCAGGTCCAACGTCTCTAAACCTGAACAACTATTGCAAAAAAATACTTTAAGTGATGCCTTTACTTAACTGAAAAACTGGCTGTGGGAAAAAAACAATGAACTGAATAAGGATTCCAAAAGCCAAAACAAGCCTATCACTATAATATGATAAACATGTTTTGCTACATCTTAACCAAGCCTATTTTGATGACATTTTGCCCAAATTTTGTAAACAACTCATCTGCTCGACCTTAATTAATTAAGTCACATTCAGAAGAAACATGATAAGCTTATCAGTATCATTCTATAAGGACAACAACTGACACCTATACAGGACAAAAACTGACAGATGTAAGAAGAAATAGGTGAATGAGGTGACACTGTTCCATGCCATGATCACATGAATTCTAAATCATGGCTCCACACTCCCCATGGTGAGAGACATTCTCCAAGATCCACATTTTCATTGCTTTAAAGAACACAGCCAGTCTATGGAAGTTATGCAGCTCTGTAATACTTCTGGAGAATACCAAGGACTATGACTTACTGCAATCTGGACATATTCAGTGTTATTTGGTGCCTCTTTGTGCAGGATACACAAATACAATCTTACCTTGCTCTGATAGAGATATCAGATTCTTCTTTTTGATGGCCCACTGCCCCTCAATATTACCAGTGGTGGAGAAAGCCCAACAACTTCCACAACTTCCCTGAAATATAACAGGAAGAGTTCTTAATATTTAACCAACTACCTTCATTTTTTTATTATTTTTTTTTTACATTCATAGCTTTCGATACATTTATGAAATATATACTACAACTGTTATTTATTACTATTTCCCTTGCTTTTTATGTCTAGATAATACTATTAAGGTCATAAAACAACACCAGTCATGGATGATTGTAAATAATTTCCTCGACATTACTTCAGTCAAAAAAGAAACTCTGGCAAAATCACATATTAACTTGATTAATCGAGTATCTCTACATGACATACTTCAACATCAACATCCCTTACAGAATTAAAACCCATACTGATGGGATGGGAGAGAGGTGTTTAAAATGGTATAATGATTCAAAGTAAATTACATTGACAACTAGCAAAGGAGAAAACAAAGTGTAATACCTGGTTTTTGACAGGTGTGACAGCATTATGTTCTCTCCAATCAAAGGAATCTGGGGCTTGACCTTTGGGTATGGCAGCTTTCTTCATTCCCTCACTGGCGGTGATGTCCCACCTCTTTCCTACATACTGCTGAAACTCATCCTCTAGAACAAGTACATGTAAGTAAATGAAAACATCAGCTTACATCAATTTCAAACTACATTTGAACATCAACATTCGAATCTATGCTTATGGGTATAACTACAAGCACAAACCTCACTAACTAGTGTAATTTGAAAATACACAATAAATACTTCATATAGGCTAGCTACTTTTTAATGCAGTATTTCGTTATTCAACCAGAGTTAATGAAATACATATGTACAAATGTTATTTCTTTTGAGAAATTATCTACCAACAGTACCAACAACATGTATTTCCCACAACACATTAGAGTGCTATTTCAACCAAGCTAAAAATACTAGTGTTTAAAATTCTTCTTATATGCTTTCGAAAAAAATGAATAATAATACTTGTACCAGGACTATCAATTTTTTTCGGGGGGGGGGGGGGGGGGGGGAAGGGTGGGGGGGGGGGGGGTAAGGCGTTAAGTTGCAAAAAAACAGTAGAGGTCATATGGCCGCTTTCCAGCTTTACTGGTGGGGGAAGACTTCAGCTGCACATTTTTCAGGCACAAAAAGGCACCTGAGTAGAACCACTGAAATTCCATAAGCTAGCTGGAATCAATTTTTATCATTACTGGTTTGTAAGCATTTCAACTGAACATCTTGCAAATTATTTCTTTCATACAGGCTTAAGTTTCTAACTTACTTGTAAGATCAGCAAATTTAGTAGCTCCATAGATAGCTGTGCCTTTCTCTGTCTGTTGAATCTTCCTAGCCATTCTCATGTTGATACAGAATTGTTCAAAACGTTTCTCTTCCTCTACAAAACAATATGCAAATTGCTGTTTTTATTTGAGATACATTTTAGATGGTCCCTGGACAGCTTTAAGGTGTGTATACTGTGACTAGGCTGTAAAATACAGGCTTCTAAATTTTAAGTGTTTTGACATAAACCTGACTTTATAGTCAAGTCTGTTTATGGGCTTAACATCTTATTTGATTTTGGTAAGTAGTCAATTTCAATAATACATTTATACATGTATAATCAGTGAAATACAAAATATCTGGTATTATTTACTATCTTCAGAATCAGAATCATTAACCATCAAAAGAAATAACAACAATGGCACTATATTTTATCAGACTTCATTTTAAGATTTCAGCTACTTTTTTTTTAATTGAAATAATTTTACTCACAGCGCAACATTAAAAAGAACAATATAGCTAGGTGGAAAAGTTATCCATCTTATATACAATGTGTAAGCAAATATCTCAGTAGTAATACCTTTTTGACTTCCATATAGCTTGTTGAATTTAGCCTTGAACTCCTTAAACATGCCTATATGACAGTAATCATGGTCATCTCCTCCTAAAAGCTTCTTGTTCTTGCTTCCATGAAATTTCAAATCATGGTCATCCCCTCCAAGAATCTTTTGTCCATGTTTTATCTGGTCATGACCATCTCCACCAATCAACTTCTTTCCATGAGGTACTAAATCGTGGTCATCTCCACCAATCAAATTATTTCCATGGGGTACTAAATCATGGTCATCTCCACCAATCAGTTTCTTTCCATGGGGTACTAAATCATGGTCATCTCCACCAATCAGTTTCTTTCCATGTGGTATTAAATCATGGTCATCTCCACCAATCAATTTCTTTCCATGGGGTACTAAATCATGGTCATCTCCACCAATCAACTTCTTTCCATGGGGTACTAAATCATGGTCATCTCCACCAATCAACTTCTTTCCATGGGGTACTAAATCATGGTCATCTCCACCTATCAATTTCTCTCCGTGGGCAATCAAATCATGGCCATCTCCACCAAGCAATTTCTTTCCATGGGCAATCAAATCATGACCATCCCCTCCGAGGATTTCACCAGCATGCTTTATCATATCATGTCCATCTTGACCTAACATGTCCTTAACATGGTTCACCAAATCATGATTGTCACCTCCTCCAAGCAAGGCTTTTCCCTGCTCTAAAATGTTATCTAATTCTTCAGAATTTCCGTATGATTTTATTTTGTCAAGCTTTTCAATTAGGAAATTTACGTTCCGCTTCTTTCTCAAGAGATTGACAACAGGTAGATTATCACCTTTCTGCAGAAGCTTGCCTTTCATTATTGTGTTCTTGGCACTGCCTAGCATACCTCCAGTGGCTGTTGTTATCTTGCTCTTTGCAATACTAACAGGTTTTAGATCTAGGTTCAAATCATTGTCTAATTGATTATCTGTAGCTAGTTCCTGAAAAGTAGAAGGTGAGCATTAGTTTAGAATACCTACTTAAGAGGAACACCAACAGAGATTGGTGCATGGTAAATTGTTAGTGTATCATGACAAGACCTCTGATGTACAGTCAAATCTGTAATGTCAAGACCTTATCATAATGGAAACATACAAAATTTTGCAGAAAAAAGTTTTCTCAAAATAGGAAAGTTTACAATGTAACCTGCCTATATTATGGAAGAATAAATCTGGCCTTTATAAACAGTTATTTTCTCTATGTGGTTTTTATTTTGAGGGAACCTTGAGCACAGGTTTGTAAGTGTTATGGTATGTACATAAAAGTTTCAAGTTAAAGACACAAGTAAAAACCTATTTTTTACATCACATGTTAAGACCAGGTTAACTTTATAACATACTGCTTTACATTACTATCTATTATAGTTGATCTACAATTTCACCTTAAATGAATGAGCTTTGTTTTGCTATCATTAAATGATAATTCTAACACTCCTTGTGACTTTGTTACTATTCATAAAGAAGATAACCGGTGTTAAACTGCCAGTAAACACTGGTTAGGGAAAACATGTGTATGTTGTTTTGATCCAAAAAATTAACCACTCAGGCCTACAGCTTTCATGGTCAATTCCAACACATCAAAACTCCAAACTTGCACTAAATACCCAAAAAACACCACTCAGCTAAAATCAAAGCTTAAAATGAATACATTTAAACTTGTCAAACTCAGACATCTGAAACAAAAAATTCCCTTTTAAATGATGCATGGTATCTTCAAATAAATTATCTGCAGTGCTTTACAAGAGTCATGCAGACATTAGTACATGGGAATATTTCAGTTTTGGCCAATAATCTACAGAACTTAGTGAAGTTTCAAGGTATGTCAGGTTTCAATGGTTTTCCAGATATATTTTCCACCAGGAATTTATTACATTTAACACAAGGAATTTATTCAGTAAAAATCCATTTTACAGTTACTTGTCCTGGTTAGTGAGTGAAGTTTCATGTGAGAAATTGTTGTAGTAACACAAGAGTGAAACTCCATGCAAAGCTTTAACTCAAATTTTACTCAAAAGCTTGTGCTTCCAGGTTTACTATTTTTATTGAAACCCGCTACCCATGGATGGTAGAAATTAGTTCAAGGCCCATAAAATTTCTCCATGTCACGAGCCCTTATGGCCTGAGACAAAATAGCAGACTTCTGAAAATGAAATTTCTGAATTTCACATTGAACTATTCATTTATTGTTCATAAAAGGAATAAAAATTTCATCATAACTGTACTTATTATCATTCTTGATTTTTCTGTTTAACATTTGGGGGCTTGTGAAAACGTTTTCAGGCTAGTAGATATTACCACCCATTGTCAAAATTACTTGTGATTTTCCTGGGGCAGTGGCCCTAAATATGTTGACTGTATGCTGAGCATATAAAATTGAACAGCCAAATAAAAAAATGGTGACATGCAGTAATACATTTTCAATGTGTGATAATTTCATTTTTTCTGTACTTTGTGAGGTTAACCTAGTTTACAAGCATATTATCTCTCTAATTGCACTGTACATGTATATGTATTACTGCTTACAGATAATGGAAATCAGATCATTGTTTAAAGTTTGTCTAATTTTAGTTTACAGTTTTACATGATTGTATGTATCACGCAAAAAGTAGATGACATCTTTAACCATATAGCACTTATATATGTCAAGTAGCTAGGCTCTAATGTTTTGCATTCATGACAAATGCAGGGACAATAACCATTTTAGATAAGACTTCAATTAATTTCATCTTGAGTTATATCCAAAGTATAAATATCACAAAGAATTTTTCCAGCTTTACAGATTAATAAAAACCAAATAAGCTTTTCCATGCATTATTTTATCTGACAAGAACCAGAAAAGTAAGTAAAAGTAGGTGTATAGCTTTTTAAAAGAAAAGGTGCCAACTTGCAACAGTTTTTTTTAAAAGGCCTGGAGTATTGATTCAAGTCGTTTATCAGCTTATATAGGTCCTATGGTAGAATATTATTTTAAGTCACATGATGAAAAATCTCAAAAAGCCATAAAAAAGAATTCAGAACCCACTAGGCCTCTCATTTTTACACTGCCTAAATTTTCAAGAGTGGAAGTTTTGGTACCAACAATTCCTTATGACCTTTAAAGCTACATTAAATAAATATATAAAAATATTTTTGCCGTCGGCCTAAAAACCAAGCATTCTACAGTTTCATTAACCTTTTTAACAGTATTGTTGTAAATCTCATCAAATATTGTTCATAAATTAGGATTTTAAATGAAAAACCCCACAGTAATACCAAAGTTTGTATACAAATTTTAACATGCAAATGAAGAATATTAAATTTGTATAGTGTAAGAGAGATATAAAGCAATGCAGTGATTCTTACACTGAAACCTCTAAAATTTACAACTTGTTTATACAGAACTTATTTTTAGTTTTTTTTTGCGTAGAAAGCTTATAGCTTATAGACACACTCTTGAATCTGTTCCTGGAACCAACAAGAACTGAGCAACGACTGCAAAGTTTCACGGTCAAGGAAACAATGGCTGGCCCCTGACAGGGTTTGAACCCATGTGGCTAGCCTTCCTTAGAGATTACTTGTCAGATGCGTTAACATCTTGTCCATGCCGCTAATCATCAAAGAACAGTTTTAAATTCAAAACAAAATGAGTCCATTACATGGATATAGCATTGTTAGGTTTAATGAGCCTGGTTATAATTCAAATGTTGTAGTTACAGTACATGATTGTAGGTAGTCTCACTTAGAAGTTGATACATGAATTATCTATACATTATGACTCAGCGAAAAAAAATTAACATCATATGATAGTCTTAAAATATCTTTTAATGTCAATAAACAAACATGTATCAAACATTGTATGTAAATAGATCTAGTAGTGCATAGCTAACCACATACATACACTATGCACTTAACTACTTGAAAAGCTCTGTATTATATACTGTTTTTATATAAATGATAGTTTCAATAATATAGTTGTACCAATTTTAATATGCACTGTTAGTAAAATATTAACTTTACTTATCATTAATTAGATATAAAAGAGAATGATATTTACATGACCTGCACTGGCGTTTAAATCATTTATACATGAAATTCACATCTAAATCCATGTCCATGGTTTGATACTTAAATCTATGTTGGCCTTTACTTTATAGAGTTTGATACCTAAATCTATGCTGGCCTTTATTTGATATTTATAAAGTTTGATACCAAAATCCATGCTGGCCTTTATTTTATCAAATTTGATACCTAAATTTATGCTGGCCTTTATTTTATAGTTATAGAGTTTGATACCTAAATCCATGCTGGCCTTTATTTTATCAAATTTGATACCTAAATTTGTGCTGGCCTTTATTTTATATTTATAAAGTCTGATACCAAAATCCATGCTGGCCTTTATTTTATAGAGTTTGATACCTAAATCCATGCTGGCCTTTATTTTATCGAGTTTGATACCTAAATCCATACTGGCCTTTATTTTATAGAGTTTGATACCTAAATTTATGCTGGCCTTTATTTTATATTTATAAAGTTTGATGCCAAAATCCATGCTGGCCTTTATTTCATCCAGTTTGATACCTAATTCCATGCTGGACTTTATTTCATCCAGTTTTTGATACCTAAATCCATGCTGGCCTTTATTTCATCCAGTTTGATACTAATCCATGCTGGCCTTTATTTTATAGAGTTTGATACCTAAATCCATGCTGGCCTTTATTCATCCAGTTTGATACCTAAATCCATGCTGGCCTTTATTTTATCGAGTTTGATACTACATCTATGCTGGTCTTTATTTTATAGAGTTTGATACCTAAATCCATGCTGGCCTTTATTTTATAGAGTTTGATACCTAAATCTTTGCTGGCCTTTATTTTATAGAGTTTGATACCTAAATCTATGCTGGCCTTAATTTTCTCAAGTTTGATACCTAAATCTATGCTGGCCTTTATTTTATAGACTTTGATACCTAAATCTATGCTGGCCTTTATTTTATCCAGTTCGATACCTAAATCTATGCTGGCCTTTATTTTATAGAGTTTGATACCTAAATCTATGCTGGCCTTTATTTTATAGAGTTTGATACCTAAATCTATGCTGGCCTTTATTTTATAGATTTTGATACCTAAATCTATGCTGGCCTTTATTTTATAGAGTTTGATACCTAAACCTCAGTGGCCTTTATTTTATAGACTTTGTTACCTATATTCATGCTGGCCTTTATTTTATAGAGTTTGATACTAAATCTATGCTGGCCTTTATTTTATAGACTTTGTTACCTTTAACCAAGCTGGCCTTTATTTTATCGAGTTTGATTTCTAAATCTATGCTGACCTTTTAATTACTGCATATGATACCAGAATCTTATTACAAATGTGTCTAAATCCATGCTGGCCTTTTAATTTATATCTTTGTTCACCTTTGAATTATAGCATTAATTTAAATATCTAAATCCCTGTTGGCCTTTATAGTTTAACATTTGATGTCTTAATTCTTTTTGGCCTTTATATTATATAATTTGATACCTAAATCCTTGTTTGCCTTTATATTACAGCATTTGATGTAAACACATTTTTTGGTTTTAATTTAAATGGAAAACCATTCTTGGGATTTTAAATTATAGCATTAGATAATTTAGATATATAATTCATGTTGGCATTTAATTTTTATCATGCTTGGTTGAAAATTAAAATTTTTACATTGGATATCTATAAAAATCCTACTATTTAATACAATTATGCTGTTTGACTTTTTACTATAGCATTTGATATTAAAATCTCTTAAATTAAACAATATAAACATCTCCAAAATTTAAACAGGGCCTGTATTTGAAGGGTTCACTGTCTATGCCACAGAAAAGATCACAGATGGTAAGAATTGTGGTAAATGTTGACAAACCTAGGTCTATAACTGATTGTATTCATCAAACAAGGTATCTGACGAAATACTTAACTGGGAACTTAACATTTGCTTATCTTTATTGTAACATTGAAAGGTCAAAATGTGGCCTTATCAGAACCTTTAAAGGTCCTTCGAAATTCAAATAATTGTGTATGCTTAGGTGTTCATAGGTTATACACTGATATATTCCTATTATTTCTTAAATATCAACCATTATCAAAGTAACTGAATTGAATGTCAAGATGGCAAGAAAAAATCTTCAGAAAAAAAAAAGTCAAACAATTTTGTAAGGTTTATGCACGAATAACATACTGCATGTTTTTTTTTATTAATACCTCCATCTTATTATCAGAAAAAAGACAAACTGCCAACCATTTTGCATACATATGTCCCCTTTTGTAAAATATTCATGAACTTTATGCTTGGATCAATTGGTAATTATTTACAAGTGATAATTGACTTTGATTTTATGGGTATTTATAGTCTAGGCTAGAATGCCAGATTTTTTATGGACGTTTATGTCCACAGAATATCAATACCAATCTCTAAGTAAATATTGAAATGACATATGACATATGTTCTGCAGTAGAAAGAAAATTAATTAAGCTATAATTTAATAACCTAATCCTAGCCTGTTTTTACACATTATGCAGCATATAACACAACTGGACTAACAAATTCTAATTCTAGTGCAAGATATCTTGTTAAAAACTGTATAATTATCACAAAATATTCCATATCTACATATTTTTTGCTATCCAAAGATCAAGATAAATCTTCTAAAAGAGATGGGGTGTACCAACAACTTATTTAGTTCTAACCTAACACTGTTAAATTTCTCTTTCCAAACTAGATTGTCTTTAAAATTTCAAAACTGTCAATTTTCTAAAGAATTAAAGTCAAAATGTTAACATTTAAGCAGCTTACAATATAGAACTTGGCCCAACTGCGTGGATATTCATGCTAGCTTACTGGCGGAATGATGCTACAGGCAAGTGGTAAAAGCCATTAACATTAGTAATAGTGAGCATAAATTATGCAAGCTGGGACTTTTTCTTCAAATAATGTTATTCATTATATATTCACTACACCTATGTCATTTGAAATTGACAATTTCACATTTCGAAGATTGCCTTTTTTCTCTTTTTTTCTCAACATTTTCTCATATATTTCAAAAGAGATGCACTAGTAAGCAGTGTTTTGATCTTTACATAGCAGGATACATTTTCTTTGAACATTGTCCTAACATGATTGAGCACTCTAAATGCAGTCATGCTCCTTGTTAATATCTCAAAAGTCACTGAATTTTATTATAATCGGACTAATACTGATGTAACAAAACTGAAGATGAACAAAACTATCATTTTGATCCATTTTGTATTAATGTACCAGCTTTATTCATAACAAAAATATTTGTTTTCTACATGTTATTATATTTTTGCTGCTAAACATCATAATGTGTTTTGCACGTTTTATGCGTGTTCCATTATAACCTCGCTTACGGTAATTTTATCATGTTATGCACTGATGAAGGAAGGCATCAAGCTGAAACATCTGCAATAAATTATTACTTAATGTTTGTGTTTGTATGGCTTATTTGTTAATTTCATAACTTTCACACTCACAGTACGTTCGTTTGAAGAAGAGAAAAGAAATGAAACTCCAATATCTCACAACATTTTTTTTTATTCATGCAAAAGAGAAACATGCAAAATACATCTACAGAAACTATACAAAAATTAGATCACAACAGAAAAAGGTGGGTAAATCAAATGTTAGTAAATACAGCAAGCCACGTGTTAGTAAATGATTGGTGGGTTAGTTGATATAGGTGCAATCATCATGTTTCCATTGTGCACATGGCATACTGCTCAATTCACCTGTGTATACATAACATGTTTATATAAAATGCATGAATATATAAATATAGGGGTTAATCTTTAACTCAGAAATTCAAAAACAAAACTATCAGTAACATCATAGGATTTCTCTATGACAAAGCTTAAAACATTGCCAAACTAAATGGCCAGGTGGGAGCCTGGTAGCTCAGGTCCTGTTGCTGAATGGACATCCCTGACCAGTTCCTTGGTCTGAGTGTTTGTTTTAATGAAATTAGCTCAGTGACACTTGACTTTCTAAGTCTGAGCCTTGAAAAATTTGAGTTTGATCCTTAAAAATTAAATGTGATGAGTTGTAAACCCTTGTGTTTCACAGCCTTTCAAACACCCTAGCTTAACAAGAGAAAATATTAATTCATGAGCTTACCATATCTACACTTGAGAAGGAGAGATCACCAGCAAGGCTCCTGTAACAGTGAGCAGTCCAGGTATTCTGAAATAAACAATCAAAATTTTGATGATAAAAAGCTCTAAAACTAATGATTTGGGCGAAAATTGTGGTCAAAGTATACAAAATACTAGCCCTTACTTTTTTAGTCATACAGTAGAAATAAGATGTACTGCAAAATCAGTCATTAACCAGACATAACATGCAAACTGTAACTTAAATCTTGAATCATTTTACTATTACAGTTTTCTCATGTTGAATTTTCTTGAAATATTCCATCAGCTAAAGGCATGCAGTTTTAAAAGTGGTAGACTAAACCACATCATATCACTGCATGCAGTCTCAAGTTGCAAAGTTTAATAGTAACATACTGTAAAATCATTAAAATCGTGGGCCACTAATTTATATGGTTTTCAATCCACGACTTAAAAAAATTCCCAAAATTGTCCTTTTTGACAAAACAATGAATTTTATGCCCATAAAAATTAATTGAATACACAGTATATCCACTACATAATAAATAGAATAAGTTGATTTTATATGATACTCAGATTCCAAACTGCTTTTTTTCTACTGAATGGTCAATAGTAAGTCCAAGAAATTTTGCTTATGAAGACTGTAATCTAGAAACCAACAGTTTCGAGACTGGACACTGTGGACATACTGTAAAACTGTGCAAGAAGGCTTGGTAATAATTACAAAAGTATTATGCTGTATTGGTAGTACCTGTCATTAACTAAGCTTGAAAGGTAAATACATTGTATATGTACTTTAGTCTTTACTACTTACTTGTGTCATCATGCTGTTGGCATTTACTGGGCAATCTCCAGCCATCATACCCATCTTCTCTGCAGAATTCATACAGGTTGATGGACCTGTTTGGAAGGTCACAGCGTAGTTCATTCCAGCAACAACCTGTTAAAGAAAACACAAAGAAAAACTAATCGTAAAATTTGGACACAAGGCTGCTTTTACCAGTTTATCACACATTTTAAATTTTACAGTGAAATTATACAAATATAATTTCACTGTAACCTATCTGTATTTAAATGCAGAAGAATAACATATCAATGTATATATCATAAATCTGTAGATAATGTAAGCAGAAAAACATTTCATTGTAAGTAAAATATACATGATTATTGCAAGCACTTATAAATACCTGTATTAACACACTTCTGACAGTCACATTACAAAGTAACAAAAATCTACATAATCAAATCATAAAGTCACATATTACACAGAGTTTAATTTAAACACAATTTTATTTCTCTTCACCCCTCACCCTCCTGATTTTCCTCGCCTATTGATATTCTTAAATATCAACATATAAAATGAAAAGTTTTACCTGCTGTTTGGCGGAGACAATATTTGTCTGAACCAGTCTGAACATGCTGTTTGACATCTGGTTCACTTTATCCAGGGACATACCCAGACACTTTTGTACCATTGGGTCATTGACATCAACATCGTTGTAGCCACCTAACAACTGACGTTTATTAGATGCTGTGCAGGTATTTTTGTTGATTTGCAATGTTTGGGTCCATACTTGGCTGAAGACGATAATTTCACATGTGCCCTAGTGTAGAAAGAAACAAGTTATTTCCTTTAATCGATATACATGTATATAACATTGATTCATATAATTCAAAAACACCCTGAAAAATTTAGGCGCTGTAACATAAAACGTCCATATGGTCTTAAAATATTGAATGAAATAATGATTAAAGTAATTATGAAATGCTGTTAGTTAAAAATTATTTATTTAAGCTTGATTACAAAACAAGTTCTTGCAACTTATATTAATCACTTTCGAGTCTGCTTCCTGGAACCAACCAGTACTGGTCGTGACGGATTAGGGCTCGAACCCATGATCCACCGGTTGAGAGGCAGACACCTTAACCACTAGGCCGCCACCCCTACATACAAAATTTTACATGGCACAACTGTGAAACCAAAGTTTCATTATTTTCTTTTACTTTAAGTATTTATTTCCTTCCACAAAAAACTCAAGTAACTGGGATTGTACCCTTAAATATTTACATGAACAGTTAACCTAACACTAACAAAGTTTAACACACCTGTGAACTAGTAATTGTGTACTTGATGTTAAGTCCAGCAACAACCTGTAACATAATGAAATGAAAATAATGTGATAAAATTAAACAAAGTAAGAATGAACAAACAGGTAACCAGGGGACTGGCATATACAAGAATCTGGCCTCGTATTCACAAAGATTTAAGGATCAAGATCAGGATCAAATTTAAAAACTCGAATTTTCTCCATTGTTTATCCTCATAGATTAAATATCTTATATCAACTTGATTAAACTGGACTTGAAATGTCATGTTTATGCAATTTTAGAATAAATTTATTGTTATTATTGCAAAATATGGGCAATTTACAGTTGAACCAAATATTGATCCTAAAATTGATCCTTATTTTGATACAACTATTTTTGTATTTGTTGATTTTATCCCAAAATAGGTTGGTTTCTTGGCAAATCAGTAATGTTTTTACATCTTGAATATGTATCCTTTAATTCCAGCAAAATATGATCAATTTAAGTTTTGATCCTGATCTTTTCTTAGTGAACACAAGGCCTGATTAATATCTGAACATTTTCAGGTCTAATAGACAATAGAATATTGATAATATTGATGATAATGCTGCTGACAATGTCAACAATTAGTCTACAAAGGTATTCCAAAACAAAGAATCTTTGTAGATCACATTTTGATTTGTAACAAACAAAAAAACAGACATTTTAGAGCTACTTATAGCCACTGGTGTGGAAAATCTTTTTACAACCATTTCATAATCTTTTATTTTATTTCCTAGAAAAAGAAACCTTTTCCCATTTTGTGTGATAGCCAGTTTCATATTATAAACACACATTCAAGAAAAAAGTGTCATCTGTCCGCAAAGTATTCTATCTATAATTATTACTCTTTAGGCATAAGTAAAATTTAAAGTATATACTTTCAGTGACTACTTACACATGAATTTACAATGCTAAGCCTTTATCAAGTTTTGATTCATCATAAAGTTGAGCAAGATGGTCCATTATCTTTTTTATCAGTTGAGCTAATGAAACTATCTTAACATGAAATTACCTGACTTTCAATTTTCTGGATAGTATATTGTTGGTTAGTTCCAACTAAGCTGGTAAGCTTTAGTTTATAGTCCTCTAAAAGCTTTGGATCTGTTACCACCGAGTAACCACCGGCCATGAACCCCCCTCCAAGCTGACGCACAGCTTTTGGGGCACAAGTGTTGTCTGTAACTTTTTGTGTATGAGTCCAAACTTGGCTGAAGATTGTCACGGAACATGTCTAAAATAGAAAAATAAAAACGATTACCACAGACTGTGTTGCAAATGTTACTCAAGCAATAGCCTTGACATTGCAGTTTGCTTGCATGTAACTTTCAAAATTATCAAGATAAGAAAATAGTTATAACGTTAAATTTACTGTTAAGTTACAAATTCTTAAGCACTTGCATTTTCTAATTTTCTCTCTCACCCAATAATTTAACTTGGTTTTAAACAGTTTAGAACCTTTACTTTGCTTTCTTTCTAGGTTAATTAACTTATGGCTTTTTGACAAAAGTAACCAATGACTCAGCGCCAAAGACCCCTGTAAAAGTTAAAGGTCCAACGTCTTTCGCAGAAGAAACTCTTGCTATACAGTAATTACATTGAACAACAAATGTTTACTGTTTCCACAGACGTTTTGGCATCTATTTCATTAAATTACACACTGTCAGCATATAAAATATACAAGTTTACTTTGCATAAAGTATTATCAAGAATAAATACTTACACCAGTTGCTGTGTGGAGAGTGTATTTTACATTGACACCAGCAACAACCTAAAATAAAGAATAATTTACAAACATTTTTTTGTGGAACCATAACTTTTAAAAAATACAAGAACATCTAACAATAATGAACATTCTTACCTGATTTCATTATTAAATTTCAAGATATCAGTTACTTACAAACATGAAAACAGGGAAGTTTTGTGTTTTAAAATAATTTGTAATTTTTTGTGAAGTGGCTTAAGTTTAAACAATGTACATGTATGTTACCACTCAATACAATATTCCTATAACTTAATTAAATCATAAAATGTAAGTACTTAAAGGCTGATTTTACCTGAGATTCCATTTTAACAACCTGGTAGGCGTCCAAACTAAGGAGGTTTGAAGACTGTACAGAACTTAATAAGGCTAAGTACTCCTGTTTTAGAGCCTCATCTGTTACAACTGAGTAACCACCAGCCATGAATCCCCCTCCAAGCTGACGTACAGCTTTTGGGGCACATGTGTTGTCTGTAACTTTTTGTGTATGAGTCCAAACTTGGCTAAAGATTGTCACGGAACATGTCTAAAATAGAAAAAAACAAGAAGCGCCGCAATGCGACGAAAACCAGGTTTTCTACGACCAAGTTTTGATGTGACAACAATCAATAGGTCAAAGTACACTGAAGTTATTGAGTAGATACTGAAAATTCTGTAAGCAAATTACCTTGACCTTGTACCCAGATATCTAAGTGGCAATCCAAAGCTGCCACTCAGCAAGTTCAGTGTCAAAAGGTCAAAGCAAACTCAAGTTATAACATGAAAACTAAATGCATTAACCTTGATCACAGACACCTGGGTAGCAATCCCAAGCTGCCTCTTGATATAAGCTACCCATTCATCAAGTTTGGTGTCAATAGGGCAAAGCAATCTCAAGTTATTGAGCAGAAACTGAATTTCTATTTTTAGTAACAGTGACCTTGACCTTGATTACAGACACCTGGGTAGCAATCCCAAGCTGCCTCTTGATATAAGCTACCCATTCATCAAGTTTGGTGTCAATAGGGCAAAGCAATCTCAAGTTATTGAGCAGAAACTGAATTTCTATTTTTAGTAACAGTGACCTTGACCTTGATCACAGACACCTGGGTAGCAATCCCAAGCTGCCTCTTGATATAAGCTACCCATTCATCAAGTTTGGTGTCAATAGGGCAAAGCAATCTCAAGTTATTGAGCAGAAACTGAATTTCTATTTTTAGTAACAGTGACCTTGACCTAGATCACAGACACCTGGGTAGCAATCCCAAGCTGCCTCTTGATATAACCTATCCATACACCAAGTTTGGTGTCAATAGGCCAAAGCAATCTCAAGTTATTAAGCGGAAACTGAATTTCTATTTTTAGTAACAGTGACCTTGACCTAGATCACATACATCTGGGTAGCAATCCCAAGCTGCCTCTTGATATAAGCTATCCATACACTAAGTTTGGTGTCAATAGGCCAAAGCAAACTCAAGTTATTGAGCGGAAACTGAATTTCTATTTATAGTAACAGTGACCTTGACCTTGATCACAGACACCTGGGTACCAATCCCAAGCTGCCTCTTGATATAAGCTATCCATACACCAAGTTTGGTGTGAATAGGCCAAAGCAAACTCAAGTTATTGAGCGGAAACCAAAAGTTGACGCCCGCCCGCCTGCCCGCCCGCCCGCCGACTTCGGCATTACAATAACCCGGTTTTCGTTGAAAACCTGGTTAATAAAAAATTACCACAGATTGTGTTGCAAATGTTACACAAATAATAGCCTGGATATTGTAGTTTGCTTGCATGTTACGTTCAAAATTATCAAGATAAGAAAATAGAGATAATGTTTAACTTACTGTTGATTTAAACATATTTTATTGCTCTTTTTTTTTACACATCTATAACATTATATTATCATAGTATAAATACAAAAGTAGCAAAAGGGTTGAACCACGAGTTCTTACAACATCAGCAAACGGTTCTTCCCTGATTTATTGAATTATCTAATAATAATAAGACAGTTACAAACCAAAATGTATGATAGTAGAGCAATTAGGGAAAAATGCACAAGGAGAAAGAAGAAGAAAAGCATTACATAAAAGGAAAAGAAAAAAAAAAAAAAAAAAGGGGGGGACAGAGTTCAGTAAGTAGGGATATCAATTGAACGTGGCAAGTAGTACAGATAATATAAAAAATTAAGATTCAAATCTACACGATAATTTAATAAATAATTGTACCTTATCAAAAATAAATAAGTTATTCTCATCAGAAAGAGATTCTTTTCCAAACAAAAGGGTCTTTACGCTCAAAGGATGGAAACTGCGAGTTGAGCGGAATAACTGCACTCTTATTTCGTTATATTTGGGACATTTAAAAAAGTAATGTTCGGCATCTTCAATACTGGATGTACAGTAGCTACAAAGTGAGTTATCTCGTAGATGATTTTTACAAAGATCCGCATTAAGATTACTACATTCGTTTCTAATACGTGCATGGTAAACAGATAAACTTCGATCTCCGTATACAAAATATTTAGGAACAGTATGTGGTTTATACATTTCTTTGAGACGAGATTTAAAAATATTAAGAGAAGCCGCATGTCTAATATGATCATCCAAATTGTTCCATAACTCTATGGATGAAGGAATGAAAGATTTTGCGAATATTTGTGTTCTCCGTGCGATTGTCACATAGTAAATATCATTAGTTGTTATCATTTCGGAGGAAGTATGGAGTAGAATTAGCGACACTATTTGGGAAAAGATTTAGTAAGTAGCTTGGAACATTGTTTTGATGGGCTTTGTAAACTATTATTAATTTTTGCATAATTCTTCTATCCGACAAAGATACCCAGCCAATTTCTCTAAGTAAACGGTCTATAGATACCGATCTAGTTAGGCCTGTGACAACACGCGCTGCTTCATATTGCATCTTTTCAAGAGAATGTTTATCATTTTCATTACAGCCATCCCAAACAGTGGAGGCATTGTACATTAACTTTGCTTCTTTCTAGGTTAATTAACTTTTTGACAAAAGTAACCAACGAATAACCTTTACTTTGCTTCTTTCTAGGTTAATAAACTTTTTGACAAAAGTAACCAACGACTCAGTGCCAAAAAACCCCAGTAAAAAATTACAGGGCCAACGTCTGCTGCAGAAGAAACTTGTTGCTATAAAGTAAATGTAATTACATTGAACAATTTTTGTTTACTGTTTTCCACAGATGTTTTGGCATCTTGAAACTTGAAACATACAAGTTTACTTTGCATAAAGTATTAACAAGTATAAATACTTACACCAGTTGCTGTGTGGAGAGTATATTTTACATTGACACCAGCAACAACCTAAAATAAAGAATATTTTACAAACATTTTTTTTAACCATCCCTTAGAGATCCTGTATGTTGTAATTGAGATTGTATACCACGCCAAAGTGAAATTATACATTTGTACATGTTTATAATTATGCTTATAAAACAAATTTCAAACATCGAAGAATATGTAAAATATGTACTGCAAATATTTGTACATATTATATGTAATCATTAAAATATATGCATTCATTTCTTAATGAAAAATTTGACTCAGACTTTTTAGAAAATAAATTTTTTATTACCTCCCTTTATTTACATGAAATGTTAAATTCAGTAATATTTAATAAATAATGCTTTTTGGAACTTACAAAATTGATAAAAAGCTTTGAGTCAACAAAAATAATAGTAATTATTATTTCAATTCAACTGTTATTCCATGTCAAAGTGTTATCATTAATGACCTTCAAAAGACACTGAAAGTGTGAACAAGCTGTCAGTTACTTACAAACATAAAAACAGGGAAGTTTTGTGTTTTTAAATTTTTTGTAATTTTTTGTGAATTGGCTAAACAATGTACATGTATGTTACCACTCAATACAATATTGCTATAACTTAAATCATAAAATGTAAATACTTAAAAGCTGATTTTACCTGAGATTCTATTTTAACAACCTGGTAGGCGTCCAAACTAAGGAGGTTTGAAGACTGTACAGAACTTAATAAGGCTAAGTACTCCTGTTTCAGAGACTCATCTGTCACAACTGAGTATCCTCCAGCCCGACGGTTGTGCATATGTGTACATGTGTTGGCCATGACTTGTCTGGTTTGAGTCCATGGCTGGTCAAATATTGTCATGGTGCATGTTGCCTATGAAATAGGGTTATGAGAAAAGGTAACTTCAAAAAAATTTGTAATAAATTGAGGATTTGACAAATATTCTTGCATAGCAGACTGGCGTTTCCGTAAATTTTACCCATGCCTGAAATTTCAACTGGCATGAGGGGTGCCAGATGAGTTGCGTGCCATACAACAACGTCATTTAAGTGCATTTTATGAATGAACCACGTTAAAATGACGTAAGCTAAGAAGGAAACTATGTGCTTAGGATGACGTCATTTTTCTGTTGTTATTAAAGTTGTAAATTCATACGCTATTGTAAGAAAATAGTTATGGATGAAATGACATCAATTTTAATGAACAAATATCTTATTGAGTTAAACTTTTTTAAATATGAAATAATATGGCAGAATATGCAGAAAAATCACAATAAAATTATTATTGTCAAACAAGTAATTATCACAAGAGAGCACAGCAATAATAAAAGTACTTGTGAAACTGCATAAATTGACTTTTTTTTTGCTACATGTACATGCAGTAGAATAAACAGATCACCTTCAGTGCACTGAAATTCATCTCTTTTTATGGTCAACATACATGTATAAGTTCAATAAACAATGCTAAGTACTTTAACTTAAAGAAGGTTTACATGCAAAAGATGGGTTAAGGTGTAGGCATTTCTTGTCTCTTTGTATCAAAGAGTATCAAGCATCATCCTGCAGCCCTGCCTAGTGTTAAAGGTACTAAAAATTAACAGTTCTACACAACCCACGGTTAGTTGTTGGGCTAAAATCATGTCCATTTATATGTATCATTAGTTATAAAGCTTTCTGACAGGTTATATAACTCTGTAAAAATGGTTGTAAGTTTATAGTGGCTTGGGTTATATTGCAAATAACCATTTATTCATTGTCATATAAAACAATTAACATGTCGGACATCTTTAATATTATGATCTTCATAATACAGCAGAATTTTATATTTTGAAACTGATTTCAAAATTGACAATAGCCATTTATACAAACGTCATGATTATATTATTACAAAGCAATGTTACAAACATGCAGTATTCTAAATATATAAGTAACTACTACTTACATCTTTCATTTGAATGGTGTATCTGATGTTTCTACCAGCAACAACCTAAAAATAAGATCAAGTTTCCTTATAATTTTTCATGATCATTGATAGAAAAGTCAACAACACGTGAAATAAAATAAAACATCTTACATCTTGAATATTGTCTTAATCATATGGATAAAATAATCATTTAACCCTTACACTACAATTTGTACAAATACATGTACTAACTTAAATATAATAATTAAATATGGTGCTTGCTTAAACCCAAGTCATACAATTTAATGAGTTGTGGATGAAGACAATTTGTAAAGATGTTCTTGAAAAAGATATTATAAATGTAACAGTAAATGTTGAAATGAAACTTTTAATGTAGCAAAGAAGTGAATGTGATCCTGACTGAAATATCAGTTTTATGCAAAAGAAAACTGATAAAAGATGTACATGTATTTTTTATCCTGGTGAAATTATGTGGGATCTTTTTGAAATTGCCTGCCAAGAATTGACATGGGGAGTTTTGTCCATGGGATCTGTTCCAGTGATGTATGGAAATATTTAATGCAGAAACCTATGTAGAAGAATTCTTTTTACAAGAAAGGAACAAGAAGCAGTCACAGACTGCCAAATCATTATATGCCTAACAGGACAAAAGTTTTAAAAGGCAGGGCTTCCACGGTACAAGTCAACCCGGCCCCAAGTCAACCCGGCCCCAAGTCAACCCGTCCCCAAATTGGTCAACCCGGCCCCAAACCCAATGTTATTTCTGGTCAACCCGGCCCCATTTTTTTTATTATTTATTTTGCTTTAAAATATAAACACTTATATTTTACAAAGTAATTATTTTTTATTATTTTTTCTTGATACGATGTTTTATAATAATAAAATGATTTTACATGCAAAATATCGTTAAATTTTGTCCATAAATAAAAAAGTTATAAGTTATATTCGAATTACGTTCTATAAAAGTCATATCCGTAGCGAACAGAAGATACCGAATATGACTTATATTTTATAAATTGATTATTTTTTTATTAACTTTTCTTGATTAATAATAAAATGATTTTATATGCAATATATCGTTAAATTTGGTTTATAAATAAAAAAGTTATAAGTTATATTTGTTTTTGTTTTTTTTATATATAAAATCATATCCGTGAAGAACAGAAGATATCAAATATCATTATATGACTTATATTTTATAAAGTAAGTGGGGTTTTTTTTGTCTGGATTACAGTGAAATAACATGCAAATAATCGGTAAATTTGGTACAATTAATAATAAATCATTTTTATTCCATCATACAACAAGATGACTTAAATAATTTTCTTTGAAAATATATATTTTGGGGCCGGAATGACCGATGTTGGGGCCGCATTGACCAATTTTGGGGCCGCATTGACCAAATAAAAATACTGTGGGGCCGGATTGACCAATTTTGGGGCCGGGTTGACCAATTTTGAGGCCGGGTTGACTTGGGGCCGGGTTAACTTGGGGCCGGGTTGACTGTAATTCGGGCTTCCACTAAGTTCCAAAATTTGGAAGTCAGGCACTGCAAAATCTCTGATATTGGAAGTCACACTATTTAGATTAAGAAGGAAAAGTATTAGATTTTGGAAGTCACAAGCTAAAATCGGGGAGTAAATGAATCCCAAGCTTCCATTAACATTATATAACATATTTATTATTTAGGAATATCTATTTTGAGCGGGTTGTTATGCAGGGCAACTTACCATGCAATAATTATATAACGAATTTATAATATAAACTTTACCTAGCCTAATTGATTTGTTGTAAACGGTTTGACCTATTTTACATTTTTTTTTCATACTGTTCAAACCGTTGGAAAAAGACATCGCCCATCCAAAATTATCTTGATGTCTCTTTGACAAGTCTAATTAGTTGGATTAAAACTTTACCGTAATCAAGATATTATATAAAGCATGATCTAATGGTCTATGTATTTTGGTACAATGGATGGGTTAGTCCAACTTATTAGTCTACGTGATGAGATATTGTGATATTTTGTGTATGGACAATATTCTGACCCAGAACACAAACATCTCATCATCTAGCTTAGCTAGATTGGCATGTTGACTCAATATATTTTGACTATGGATGGGTGTGAAGATTGTTATAGTAACCCACTAGCAGTATGTCTAACCATAGTGATACTTATCTTCTATACATTAAAATTATTTAATCATATGGATAAGAAACACTCAGGTTGAATTTCCTGATAATCTATCAACTTTGAAATAAAATAGGTGACGAAATGGGGGACGAGTTCACCAAGGGACGAAATGACCGCCAGGATGCCGAATTGACCACGGCACGAATTGACTCGAAATCCAAGAAAAATTCCCGATATATAATTCTGATAAAATATTAACCTGTGATTCAATCTTTGTGACATTATAATCCAATCCCAAAGTAACCAGATTTCCTTCCTCTTGTGTAAGAATACCCAAAAATTCAGCTTTTAAAGCGTCATCTTTTACTTCCGACCATCCTCCTGGCATACAAAGTCCAGTGGAAATTAAACTCACTAAAACTAATAACAACATAACTCTTAATGTCTAAACGAAATCGAAATAAACTGAATTAAACAAGTTTTTCGTTTTTATTTCAAGACATTTCTTCAAGCGCCATCTGTAAATAACAATACACAGGGGGCGACAACTTGACTCGCAAAAGGTTGCACACAACTATTTTTTTTATATAAAAAAAAATCCACTGAGGTCTAAAAACATAAATTTTGAATTTCTTACATAGATCAACTGATGCACTTAAAACAGGGAGATATGTTATAGATATTTAAAAAATATATTCAGAAATAATAGAAAATCGTATTATTTTACAGGAATTGTCTGTCTTCAATATTTTTTCTTTTCTTTTTATTTATTTTTTCCTACGACCGTGCATATTTCCCCCAACTGCTCTACTATCATACAATTTGGTTTGTATCTGTCTTATCATTATTAGATAATTCCATATATCAGGGAAGAACCGCTTGCTAAAGTTGTAAGAACTCGTATTTCAACACTTTTGCTACTTTTGTGTTTATATTATGATAGATCTAATATATATATAATGTCATAAATGTGTAAAAAGAGCAATAAAATATGTTTAAATCAAACATATATACAGTACATGGTATTTTTATTATGTTTGAAAATTCATATACTTCTTGCATGGTGTTGCTCCAGTATGTGTTAACTTAAGAATTTTAAGCCTGATTAAGATCTTCTTTCCATTATTTGAAAAAATAGGATTAATTCTACTTGTAATTTTTTATTTACAGTGCAGTATATATATTTTCATATCATTTTCGAAAGTAAGAACACAAGGCAAAGGAACATTGCACCTTAACTTTGTGTACATTTGATAATTTGAATTGTCTTTATTTGCCTTTTCCAAAATTACCAATTACATGTATACCTCAGAAATGCTTTTATTTTTATTTCCCTAAAGCTGTTTCCAACACATTATTAACTCATTGCCAAATTACCTGCCATTTTCTTTGCCACAATTGACTTTAAGCAATAAGCAGAGTTATAGTGATTTAGTATTTTACAAGTATGGAAGTCAAAATACTATTTTGTTTACATTTTGCTACTTTTTTAACAAATATTTTCATATTTTAGCGGTACTTTTTCCGGATGATAAGCATGCAAGGACATATCCATTTGTTTTTGAGGCATAATGTGCCTTTAAGAATTTCATTTTGCTCTTTTTTAATATTGAAATAGGAAATGCTAAAGAAAAATTCACGAATGGTCTTAAAATTGACCCGAAATTATTTTTTTTTATAAAATAGAAAAACATGTTATGCATTACTCGGTAGATAGCAACCCCTGCGCATTACTTGGTATTCTGTGTTAATTGCATAGAATAGCAAAAGGGTATCTATGTATATATTTTGTTTAAAATAGTTTGTTTCTTTATTTTTATGCATGATATATTATAGAACCTATGTCAGGTAAAACATCTATACAGAAGCCTTTAATGGAGAATAATACTTTATTACTACTGTACATGTAGTAGAAGTTTTAGTACGTAAAATAGACTCATCAAACAAATATCACAGACAATTGGGGTGTGGAACTCTAAACGCCTTAAAATTATTATAGACGTTGATTTATTTTCTTGTTCAGCGTTCATTAATATATGTTTTAGGTTTTTGTACTGGGATTGACAAATATATAATTTAATTTGATTTTAAGGCGTTTGGAACTCCACACCACAAGTATTGGTGATTTGGGGCGGGGCAGGTCGCAGGGGGTGTTGATGTGAAATATCTTGAACGATTAAGTGTCGAGGATGGGAAAACTGTCTTTTCCCCAATCTATATACATTAATTATCTTACTTTGTTAATCCCGTGTATATTGAAATTATTTGGGAAGACTAGCTTAAACACAAGGGAAATGGAGAATTAAAAACTATTTTAAATGTAAATATATTTAGGGGATTTGCCTAAAATACGAAAGTGACTTTTTTGACGAAAGTGAGCGAAAGTGACTTTCAAAATATGAATTATAGCGTTTTAATAGACTTTTACAATAAAATTGCAGGTTGTAGACGTATATTATTAGAAACTGATTATATTTATTATCGAAAATAGTCATTATTGATTTACGCGCTATTTGTTTGCATAATTTCTATACACAAGTTCTGAGATCTTCCTTTCACTTACATTGAAAACTACGAAAGTGATTTATAAAATATTAAATATACTGTTTAGATTGAATTTTTTTTACTAATAATGCACTAAGCAGACGTATATTATCAAAAATTGATAATATTTATTTTCAAAAATAATCATTATGATGCTTTACTCGCCATTTATTTGCATAATTTCTATATACAAGTTCACAGATCTTCCTTTTGCTCACATTAAAAAAAGAAAGTGACTTTAAAAATATCAAATATAGTGTTTAAAGACTCATGTTTTCAGAAATGAATAAAATATATTTTAAAAAATAATCATTGTGATAATTTAATATCCATGTATTTTCATAATTTCTATATACCGGTTCAGATTTCTTACTTTCGCCCACATTTAACAATACGAAAGTGACTTAATCGGACGAAAGTGAATGTCAATATTCATGATATTATTTTTTTTATAATAAATAAATAAATGAGTCATTTTCATTGTTAATTATGTTTTCAGGGAGACACAGGCAAAATTTTCATTTCTTCGTTTTGAATTTTTCATTCATTATTCTGTAAAAGTCCTCAAAATGAATACACTAGGCGGTCACAGGAACAAAAATATTCTCCATATAAAGAATAAAATGGTGGTTTTCTAGCCTGACCCACGTCGGTCAGGTTAGAGTGTTAAGATTTTGCAGAAGTGTCACAGTGAACTCTAGAAACGATAAAGAACATGTCAAATGAATGGCTTAGATTTGTTTCAATCATACAATATCCACAATATCTTTGATTGTAACTTCCAGGGTTCGTTCAAGTCACATGACTAGTTTTAAAACAACTCGATGATTCTGTCGGCGCCTAGATTTCGTTCAACATTTATAGATATATTTACGTTTAAAATGCATAGAATTTATACAGGAATTCATGCTGGTACATTCAGAATTGCCATTTTAATGTGATTTGAGTACATAAGATCATTTATATATTTTTGTCATTAATTTGCCTGAGTATCCCTTTGACAGCCACTTGAAATTATCATAGATATATATTAAAGTGACATAACTTTCATTTTATCTTTGCCAATTTATGTTTAATTATGAATTTATTTTAAAAGATTCACATTTATAATGGTGGTTGACCTTTATATGATGATGAAATTAAATGACTAGCATAAAGTATTAAAAAATCCTAACTTATAAAAAGATTGCCCCATTTACTTTACCGATACATTTAGTACGATATTTATAGAAATTTCCGTGGATTACTAATTTCTTTTTTTTCTTACTGAAATATTATTTTAACACAATGATGGCAAGTAAAAAGTTATTTTCAAATTAACATGTACGTTGCCCATTTACACTTGGATGAGCATAATAAATGTCACTTAATCTGCGCTTTTATATGGTGGTGCAGAAGAAAAGTTAATTTAATTGTCCACTGAATAAACAACGGGCAAGTGTCATCAGTTACATAATATATACCTTCACTGATGATTGGATTACAAAAGTACTTTAGCGATATTAAAGCGGCGTGATATACTGTCAATTTAAGTGGGTGCGAAAATGATATGACAACACGTGTTTGCATACAAGGTGGGAAGACGCCTTCCCAGAAACAAGGCAATGTACAAACAGTGGTATATTTTTCAATGTTAAGGCTTATGATATAGAAAAGAAATGCAAATAAAGAATTATTTCTATCAAAAGTACCGATTTACTAAACTTATATGCATAATAACATATTCTGGACATGATTGTAAAATTGTAAAACAGAATAAATTTCTGGAACAACTGTTAAAAAGATAGGGTAGTAAATGCCGAGTAGATAAGTTTGCATACCAACGAAACAGACGTCTAGCGTTTGTTTAACTTTAAATTTAAAATTTACTGAATACGGGAGATTTGTTGCTCTAACATTAGTTTGAAAGTCGCAAAATAACAAATTTTTCTTGAAAAAAAAAATCGATTATAAATATTAAAAAAGTTTTTATGGTATATGTAATATGTAACGTTCTTGTTCATTTTACATATTTAAAAAGTAATAAAAAGAGTTTATAATCATTACCAATATGTTGTCAATATAGCCTCTAGATAGTCACGAAATTCCAGGAAATAGCTTTCTCTTTCAAAAAATTTCTCGGGGAGCAAGCCCCCGGACCCCCTCGCTAGGGAGTACATATCAAAATAGCTCAGTTACGCCCCTGTGAAACTATGCGTCTACAAACTGTTATATTAATATAAATTCAAATTAAACGGTATTCAATATTTTATAAGTCACTTTCGTATTTTTTTTTAAATGTGAGCGAAAGGAAGATCTCTGTACGTAGTTGTGAATAGAAATTATTCCGGTACGTTACCGTTTTAGCTCTGGGGAATTACATCAAATGAAGTACATAACACAGTTACGTGATATTTCGATTTTTCTATCAGTATTTAACCGTTTTAGGTGAAAAAATTGATGTTTTTGAAAATTATCAATATTCCTTTAATATCTATTCCAAATTATTAAAAAAAATAAATTGTTTATAATGAAAATCAATAAAATTCAAACAGACGTAGTGGAATCTTCCATAATAAATAAGGTTATTTTCTGCGTTAACTTGTGTATTTACTTTATTTTTTGTATGGAATTATTCATACAATGATATCTAATTATTTTCTTATAAAGAAATAATTACTTTATTTCAATTTGATTTTAAAAAAGACCGAAAACATCGAGTTCGTTATTACACTCCGGGGCCATTGGGTGAATTCCCCAGAGCTATGTACAGAAAGTACCGGAAAACGGCGTTTAACTAGGTTTTCGAATTCGTGAATTAAGGACAATTTTGCGGGAGGAGATATTAATTTCTTTATATATAAGCCTATGTTTTTATATATTTCATGGGAAAATATTTTTAGTTGGTAAAAAAAAAATAGTAAATAAAAAAAATCCATCCTAGCATGCGCCGTCCACGGAAGGAAAACATTTGATGGTAGTCAACCTTGATATTGATTTCCGGTACAACAACAACAAAGTGTAATAATAATTAAATTTAGATTTTTCAGGAAGAAACGCTTTTAAGTAATCTAAACTTTTTCAAGCAGATGCCAGGTGATATAATTCAGCTGAATGTTGGCGGTAAGAGGTAAGTTTCGAGGTAATAAGTGCCACTGAAGGAGTAACGTAGACCATCCAAGTGAAAAGTGTACGGATAAATTTATTTTCGGATACTTATAAGTGCATTTATTAGGTAGTCAGACTTTTCTCTCCCTCTCCAGTTCTTCCCTCGATGTTTCCTCCCTGACGGTTCTCTCCCTATTTTGGGGGAGAACCGTCTGCATATTTGCAAATAACCAGACAGTTCCTCCCATATTTTATTTTATACTAATACATTATTATTGAAGTATTTAGATGTTAAATAAATGGGTAAGTTTATTATCAATTAATAAATTAGAAGAAAAAAAAATAATGAAGTGTTTAGATGTTAAATAAATGGGTAAAGTATTTATAAATTGATAAAAATATAGAATTTTTTTTTATTGAAGTATTTAGATGTTTAATAAATAAGTAAGTTTATTATCAATAATTCAATTGATATAATTTAGAAAAAAATCTTTTTATTAGATCATATGTATACATTTTAATGTGTTTAGTCATTGAAAATAATTAATGAATAATTTTCTTGATTATTAGAAATTAATTATTGTGTGTGTGTTTTTTTGTTTTTTTTGATAAATAAAAAAAATTTATAAGAAAAAATGATTAATGAATTTAAATGCTAAATATTATACTTTTGTATAATGAAGAAAAGGGAGTTCAATACACACATGCGTTAAGATTGCTGTCAGAGATAATTGAAAGAATCAAGGTGTTGATTACGTTAAAATAGCTGTCAAAAGGTGTTGATGGATAAGTATTTTGTTAGACCTGTGTATATCGATCACTGTCCAATAATCTTAATCTCACAAAATATGCAATATGAAGGTGTTGATAGGATTAACATACCCGAAAAAAAAGGTGTTAAACTTTCAGATAAAACATAAAATGCACTAAACACATCCTTTTAATAATCTTCACTAAGAAATATTATTAGATTAAGTCAAAACTAAAATGATATCTTATTAAAAAAATGGGGGAGAACTGTCTGCATATTTCAAATTAGGGAGAGAACCGTCAGGGGAGGAAAGGGTTTGGGGGAGAACCGTCAGGGAGAGGAAGTGGTAAGGGAGAGAATAGTCTGTCATTCTATTTATTATACTCACTCTGCTATTAGCCAATTAACCCATTTGTTTTAATTTTTCCGTTTGGATACACAAGTTATAATTTGGGTTAATGATTTAATGTACACTATGATAAGCTATTTAAATAGAATTTTCGATTTAGAGTCAAGTCGTCCCATAGTGAGAAATTAGAGTAAACACGTCCCATAGTCAACTCGTTCCCTTACTTGTCCCCTATTTCTATTATTAATTTATTCTAATATTTGATAAATTATCAGAGAGTTTAAGATATACCTTAAACAAAAACTTGCAAGAGAATGACAGAAATTGACACAGGGACTCATTTTTACCCTACCATGTGCTGTGTAGTATGTACCTTTATTATATATAATATAATTAAGTTGAGGTTTATCTTTACGCAATCATAATTATATGCATTATCTGACTACTTGGTTATTTTATCAACTTACAAACAACAGCTACTCATGTGAAATTCAATACAAAGCTTTGCAACTAATGATTTAATGATATTTGGATATCTGTTGATTTTTATACACCCTGGCGGGGGACGGTTGGGCAGCTGGGCGGTGTCCAATATTTGTCCAGAGCATATCTCCTACACCCATGGAGGAATTTTAATGAAACTTCATAGAAATGTTCACCACGGCACCCACATGAACCAGGTCTCTGATCAAAGGTCAAGGTCACACAAGGTCATTGAAAAACGCTTGTCCGGAGGAAAACTTCTACATGCATCGAGGGGTTTCAATATAACTTGGCACAAATGTTCACCATTGTAAGGCAGAGTGTCGGATCCCTAAGGCCAAGGTTAGGAGACAAAGTTCAGATAAAAATAGGAATATGTGTATTTGTACCATTTAGTTATCATTTATTGAGGGATGAAAACACAAATGGTCATTATCATGCCTGCTGTTGTGAAACATGTAATTAAGGTTAATATATCAGTGTTCCCATTCACGCACAAATGTACGTGAATCACGTATAATTTACAAAAATCACGCATGAAATTACAACTAGGTGCGTGCATGCACGTATAAAAATTGAAGTAAAACTGCAAAAAAATTATCCGCAAAGTCGAAGCACAAATCAATAATCTACTCGTAAATCTCTGAAATTGTTTGCAAGACCGTAATTTAATCCGATCAGTCATAACTTAGGTCATAACTCTGGTTTCCCAGCTGTGCTATTTTTAGCTCATGGACTGGTTTATAATTATTAACGACGCTTCGCGACACTCTATATTAAAAGCAGTAACAAGTCTACATCCGGGCAATACAATTAAGCCGTCTGAAATATTAAATAATCGCAGGAAAAGTTATTGAAAATGCAACGCAATTTAAATGAATGGTTTCATAAAAGCGATTCCAGCGAAAAATCGCCCACCCTTACTCAATCCTCTAGCGCAAATCAAGAACCAGGCCCTAGTGAAAATAGTGATGAACCCCCCCAAAAAGAAACATTGCAACGATTTCAGAACTCCTGGTTGTCCGAAATTTTCATGGCTTAGATTTGACAAAGACAACGGGAAAATGTTTTGTTTAACATTCGAGACATATGAAAAAACACTAAAAAAAGTCTGAAATCCGCGTTTACAATTGGGTCTAATAATTTCCAGCGGTCAGCATTAGTTAGACACCAGAAATGCGACGATCACAATGTGTCAAGCAACGCCAAAAAGCAACAATCTTACATGACTGCTGCTGTAAAAAAGTTCTGAAAAAATATGAATCAATCTTAGAGGCACATATTCTGTGAAGTGTACCCCCAAAAATATGACCTAGGGGGTACATGTACCCTCAAATTTAAATTCTAGTGGGAACACTGTATATTCAAGGTCACTAGAAATGATAGTGAAGGTCACTAAAGATGATAAAAATTAAATATAGAGATTTTGTCCATAGCATATCTCCCACACATATGGAAGTTCGTACAAATGTTCACCATTATAAGAAACAGTGTCATGCGCATGGGGTACCAATGCGCATGAACTAGGTCTCCAGGTCAAAGGTCAATGTCACACTTAGAGGTCATTGAAAAACGCTTGTCCAGAGCAAAACTTCCGCTTGTCCAGAGCAAAACTTCTACATGCATAGAGGGATTTCAATATAACTTGGCACAAATGTTCACCATTGTGAGGTGGAGTGTTGCGTGCAATATTATTAACAGCATCCTGATAAACAAAAATGACAGATGTTAAACAGCTTGCCTTTCCATTGGCATTATTAAAGTTAAAATTTGGGAAACAATGATATTTGTTCACAGGAGAATGGTGGTTGGGCCCATGAAGAGGGGAAAAACAAACACACAGAAATGAAGCTGCCACAGTTTTATTGGAATTGCTGTTTTTTTTTGAAAGAATGACAATATACATGTTGTATAATGGCAGTTCTAATATACATGCTGATGCAGTTTTAAACTTCATTTAACCCTTTCCTTCATGAGCATATTGTGAAAAATGGCCGTTTTCATTGAAAAGCCTCCCGTTACAAGTTCAAACTGCTATGAAACTATGAAAAATGCTTCAATACTAATCAAACTTGGCACAAATGTTGACTGGACCATTGCCTTTGCAACAACATGCTCAGTCTTAAATTTCCTGTTACCATGGCAACGAGGGGACATCTCAAAATTGCCAAAAATCACTATTTTGCCTCGATTTTTTCCATCAGTATTTATTTCAAAGTGCTGCAACTTCTCAAGGGATTGAGATAGAGTCAAAGGCTTTTCAGCGTTGGTTACACGTTACCTTATGATCGACCTGGGGTCATGTTTAGCCTCTCACAAGTCCAAAATTTTCTTGGCGATGAGGGGGACTACCACCACCCCCTTCAAACCGCCCAAACAGAAGGGGGCACATCCCCCTTCTGGCAACCCCCTGATGTATCTTTTGGATGGGGGGGTGGTGCCGAAAAAGTGCTCACTTTTTTAGCAACATTTCTCAAACAAAAACATGTGTTTGGGGCCCAAATAGGACATTTTTTCACTATTTGAGGCCTAAAAGAGGGGGGGGGGGGGGGTCGAAAGTGCGTTGTTTCACGTATATGTGAGGTAATGGGTTAAATGTTTAAAAACTTACTAGTCATTTATAAATGCATGCCTACACTATAATTTTTAAACAGAAAATTGTTGGGAATAATCCACTTGCTACTAATGTTGGAGATGTCACAGCTGACATGGGAATGTTATGGTGAAAGTCCACTTGTAAAAATGGGCAAACTTTGGGAACATTTTTACGGCTGTACTTTTTGTCCTATATAATTTAGTATTTTGCATAAGTTTAATTTGATTTTATTTCTTGCATTATTATCATTCTCACTGTAAATTTATAATTTCAAACATGCTTGAAACCACTTCTAGCCATTTTAGCCAAAATTTATAGCTGCATGTAAGTCGCATATGGCTAACCCAAGTACAAGCTAGTTACAGTTATAAGACATGTTTTTTATCTTTTTTTTTTTTCATGAACTGGTGTGATTTTTTTTTAAATGCTTTATCAGATAATGTTTGGTAATTTTGTGTGAAAGTATGAAAGAAAATCAGAATGTCCAAAGATACATGTATATACATTAATGGAAGAGCGTTATTTAATTTTGAATTTTTGAATTTAATAAACAAATTTTGCAATTATATAATGAGTAGTTTAGAATTTAATATTTGAGTGAGATAAATCAAAATTTAAATTATGATTTAAAAAAAATAAAATAAAAAAAAGTTAAAGAATTGCATGCTTATTATTTTAAATATGGTAAAATATCATTACAGGTTTGCAACATCCAAAGAGACCCTGACATGGATTCAAGATTCGTTTTTCACAAGGTATGTGTCATTGTACAACTACAAAAAAGAAATTTGTTGAATTTCTACCAATGTGTATTAGAATTCCTATATCACAAAAACAAGAAAATGGCTATTCATGTATAATACAATTTTTACATAGTCAAAGATTTATGAAAATTATCCTCATGGTTTGAATTTTAGCTTGCATTCTTATTTTGGGAGCTCATTAGAACATTCTATTATCTGCTATATAAATACATATAATATCAGATTATGTATCTCACAATTGCCAACAACTTCCTTATATGGTTCTTTTGTGGTTTGTTGTTATATCTGAAAATAAATACTTTCAATGTAATTATTCACTGTATTACAGACCTTCCATTATAGACCAATTCACTTAAAACATTATTTTAACTACATGTATAATCTTTTTATTTACATATTAAATTACATATAAATGACTTATGATATGCTTACAAAATGTTTCAATTTGTTGTTTTGTATATTTTTCTATTATTTTCAGTTTACTAAGTGGAAGAATTTCTTCCTTAAAAGATGATAATGGAGCAGTAAGTATTTTCTTTTTTTTTTTTTTTTTCATATAAGAGAGCAATAAATATACCTGTCACATTTATAATGTATGACTTGTATTTATTATACCTCCACCCAGTGATTTTTATGCCCCCACAATGTGGGAGCATATAGCGTTGCACTTGTCCGTCCGTCCGTCCGTCCATCCGTCAGTCCGTCAATACGTCAGTCCGTCAGTCCGTCCGTCCGTACGTCCCGAAATCTTGTGAACGCAACTCCTCTAAAACCGGATGGCAGATTTTGCTTAAACTTACAGGGATGAACAACCTTAATGTGTAGATGGTAGTAAAGGAAGGAATTTTCGCTGTGACCAAATTTAACAGAATTATGGCCCTTTGTTGATTTTTTCCCTAGATACTATGTAGAAATTTTGTGAACGCAACTCCTCTTAAACCGGATGGCAGATTTTGCTTAAACTTACAGGGATGAACAACCTTAAGGTGTAGATGGTAGTAAAGGAAGGAATTTTTGCTGCAACCAAATTTTACAGAATTATGGCCCTTTGTTGTTTTTTTCACTATATACTATGTAGAAATTTTGTGAACGCAACTTCTCTTAAACCGGATGGCAGATTTTGCTTAAACTTCCAGGGATTAACAACCTTAATGTGTAGATGGTAGTAAAGGAAGGAATTTTTGCTGCGACCAAATTTTACAGAATTATGGCCCTTTGTTGATTTTTTCACTATATACTATGTAGAAATTTTGTGAACGCAACTTCTCTTAAACCGGATGGCAGATTTTGCTTAAACTTCCAGGGATTAACAACCTTAATGTGTAGATGGTAGTAAAGGAAGGAATTTTTGCTGCGACCAAATTTAACAGAATTATGGCCCTTTGTTGATTTTGAGTTTTCAACTTGTGGGACATGTAGTCCAAAAAATATTTGACCTAGAGTCATAAGATTGACAGAACAGTGGTGTGTGGGGGCATCCGTGTCCTATGGACACATTTCTAGTTTTCACTGTATTTTACAGCCGGATAAAGGCTGTTTCCCCTAGCCCAAAATAGGTATATTTTCCCCTAAAAATGCATATATTTTCGCCTAAAATGCCTCATGCTCTTCCTTACCAGAACCATGACTTAATATCACAGGATAACATTTTGTGTGTATTGGGTAATTACCATTTGTTTTGTGATCTATTGGGTTTTTTCTATTTTCTTTGAGTTACTTCTGTATTTTTTACCCTACCCCCTCTAACTAATTTGGGTTATAAAGCATGAGTTCATGTATTTTACCCAAAATTTCTGACCTACATTGTAGACTGTTGTAGGTTTTGTATGGTTATAAAAAAGCTACTTATTACTTTGCTTTATGGTTTATTGGCCTAGGAGATTTCCAAGCTGCCTGAAATAAATTTAAAGGTTAAAACAGTATGAAACAGTATGATCTGCCTGATGTACGCAATAAGTAATAATTTACATCATTACGCACCAGTTCAAATGTAGTTTGCATAAATAAGAATTCATTTACTTTTTCTTACCCTTAGTTATTATTTCTATTGGGTTTTTAGACATTTTAATTGGGTAATAACGCAAATACGCATGTTATTTGCAGCCCTGATATCATCAGCTAGAAGACAGAAATCTGTCCCTATAGATAGCGTCTGCTATGTAACATGTATGTTAAATTGAATTTAAATTAATTATTTTCATAAAATGTGTGAGTAAATTCCATTTTCAGTTGTTGGAATTTGATTTCAGGTTTCCCCCTTTTCTGATTTATGGTGCTTTATTTTCTCCTTCAGAAAGCCACAGGTTGTTTTGAAAATTGGAAAAAAAATCACTGCCACCAAACCTAGTTTCTTTGGGGGGAGGGGGAGGGGGGGGGGGGCTCTATAGGAATCACTTTGTCTTGACCCATCTTGAAAACCGGTGGAGGTATTAACTTGAAACTTGGTACATCAAAGTAATATCACAATGCAACTGTCTCCATCAAGTTTCATAACTCTTATATTTAGTTAGTTTGACAGAATTATGTCCCTTATAAACTCAGAAAACATCCCAAAGATGTATCAAAAGTGGCTATTGCTTTGAAGTAAATGACTGAATTGTCTTCATACTTGAAAACAACAATCCTTTTGAAACATCATAAAATATAGTTCCAGTTTAAATTTGGCTGCAGAAGATAATGAAGTTAAGGTGGTGGGTCACTGGGGGCATGAATCACGTTCAGTAATAGTTCTAGTTATTATAATGATAGCTTGATCTTTTCTAGCAAAATGATGGATAATGAAAACATACATGTATAAGTGCCAGGATGCAGACTAGAAAAATTGTAATTGTAAACCAGGGCTGCCATTAATGGAAGTTTGGGAGTCATTTACTCCTTGATTTTGGCTTGTGACTTCCAAACGCCAATACTTTTCCTTCTTACCTATATAATGTGACTTTCAATATCAGAGAATTTGCAGTCTCTAACTTCCAAATTTTGGAACTGAATGTAAGCCCTGTTTAACTTGAATTAAATTAGCATAGATTTGTTTTCCAATGGACATTTCCAGTGTTTACAGTTTGATGTAAATTGGCTGACTGGCCGTCCGATAACTAAACTGGCTGGATTAAAGCATTGTTACTAGCTCACTAGTTGACCTGGTTAACACAAAAAAACATGGTTTTGTTTGTGGTACTGTTTGTGAGCAGTGGACTTATATGTAGTAATGAATGGTAAAGGTGGGGCTAAAGTTTTCACAGCTAGAAATCTTCCTAAGCTTACTGGTAAATAAAAATGTCTGTGATACAAACATGAAATAATCAATTTCCCGTTCAGAGCTAGCTACAATTTATACCTCTTATTGTATCACTTCTTTCTATATTGGAATATATTTTTTGAAGTATATTTGAAGCATAATTTTTCGCTTTTTCTTCCAGATATTCATTGATAGAGATCCAGCCTTATTCACTGTGATTTTAAATTATCTACGGACAAAAGAAGTTGATTTAAAGTAAGTTATAGCTATCAATTTTTTGTAAATACAGCATACTTTTCTTCGCACATTTCTTTTAAACTGAGCCTGTAATCTATATATTCTAAACCAAATGGACATAATTTATGATATCAATTATATAATATGTTTTAGGCTTTTTGTTGTTGCTGAGATGTTTAAATGGTGTTTTATGTGAAAAAAGATTGTAAAATCGAGTATTGTTAACATTTACATAAAGTTTACCATGAAGTAAATAGGAGAAAACTTGAAAACAAAAAAGCGATGAATGTAAGCTTTTTGTCCTAGATCAAGAGTTGAGTTTGAAATAACTGTGTTTGATCAAGTTTGTTTTATCTTTTATTGCAGCAATGTAGATATCAGCTCACTAAAACATGAAGCAGAATTCTATGGTATCAAACCTTTAGGTATGACGTTTATTATTTATTTGGTATATCATAATTTTATACATGTGTAAAAAAATTCCTGCAAGATTATAAGATACCCTTTTGAAAAAGATGAATGCGAAATAGTTGTCAGTATACTGGTTTTGCCTTTGATATTGTTCTTTTTAATGGGTGAAATGTTTGTATTTGTGTCCGATATGCATTTAATATACCAGTATGAATACATATTACAGTTCGAAGGTTGTGTTTGTGTGAGGAATTAGATGCAGCTTCATGTGGGGATGTTCTCTTTCATGGTTATCTCGGACCACCTTGTAAGTTGTTTTATATAACTCTGGTAATATAATCATCATTTAAGGATATAAGCTTTATATTAAAGCATTGCTTATGAGGTGATCTATTTTTGTTTGTTTAATGTTGGTTGATTATAAACATTTTTAGTGCATGCTGCAATTTTAGTTTATACAGAATTTATTTTAGTTCAATTTTAGGTTGCTATAAGCTTATAAACTAACCAGTACTGAGCAATGGGTGTAAAGTTTCTTGTTCAAGGAAACAACTATTTGCCCCTGACAGGGTTTGAACCCACATCTCCCTCTAACTTTCCTTAGATTACTAGTCCAACCATTTACCATGTAGCCACTTAACAATATTGCAAATGTTCTTTTGATTTTGATATTCAGTCCGTAGAAAAAAGGTGACTTTGCAAATACTTTTAGTCTAACCAAACTAAAAACAATAACTTTTATTCAGAAATTTTACTTTTTAATTCTTTTGATTAACACTGAACCCATTCCGTCATTGTAAGACATTTCCATTACACAAACTAGACTCGTAAGGTTTTAAGTGACATGCTCAAAAATTATGTATGATAGATAAACAGAAAACATTAATTCCATCCAAAACATTTAAAAATGATTTATTTGATTGGAACCATAATTTAAATTAAGAAAAAAAAGAAATTCGGGCAATTTTTCAGCTTTGATTTTTATAAGAAGTAAATTACTCATTGGCTTAATCAATTTATCATAATTTTTTTTCACAGGTCCACCAGTACCAGATTTTATGAGAAGTAGGTCACAGTCTATTATTAGCACCGACAGTCACCATGCTATTAGAGGGGCGACACCACAAAGGTATTTAATTATTTGTAACTGTTGTTCATTGCATTTGTAATTGTTGTTTATTGCTAAATTAAAACATTCAGTTTTTTTTTATTGAAACTTTAGACAAAAGTTTTGGTATTAATCTTTTATTCTTTTAGTTACATGTACCTGTGAAATATTTCATTTAAAGTGTGAAGATAGCTTTAAGATAAGACCTTTTTTATATTTTGAAAGTTCTAGTTGAGTTTTATAAAACCTTATTTTAGCATACAATAATGAAATGTGCATCAATAATCAATACATGTGTAATGACAGAAAATTATTATTATGAAGACCTTTTTTGCAAACATACCAAAGGTATATAATTATTTTATCTTCTTAAACACCTGTTTTTGCCCTGATTGGGCAGTTGAAGTGTTTCTTCACTGAGAAATCTGGATAGTTGTGGTATAGCACATGTATTATGAACGTTTGTGTCATTTTATCCCATGAATCTATATTAATCTGTTTATCTATTAATCTTGGTCCCTGTGTTACTATCCAGGCATTCCTCCGTTGATCCAAGACCTGGAGACTCCAATCAGGATGATGTTCATACACACGCCAGACAGATGTCCGTTGACTTTTCGGCATTGATGCACCATGGCTCTAGTATAGCCCGTACACCATCAACGCATAGTATGTCACGGTTGTCTCTATCTACAGATGCTAGGAGTATATCTAGACCTGTTCCTTATGAGTCACTCAGCACAAGACTTGCACATGCACAACCTATGTCCGGTAAATATGTATCCAAACTTTCCTATTAGCTATTTTTTCACAGTCTGTTATAGTACTTTTTGTAAATTGTTTCTTTAAGTTGGCATATAACATACATGTATAAGAGCGTAGGACATCTTAAAAATGCCTGTGAAAATTACATATGTTAAATGATATTTTTATGTATGTTTGAATGTGTAGGGAGTAACAGCCTTGTAGTACAGGTAACTGAATTTCATTTAATCAAGGGGATTTGGGTTTGAGCCCTTCTAGTACCACACATGTGACACGTCTTATATGACGCTGGTACTAAAAACAATCCTGAAGGTTCAAATGTTAAAATTTTCAATTTAGCTCACAATTATCTTACCAGCTGAGATTTAATAAATACAAATTAAACTGAAAATAGCTATTAACTTAAGAAAATAAAGTAAAATATACATTTGCATATTTAAAAATGTTTCAGGTTATATAACAGATCCATTAAAGGTGACCATGTTGCGAGGTCATCACAACTGGATTGCTGTAGCATACCCACACTTTGTGTGCTGTTTTAGGTAAATATTGAACATCTTCTTTAATCATTCTCATTGTTTTGTGACCTAAATATGCAGTACATGTATTAAATACCAATTTGTTTTGGATATTTTACAAGTTATTTGATTTTTATATAGTCTGTGGCTGAGGTGTTTGGTTTAACTGACCTCTTTTTCCACTTGCCCTACACTCCTGTGACTTAAGTTTGAGAAAAATGAGCTAATTATTTTATGAAGAAGCCATCAAAGTCAATGTTTCATATCTGGTTCTGGGATATTCATGTACATCAAAATATGGTTCTGGGATGTTCATGTACATCAAAATATGGTTCTGGGATGTTCATGTACATCAAAATAATGTATGAAAAGTGTTTTAAAGCTCTTCCACCACTTTAAAGCTAGAAAGTTACAGCAAAGTTATAGCATATTACTACAATGTATATGACCTAAATATTACCAGTGCTACTTTAAACCTGGACTTTAGGCATAATTAAATGATGCTGTTTTTTTTTGTTTTTGTTTTTTTATACATAAATCGTGTAAAGTAAATCATTTGTTGATATCGCAATTATTTTATCCTTATAGGATGAAAGATTCTACTGGCTGGCATCTGATCTGGACAAGTTCCTACCTGGATATACCTATTGAACGTATAGCTATCAATGCTAAAGTCCTGTCAGCCAATCAGGATAATACAAACAAAATGGTTGCCGCATCTTCTGCTAGTCTTGTCAGGCTCTGGTCAATATCCGACGGTGATGGCGAAAGCCGAGAAATTGGTATGCGATATAAGTCTTCCTTTATAAAGATTATAGTTAGAAAAAGTCTTTTGAGTACAATGATAAAAAGAAATTTTATACGTTAAATCAGGTTGAGAGATTGCATGTGGCAAAAATCATTGGAAGGGGATGCATTGACAAAAATTAATTGAGGTATCTAATTGACTAATTATTGTGACCTTTACGATAATGGGATTGAGCCCCTCTGAAGTCACAACCAAGTTTCCTTATATGTCACTTATTTGGTTAATCCAGTTAGCGGAATGGAAAGTAATTCATATTAAATGAAAGTTGTTTCAAAAATCCAGCTTAACTTAGTATAGTACCAGTGTGTTTGATTTAAACTAAAGCTAAATATTTCAAAAGTTTTTATGTGATGATATGCAACTGTTTGCCCAAAAGGGTTCACATGACTGTTTTTCATTCCCTTTATTTTGTTGTATATTTCAGGTGTGTTCAACTTGAATGTGTCAGTTGATTCCCTGTTCTTTATAGGCAGTCAGCTTGTTGCTCTCAGTAAACTTGGAAAGGTTGGAGTCTGGCACTCCATGACACATAATTGGCAGGTATGTAAAATATGAGAAGGCTGGTTCGTTTGGTCTCTTCTGGGAAGAGAATTTGCAAGTTAGAACACCTGTGAAAAGAGGTTTAATCAAATGTTCGGCAGTCATTTTAAATTGGCATCCAGTCAGATTTTTCGATTTTAATAATAAATGACCTTTTGCTTGATTTGTGATAAAATATTTATTTTTGTCATCAGAAGAAAGTAAATGTGTAAACAACCGCAGTATTAAAATGTTTTATTTTACCCGCAAGCCTTGTTAGCTATGCTGTTTGATTGTGTTACTTTTACCTCTTCAAAGTCTTCAGGTGGAATAGATAGAAGAGCTTCACAAAATATAAGGCGACCAATCAAACAGTCTGGAAGAGCTCTTCTAATTCTAGTAGCCCTTTCATTTTTCCACCTGAACCATCAAAGAGTAAACTGCATGAAATTATCATTGTCTCAATCACCTTATGTTAAGATGACTTGAAATAAATTTCATTTTACAACTGTTTGAATCATGCTAGGATTTTAGAATGTTTTTCTATTTCTTGTAAGGAAATCTTCAGCTAGTTTGTAGTTAGTCAGAAGGTGTATGCTTAACAGAATGATAATAGAAGTTCATTTAGCTTTCCTTCACCAGTGAAGCTGCAAAATTACCATATCTGATATTAGTAGTGAGTTTGGATCACTGATATTGCTTGTTGTTTAATTCCCTCCCTTTCATGTGTGGAAGCTACACAATAAGGTAATGGTAGGTTGTTGGATCTAGTCATGCAATTGCTAGTATCTGAAATGATTAAGAAGGGGGCACCTTAAGCTGTCTTCCACCAGTACAGGTGAAAAGTTGCCAACTGATCTTCAGTGTTGATGTGATCTAAAACCCCGTTCAATTCTAAACAGTAACAGTAACAAACAGATAAGATGTCATATAGAGAATATAGAAGCTTTTTATTTTAAGATTTAATGTATTGTATGTATATTTTCAGATTCAAGATGTTGTGGCTATTACAAGCTATGATAAAGCTGGATCTTTCTTACTTCTTGGTTGTGAAAATGGTTCTGTCTATTATATTGGTGAGTAGGATTTGTGAAATTTAATGTGTAGTAGAAACTTATATTAAACAGTCTTGAATGCGTGTTTCCAGTCTTAAATGTGTTATTTCAGGCTCTTAAATATGTTTATTTTTCATTTTCTAAAATGTGTTTTCAGTTTTTAACATGTTTTCAGTCTCAAATATGTGTTTCTAGTCTCAAATATGTTTTTTCAATCTCAAATGTGTGTTGTCAGTCGTGTTTTCAGTCTCAAATATGTGTTTTCAGTCTCAAATATGTGTTTTCAGTCTCAAATATGTTGTTTAAAGTCTCAAATATGTGTTCCCTGTCTCAAATGCATGTTTTCAGTGTCTCATATGTTTCCAGTCTGAAAAATATGTTTTCAGTCTCAAATATATATATGATTTGAGTATGAAATATAAAGTATGGTTCAGTCTTTACTATAATTTGCTTTGTTTTACTGTCTTGACTTGGAAGGATTTATCTAGAAATTGTACTTACTTCATGCATACTGTTTTCATGTTAAATATTTAAGTTTGACTACTATTTGAACAGATATGCAGAAGTTTCCTTTACGTATGAAGGATAACGATTTGTTAGTGACAGAATTGTATCGTGATCCAGCCGGGGACAAAGTTACAGCTCTTAGTGTGTACCTCACACCTAAAACAAGTAAGTTGTTCTTTTTAAATACATTTTCTTTGTTTTTTAGGGTTTGTAATATATTTGTTTGTTTTTTTTGCAAAACTTTTATATGATTATACAAATGGAATAGAATTGACAATAAATGTGCACTTTTAAAATTAATTCTGCACAGCAGCTTGGCTTGATAATGAAATGATAAAACTCTGCTTACTTTGTTTCTTTGTTCAATTTTAGTATACATGTATTTATTAGTTTACTTCTATGGAAAATTAATGCTTTTTAGCTCGACTTTTTTTTTTTGAAAAAAAAGTAGAGGTATTGTTATAGTCAGGTCGGCGTTGCTGTTGCCGTTGCCGTCCGCAAACTTGTACCTGGATCATAACTTTTTTATTTCTTGGTGTATTGTCTTCATACTTGGCCACAACAACCCTTGGGACAAGACCTTTCAGTAGACCACACTAACCTTGACCTTCATCCATAAATGACCTTGACCTTCAAGGTTAAAAGTCCAATTTTTGCTTGTTCATGCTGTTATTGGCTGTAACTTTGTTATTTTTGAATGGATTGTCTTCAAACTTGAAACATAATAATCTCAAGGATATCCCTAAAAAATAACTTGCCAGACCTTGACCTTCACTCATAAATGACCTTAACTTTGAAGGTCAAATTATTGAAATTTTCCATTTTTTTGGCTATTATTGGCTGTAACTTTGTTATTTTTGAAATGGATTGTCTTCAAAACTTGAACATAATTATCTTTCAGGGATATTCCTTAAAAATAACTAGACAGACTTGACCTTCACTCATAAATGACCTTGACTGTGAAGGTCAAATTATTGAAATTTTTCATTTTTTTGGCTATTTATTGGCTGTAACTTTGTTATTTTTTGAATGGATTGTCTTGAAAACTTGAAAACATAATAATCTTCAAAGATAACTGTTAAAAATATCACCGAAAGAACCTTGACCATCACTCAATAATGACATTGTCTTTGAAAAGGTCTAAAAAAAAAAATTATTGAAGTTTGATCATTGTTTTTGGCGGTAACCTGAACTGGCTAAACTTTGGCTATTATTGAAGGGGGATCAAACTTCCATATTATAAACAGAACATTCTTAAGGACCAGACCCCGTTGTTTATCAAAACCCAAATTTGCTTTTTGTGCTCTTTAATGACCTTGACCTTGAAGGTTAAATTACTAATTTTCTCAAATTTGTGCATTAAATGACCATAATTATAATATTTATTGGTGTGTGTATACCGTAATAATTCTATTTAGGCCCGGCTTTAATTAGAATCATAGACTTTTCGAAAGTTGGGGATGGGCGTTAATTGGAGAGACGCATCTTCATAAGACAAACTAGTTTTCTAAGGCAAGGCTTTATAAATCCACACTCGCCCTTCATAACTATAAGAAGAAATCGAATCCGAAGATAGAGCGGAAGTTTGATTTATAATTGCAGACAACGCTAAAGTCGATTTCGGTATCGTAACGTACCGGCTAAAGTCTGTTCTTTCCGCACTTTAATACCGTGCATGTAGAGTCCGGTATCCGAGCACGGGAATAAAAATGAGCCTCACGCATTTTTTACTGCAAAAATATTATTGATTTTTCCCAACGAAATTTATTTATGTAAGGTTACCAATAAACTCTGTAATCTGGGATGTTCTATACAATTCAAAAAAGTCAATGGAATATTTCGAGTCCGCGATCATATGCATTTTTTACCCGCCAATATAATTGTTAAAAAAAAAGTAAGAATAGCTTCTGTCGATTTTACTGACACACAAGCATATATGTTCTTAAAGGGATTGATGCGGGATTTTGATATAAAAAGACAATCGTCTATTGTTCAAAATAATTTTAATCAGAACTAATCTCCCATGTTGGGCCCCAATACATTGAACCACGCACATTGACCTTGCTGACGTAATGAAATAGGCGCGTGAGTCTCGGAATGGTTATTTTTTATACATGTATATATATTTTATACATAAAAACACATTGAATTTATGACAACACCTATGCTTGTGTCTATAAAATCTGTTATTAAGGGATATTCACGTTTACAAATATACATGCCCAGTCGGAACTATGTACTTCATGTAATTTTGGAACCAGAAAATGAACATAGTGATAGCGCAATTATCGTAAAAAAATAATGGATCTCTTGTTGGAATATACGGAGGGAAAGCCTCTTACAAAATTGATTCATAGATGGACTTATTGTAGAAATCAGTGCCGAAATACTTGGAGAACCGCGTTCGTCATCAAAAGGAACTTTTGTAAAAGGTGGTGGCATTGAAATACCATGTACATATAAACTTTACGGAAAGTTTGTTCCTACATGAAAACGGAAATAAGGAAACTTGAATTGTAAAGGTAAGCTCAATTGTACTCAAATCGGGGGATGGGCGTTTAAAAGGGGCAGTTAATTTTTCAACTTTGGGCTGAAAAATGGCCGTTTTTTGTCCAAAATATGGGGGGTGGGCGTCTATTAGAGGATGGGCTCTAAATAGAATTATTACGGTATATATATTTACAACAACAACAACAACAACAAGAATTGCGTCATTGTTTCTATTAATAGAATTGCGTCATTGTTTCTATTTTTAGAAATTGCGTCATTGTTGCTATTTTAAGAAATTGTGTCATTGTTGCTATTTTTAGAAATTGTGTCATTGTTTCTATTTTTAGAAATTGCGTCATTGTTTCTATTTTTAGAAATTGCGTCGTCATTGTTGCTATTTTTAGAAATTGCGTCATTGTTGCTAATTTTAGAAATTGCGTCATTGTTGCTATTTATAGAAATTGCGTCATTGTTGCTATTTATAGAAATTGCGTCATTGGTGCTATTTTTAGAAATTGCGTCATTGTTTCTATTTTTAGGAATTGCGTCATTGTTGCTATTTATAGAAATTGCGTCGTTGTTTCTATTTTTAGAAATTGCGTCATTGGTGCTATTTATAGAAATTGCGTCATTGGTGATATTTATAGAAATTGCTTCATTGTTTCTATTTTTAGAAATTGCGTCATTGTTTCTATTTTTTGAAATTGCGTCCTTGTTGCTATTTTTAGAAATTGCATCATTGTTTCTATTTTTAGAAATTGCGTCATTGTTGCTATTTTTAGAAATTGCGTCATTGTTTCTATTTTTAGAAATTGCGTCATTGTTTCTATTTTTAGAAATTGTGTCATTGTTTCTTTTTTTTGAAATTGCGTCATTGTTTCTATTTTTAGAAATTGCGTCATTGTTTCTATTTTAGAAATTGCGTCATGTTGCTATTTTTAGAAATTGCGTAATGTTGCTATTTTTAGAAATTGCGTAATGTTTCTATTCATATATATATACAAAATATATAAACAAAACTAATGTGACAAGACAGACCAACTAAATTTATAAAAAGGAAACGTTAAGATATGTTCAAACCTTTCTATGTTTGCGTTTAGAAAAAGTAAAAAGTCGAGCGTTGCCCCCGCCCGGCGGTGGCTCTTGTTATACATATAATTGCTGTGCTGGTTTAAATTTTCAAAAGAGTAAATACTTCTTTTCTTGGTTTATATTAGGTGATAAGAGATCTTTGAATGGCAGGGGTATACAATATTTAGCAGTTGTGCTTGTTTATTTTATGATTTCTATGGGATTTTACTGAAGAATTTGAATAAAACATTCCTATAAATATTTTAGAATTGATATTCATTAACCAATACCAACTAAAAATGGGTTAGTCTTTGCCACCAGTATAGAGCCCGGCCAGCCTGCACATTCTTAAAGTAGAACCAGGCTGTATACTGTTTGCTGAATAAATTTGAGCCGTGTCACGACAAAACCAACATAATGGGTTTGCGACCAGCATGGATCCAGACCAGCCTGCGCATCTGCGCAGTCTGATCAGGACCCATGCTGTTCGCTATCAGTTTCTCTACTTGTTATAGACTTTGTAAGCGAACATCATGGATCCTGATCAGACTGCGCGGATGCGCAGGCTGGTCTGGATCCATGCTGGTCGCAAACCCATTATGTTGGTTTTGTCATGACGCGGCTCATTTATACTTTTATCTTAGTATCCCCAAAATTGATAATGGGCAGTTCCTATAATGGAAGCTGAGCAAGGACATTACACATGTTCAGCAGGTTAAGGGTTAATTAGTTTAACGTAACATTATACCCATCCAAGGTTATGAAGTCAGTAAACAGATAAAAGTCAAAATAAGTTTACATTTTGCCATTATTCCTTTAAAGTGACATTATGCACATATTTTCATAGTCAAGTTGAGCTGAATTGACTTTATATTTCAAAAGTTTGACTGTTGAAATGGTGTTTGACCAACAGGTGATATTTGAAAATGTTTTGGATAAAATTATAAAATTAAATATAAAAAAACTGCCCCACTCTTTTTATAAACTGAAAGGTACAAGTAAATTCTAATGGATATTTACAGAAAATTCCCTAGGATCCGTGCATAATTTATTGTTTATTAAATCAAAAGGAATTGTTGCAAAATGAAAACTTATTTATATATCCACATGTTCACTCAGTATATAGATGGGCATAATGCCACTTTAAATTTTATATTTAAATTTGTATGAAGGATAAAATTTAAAAAACTAACAAGGCCCAAAGAAATTTTGATAAATATCCATTTGAAATAACATATAATACTCAATTTTTAAAAGATAGGGGCAGTCATTTTTACAGTTTAGGCAGATTTATATTTTATCCTTAACATTTTCCAATATCAACTGTTGGTCAATCACCATAATTACAGTCAATCTTTTGAAATATAAAGTCAGTTCAGCTAAACTTGATAATGGAAAAATGAGCATAATGTCTTTTTAAGTCTTTGATTGCTAGTAGCAATAATGAATTACTTATCTCACAAGTATAAGATCACATCTTAGATATATGACCAGATTGATAAAAAGTTGGTATGTTTGAATTACAGAATTATCATTAAATGTGCAAGTTAAATTGATGTTTGTTTATGTTAAAAAGAACTTGTTAAATATTAAATTATTATTATCATTTACCTGAATATTATTTGTGTTTATTGTTTATTACCTTCCTTCAATCAGGATTTAGGTTTAGAATTTATGCTTTAAAGCAATTTATTATTATCATGTTATTAGATGATAAAGGATGAAAGGAAACTGCAATACAGGCCTTCCCTATTAATGCTCATAGAGATTTAGATTTTACTCATGTGTAATTTATTCTTTAACTCGTGTTTTTTCCCCTTAAATTTCAAATAAACCTCAATTAGGTTTTAAACTATTGTAATTTATTCGAATGCAACTCTTTCTTTTGTAAAGAAAAAATTATGAATATGGCTGAATGTTTTCAGGTGTGAGTGGTAACTGGATAGAAATTGCATATGGCACGAGTTCTGGCACAGTACGGGTCATAGTGCAGCACCCAGAGACTGTCGGGCACGGTCCTCAGCTGTTTCAAACATTCACTGTCCATCGAAGTCCTGTAACTAAAGTCATGCTGTCAGAAAAACACCTTGTGTCAGGTAAGGATTTGCTTAATCTTATAAATAAAATAATGAAAAACTTTTGTCTGGACATTGTTTTTGTAATATTGAAAAGTGATTTAACAAAATTCCAAAGGAAAACTGCCTTATCAAAATTGCAAGATCTAAAATCAGTTGTAATATATCTAATGCTTAATGATATATGCGTTTGTAAGAGTTGGTCTGCATCAGCTATGCCTGATGAATGGCTAATTTTTTTACCCTAGTGCAAAATAATATTGACATTTCTTGATATCTTTGTAAATGTACAATTGATACATTCGTTATCTGTATAAATAGAAACAGAAGGTAAAATTGTATTCACCATTAATAAAGACATAACCATCGTCAATAATTTGTGTCAGAATGTTTCATCTATCCTTTTTTACTTTCCAAAAATATTGTTAAAACCAATTAATCATCCAAGAATCGTAGATTTTGGTTAATTTCCATCTTATCTCTAATTCGTTATTTCTTGACTTTTTTGCTTATGTTGATTTTAATATTTACTGATGTGTATTTTTCTAAAGCTATTATTATATTTGCAGTATGTTCTGAGTACAATCACGTACGTACATGGAGTGTGACACGATTCCGTGGAATGATCTCAACACAGCCGGGCTCCACACCTTTAGCTTCGTTTAAAGTGATATCACTGGAGGACTATGATCCAAATCAGAGCTACATGGCTGGAAATGATTTTGGTAAGTATATAATATTTACAAATAATTATGATATTGTTTTATAAATCAAAGCGTTATATTTTGTTTGAATTGTACCCTGGCAGTTGTATGGTTTTATGATGTAAATTTAAATTTATGTTAGAAATTCTGATACTCTTTAATATAATAGAATAGCTGTGGCCTCAGGTTTATTAAGGATCATATCATTGTGTATGCAAAGCAGTATTTTACTTTTTCAAAATACTTAGAACTAGAGCTTGTAGTTTAAAAATTAAAATATAATTTCATGTGTGAGTTTTGATTGTGTATATACTGTACATATCTTATGTCTCTTTTGTTTTATTTTTATCCTTTGTCTAATTTATAAATACTTATATTCCAGGTCCATTTGGAGAGCAAGATGATCAACAAGTTTTTGTGCAGAAAGTAGTTCCAGAGACTGATCAGCTCTTCATACGCTTATCATCATCTGGCAGGAGGTAAGTTCTAGAACTAGTTTTTATGCTTGACTAATCAAAGATTGGGAGAGCTATTGTACTCACCCAGGTGTTAGCGTCACACTTCAAGTTAAGTTTTTGCATGCAAATTGGTATCTCCAGAACCACTGAAGGGAATAAGTTGAAAATTCACACACTTGATAATGTGATAATCTAACATGATAGGGACAGGTACATAATACTTAGTTACCTTTTGCCAGAGTTATGCCCCTTTTCTTACTGTCAAGCACCAAGAATAGTGGAACCTGTCTTACTGACAGCTCTTGTTGTATATGATTAAACTCTTGTTTGAGAAAAGTTTGTATATGGCATCCTTAACTTTTGATTTGTTCACAATTTTGATAATTACATATAAAACAACATTATTTGGGTTTAATATTGGTTGTTAAGCATGTGTTTCACATAATTTTATCTAAAAATACAGAAAAAAATGACTTAAAAGTGATAATTACAGGTATTGATTAACTTATCACAAATGAATGATTCATTTAATACTCTCATACTTTTCTTTGTCTTTGTAATAATGATTATGTCCAATTATATTTGCAGAGTTTGTGTGATTAAGTCAGTAGATGGTACAACGATTAGTGCATTCCGAGTCCATGAGTGTGAGGGCTCAAGTAGAATGGGCTCACGCCCTCGTAGGTTCCTCTTTACAGGTCACACTAACGGTGGTATACAGATGTGGGACCTTACAACAGCCCTAGATCTGATGAGCCCTGTTGAAGAGAGTAAACAAGTTGGGCCAATAAAACCTTGTAAGTAAAAAAACTAATTATCTTAAAATATTTGTAAAATAAATGGACATTCTTGCATGTAGAAGCAAAATAGATGTATGGCTGGTAACATTTAAAAAAAATAAATTGTTTACCTCAACTGATGCTGGTGGTGTTGGTAGTTTTCAGTCCGGATCACGTCAGTAAGCCACATTGAATTCACCAGATCTCAGTTTAGCCACCACCTCAACTGATTCATTGAGTTGCTTTTTATCAGCACAAAGACTTTATTGTAGCCATAGAAAGTATTTTGAAATAGGGTTCTTGAAGTTTGATGAGGAAACCCTTCCATGGCTTAAAAAATAATTTGTTTTACTTTGAAAATATTTACGCTCATGGCTGTTTATTCATATCCCACAATGATTTTTTTAATGTGAGGATGATAACTTGATAAGCAACAGAAGTCAATGGTTCTGCTCCGGTACCAGTGTATGTTTGATATATTGCACAGAAAAACATCTTAGGCATTCCTAATCTGATATAGCAAGAAAGCCGGCCTATGACTTTATAAGGTTTAATGTGACTTAAACCTGCTCCCCACCTCAAGTAATGAAACTTTTCAATGTTGAAATAAATTTAACTACTTTCCTCATCAACAAAATGGAAAGTTTTTCTTGAAAAAAAAATTCATGGAGATTTTCCTACTTATTGATATATTTTGTTCATGTTTTTCAGCAACAACAGAACAAAATCTTGGTGGACCGACACCTAAGGAACTGGTGAAATTGTTAGACCAGTGTGACATATGCCAATCACAAAACTCCACCCCATGTATAAGCCCCTCCCCTTCTATTATTGGAGGAAGTATCCAAAGACCGTGTCTAGACTTGGTACATGGGATTTCAGTGCCAAACATAGAGCATTTAGAGGAACAAGGTGCCGCTGGCGGGATCGAGAAGTCTCAGGTCACCAGTTTATGATGCATGCTCTCTTGTTATACAGGTGATTTCTGCTTGTTGTGAGATGTATTGTAAAAAACTGTTCAGCTAACTCTTAACATGCTTAATTTGTGTAATGGATTAGCCAAGCTTTGAATTTGGAACAGTCCATTTAAAGATTTAGGGATCTAGATATTAGTATTCAAAAATTGAACTTCAAACAGTATAGAGCTTGGTCAGACTACACAGCTTTGTGTGTATTTGCGTTTATTTATACTTGCCAACGGTTGCCCATATGGCGAGTCCTCCAGAAGAGTATTAGACTAGTAATTTTAGTTGGCCAGCCCGGGAAACGAACCCACAATGTTGAGATTACAAGTCATCATGCTCTAACCGATTGAGCTATGCGGGCTGGCAACTATACAGATGTGCAGGCTGGCCTGGCTTTATACTAATGGCAAAGGCTGATCACTTTTGGTTCAAGCAAGTTAAGGGTTGGAGCATCTTTCTCTCTAAATTACTTTTGTAAAATCATTTCTTTTGATTGAATTTCATATTTATCATATAACAACAAAGGAGAATATTTTTTTGGAATAAGTTTTAAATTCTCCACATTATTTATTGGAGAAGCAAGAGATTTCCAATTAAGATCCTTAAAAATGAAATGCTTTTCACAATATCTTCTCACCAAATATATGTTGAAACAAAAAAAAAAATCCTAATCAATTTTATTTTGTTCTTGTTTTATGTGTAATAAAAATGAATAACACAGTAAATTATTTGATTGTTCAGCATTTAACCCTTTGTGCATTATACATAAAGCCAAATAATTAAAGTGCTTTCAACTAATATTTAACATTCAAATTTTGTCTTGTTTTATAGTTCATCTTGATCTAAAACTTTTCACATTCTGTGCATTAATCAGTTGACACATGTTTTTTAAATGTCAGAATGTCTGTTTTCAACCTATGTCATGCTTGAGTTTTCTAATTGCCCTGTCCTGCTTTGAAACTAGAACTTCTTTTTTAACACTAGAGATTTAGGAATTTTGATATTAAATACTAAAATTGAAGATGTGCCTTTAAAGTAGGGATGGCAACGAGTAACCGGTTAACCGAGTACTCGATCGAACGTCCGAATATCGGTTAAAAAAATTGATAATCGATTACTCGGAAAAAAATATTTAATTTCTACTTTTTTGCGATTTAGAAAGATTAGTTCAGAAATTCGGAAATGTACACGTATCTATATAAATACTTGTTAAATGCAATCAAAACATCCTTGCAGAGGTGTGAAAATGATATCGTAAATTTAACGAGACGATCAGCAGTTTGACACGCGTATGGGATTGAACACAGTCCTGTGTCGTTTACGTCATTCGGCCTCTTATGATATTTAATCGCCTTTAAATATATGACAGTTTGTAGCCGAAACTTGTTAATTATAAAAACGTAAATATATACGGAATATTATGTTGTGCTACGAGCAGCGGTGGAAAAATTGATATCACGCGAGACCGAATGTCGAGCGTAATATCAATTTTCCAACATTGCGAGTAGAAAAATGCATAGGCTCAGAAAGCTTCTACAACATAATTTTCTTTTTATTATATACCTTTTTGTTTGAATTATAAACGATTTTCATTATACTACACTATAAGAAATTTCAGAAAATGAAATGTAGCTGTCAAGAAGTAAATTTATGACTGACGGATGAATACGTAATTTTTGCAAAACCCGCCACCCCTTTTATAATTTTGGTTTCTGTTTTAAATGCTACGTTTATACAAAGCTAAGATCGGAACCATTGCCAAAAATAGTCCGGCACTTCCATATATGGTACCGTATTTGTCAATTTCTATCCGTTAATTGAAGCGTATTTGCGTTCATCCTGTATTTTAGGGAGAAAATTTATAGGTATATAAGAAATGCTGTCATTGACATTTCTTATGTTTATATATTTCTTGCAGTCCTATTTATAGTTACGAATTCTATTAATTAAAATAGAAAACGAAAGTAGCATACAGACGGTGTTGATATTGATTGTGTGATAAAACTTTAAAGATCATTAAAAATCATCCGAGTAACCGAGTACTCGATCGGAAAAATGACCGAGTACTCGAGTATTGATTTTGGTATTCGTTGCCATCCATACTTTAAAGTATACATATGTAAAGCATATAGTCTGTTGAATAAGTTCAAAACTGTACATGTAGGTCATTTAAATAACTATGAAAGTATTAATTGGTTAGTATTTTTTTATCTGACATTTAATTAGCTGTAGATCTGTCATTAATTTTACTAATCTATGTTGCAATTAACAGTAATAGGTCATAAATATTACTATTACATATTTGGATTATTGATTATATATGTAATATGGGAATTAAATTACTATTATATGTAGTGAATACAGTGTTTTGGTCAGTATAATTACTATTACATTTTATGATTAGTTGATTTTAATTTTTGATGTAGGTTTTCCATATAAATGTACATAATTATTACATGTTGCTATTACATGATTATCATTATATTTCAGATATATAATTGTAGTATACTAGTAATAGAAACCTTCTGTTTACATAACTTTTACATGTAATGTTTACAGTTTGGACCTGGTGAAAGATACAGACATAACAGAAGTAATAGCTACTGGGTGTGATCAGAAGAGTTGTCTCCCTTTGAACTTTGAATTCTGCCAATATAATACTGGATCTGACAGAAGGATGTTTTGTTCGTTTGACAAGAGCAGTTACCTTGTGAATCGTGCCATTTTAGGGAATATAAACTATACTTTAATGGATATACCATACTTTATAAAGCACTTAAATAATTTTTGATATAACACTAATGTAATACTGCTTTTTTCAACATCATAGCAACGTGTTAAAATGTAGGCTTTTGCAGTATGTATATCACTTAAAACATTACATAATGTATGTATTTTTAGCTCACCTGAGCTTGCTCAGGGTGAGCTTTTAGGATCGGTGAATGTCCGTCGTACGTCGGATGAGTTCGAATATGAGTCATCTCGGATGAAAAACTAGGTCACAAGAGCTAAAAATAGAAAAACCTTGTGAACACTCTAGAGGTCACATTTTTGACCCAATCATCATCAAACTTGGTCAGGATGTTTGTCTAGGTGATAGCTCGGATGAGTTCGAACATGGGTCATCTCGGATGAAAAGTAGGTCACAGGAGCTATAAATAGAAAAACCTTGTGAACACTCTAGTGGTCACATTTTTGAACCGATCATCATCAAACTTGGTCAGAATGCTTGTCTAGTCAATTGCTTGGATGAGTTCCAACATTGGTCATCTCTGATGAAAAACTAGGTCACAGGAGCTATAAATAGAAAAACCTTGTGAACACTCTAGTGGTCACATTTTTGACCCAATCATCATCAAACTTTGTCAGGATGCTTGTTTAGATAATAGCTCGGATGAGTTAGAATATGGGTCATCTCGGATGAAAAACTAGGTCACCAGAGCTATAAATAGAAAAACCTTGTTAACACTCTAGCGGTCACATTTTTGCATCAATCATCATCAAACTTGGTCAGGATGCTTATCTAGTTGATAGCTTGAATGAGTTTGAACATGGGTCATCTCGGATGAAAAAGTAGGTCACAGGAGCTATAAATAGAAAAACCTTGTGAACACTCTAGTGGTCACATTTTTGAACCAATCATCATCAAACTTAGTCAGAATGCTTGTCCAGTCAATTGCTTGGATGAGTTTGAACATGGGTCATCTCGGATGAAAAACTAGGTCACAGGAGCTAAAAATACAAAAACCTTGTTAACACTCTAGTGGTCACAATTTTGACTCAATTGTCATCAAACTTGGTCAGGAAACTTGTCTAGGTCATTGCTGGGAATAAATCGAACATGGGACATCTCGGATGAAAAACTAGGTCACAGGAGCTAAAAATAGAAAAATCTTGTTAACACTCTAGTGGCTACTGTTGTGATCCAAATATTCTGTTAATTGGTCGGAAAGTTTGTTTTGATGATTTCTAAGTCAAGATTGAACATGGGTCATCTTGGATGAAAAACTAGGTCACACCGCCCATTAATATGGAAAAACCTTGTTAACATTCTAGTGGTCACATTTTCGACTCAATTATCATCAAACTTGGTCAGGATGCTTGTCTAGGTAATTGCTTGGATGAGTTCGAAATCGCATGTGAAACTAGGTCACCGGAGCTAAAAATAGAAAAAATTTGTTAACACTCTAGTTGCTACTGTTTTGATCCAAGTATCCTGGAAATTGGTCTGAAAGTTTGTTTTAATGATTTCTAGGTCAAGTTTGAATATGTGTCACCTGGGTAAAAAAACTAGGTCGCACTGCTCAAATATGGATAATCCTTGTTAACACTGTAGTGGTCACATTTTTGACTCACCTGTCTTGAGACTTGGTCAGAATGCTTGTCTAGGTAATTGTTTGGATGAGTTTGATAAGTCAGGTGAGCGATCTAGGGCCATCATGGCCCTCTTGTTTATTGTATGATAGCTTTCAAATGTATACCTTAAATTTGGTATGATACACACACATGCACTCTTGTGGAGCTGAAAATTGGAAAAGAACAATGTTTCAAATTATATCAATATTGTGAGATAAAATGGCATATAAACTTTGTTCTTACTATATTAAGCTCTAAAACACTGGTGACTGTTCTTATATTTAATCTGAATTTTATCCCAGTTTATTCAGTAGTCTAGTTCACAAATGATCAAATTGTTATATGTTATAACATGCAAAGAGTGCTGAAGGACTAGACTTTCTCATAGAAATTTGCTTTTACTTTGTTTCAAATTGTACTGGTTACAATTGTTACAAAACTATATAATGTGAGGAATGTGTAAAGTGTATGCTAGGTTGTGTTATGAGCAATGATCTGAAAGAATTACCTTTGAACAAAATATTTGTCATGTTTAATAGAGACATTTTATTGATCTGTATTTATTTTCATGGCCATACTTTAGATTGGAGGGGTGGGCATACTGCTTTTTAATTTTATCTAGTCTTTCTGGTAGGATTAGTTTTACCTTGTATATTAAATTTTTAATTTATAAGCTTGAGCCTTAGTATGTGTATAAAAGATTCCTCTGGATAAGAGCTATATTTTGAGGCATCAAAGTTTGACATTATTCTGTAATGTGGATTAGAGCTCTTTATTTATCACATCTGTAACAATGAACATTCTTTGTTACCTTTACAGTGTTAAAACTTAAACTAAATTGTCCATGCTTTGAAATAAGTCTGTAAAAATAATGTTAATCTTATGGGGTTTGATATGGCATGCAACGTTAAGCATATAACAGTATTGAAGTTGATCAAATGCATCTTTAGAATTATACAAGCAACTGTATAGAGCTTGCCAGACTACAGAGATGTTTTTTTATATCAAAAAGTAAAAAGAAGCGCAAAACAATATAGAGCTTGGTCAGACAACAGGGATGTTTTTGGTGTCAAATTTGAAATTTTTTATAACATTTTTCACATTTAATTGTCATATTTGATTTTCATGGTTCCAAAATAATGACCTATCCTACATAATTCTTTTACTCATTTGTGATACCTATTCTTACAAGATAAGCATTGTCATACCTCTTAAGTTTACCACATCTTCCCCACATCTTAATTTCTATATTTTGCTTAAAGTGGATTGGTCTATTGCTTAAAGTGGATTGGTCTACAATTGCAACATTTTCCATAAGTATTTAATAAAAATGTATCATTTAAATTAGCTTACAAAATATTTCTTGAAAAACAATGTTGTTATAGCTCTAAAAGATTTAGTATGAACATGTATCTCACAAATATCAACAACATCCAAATATAATTCTTTCATAGTTTGTTATGACATGGTACTAAATACTGTCAATATAATTATTTATGTTATAACAAACCTATTATGGACCAACTCACTTTATGCATATCCTAGGTTGATTATTAAAATCATTTTTGGGCATTTTGGTGAATTTAAAAACAAGAAAAGATGGGCAATACCTATTACTAAATTGAACAGAAAGTAAGGAATTTTTAATCTTTAATGCAGATTATCTCAAAATCTGATTTTTTTGTTTTCGGACAAATCCCAAACTATCAACATCTTTTTACTTATAAAATGTTATTATCGTGATTTGGATGGTGTTTTATCATTTAAAAAGTTGACTCCTGAGAAATGAGAGGTACATTTTGTATTTCTATTCATGTATTTTGGTATTTGCATTTTTCATGATTTTGCAAATTTTGTAAATATTGATTATTAATTGGATGTATATTTTTAGATATAGGTTATGTAATACAAGTTATGCCATTGCTGTCATGACATTGTTATCTTATTTGTAAATGAATTGTTAAGCTTTGAAAGTAGATATAAAGTGCAATAATACACTGTTAAAATATTCACCCTTGTTTGTTTTAAATATTCACTCTTGTTTGTTTTATTTTCTTGAAAAGTATATAAACTAAAAGTTAAACAATTAAGTCCTGCGTGCAACAAAAACAAACGAGCAAAAGTTGAACAGAAACTATGGAACTATTTTCTATATCACTTGTCCACATTCATACCACTTATATCTTAAATTAATTTTAGTAAGTGACCTAACGGCTAGACCAAACAAGTAAAGAAACTCTGCAAAATTATTCTTTAATGGTAACTAACTGGAAGGGGTTTTGGCTTACAAGTTGACAGCAAAAAGAAGAAATCTTAAATTGAGCTTGCCTCTTGCTGTATGCAGATTATGTATGCGTGGGTCGTTTGAACCTGGATCATCTCTACTAAACGGTGGCTCTTTGAACCATAGGAACTTGAAATTCTATCAATATTAATGATAATATCCAAAATATACAATATATATAAATAAATATTTATACTGTATAGGGGGTATATTTTGCATATTATCATTAATATTGATAGAATTTCAAGTTCCTGTGCTTTGAACCCTCAACACTTCCGTTGTATGGATGCTATTTGTTACCAAAAATCAAGCCTTGTTGAATTGTTTGTATATGTTTGTATATATAATAAATGCTGCTGAAGAAAGCTATAGAAAATTCAAAATAGCGTTTTGAATTTATGATATAGATCTAATAATAAATCGATAGGCAAATATGAAACATATATCAAATAGGGTAAAGGGTTAAAGGGAGGTTACTATTGCACTCAAAATAAAGTTATTATTAGAGAGGCCTCTCCTGATAACATTGTTAATGGCGTAAGAGTTCAAAAGAGAGTCTACTGTTGCGCTCATAATCTAGATGGTTAGAGCGGCCTTCTCTGTAAAATTGCAAATTGGTGGGATTCAAATAGAGGTAAAATAGCGTCGGTTACAGTGATCTCCCATGGTAACATTGCAAATGGTAAAAGGGTTCAAAGTGAGGTAACTGTTGTGCTCAAAATAAGTGGGTAAGAGTGACTTCCCCTTATAAAATTGCAAATGGGGTAAGGGTTAGTGCTGTGCTAAAAAATCGAGTCGGTAAGAGTGACTTCCCCTGATAACATTGCAAATGGGGTACGGATTCAAAGGGAGGTGGCGCTCAAAATAGAGTCGGTTAAAGTATTCTATCGTGATAACATTGGAAATGGGGTAAGGGTTCAAAGGGGGACTGTTTCTCTCAAAAGGGAGGGTACTGTTGCGTTCAAAATCGTGTGATAGTGTCTTCCCCTGATAACATTTCAAATGGTAAAAGGGTACAAAGGGAGGTAACTGTTGCGCTGAAAATAAATTCGGTAAGAGTGACATCCTCTGATAACATTGCAAATGGTGGTTAGGTTCAAAAGGGAGATTACTATTGTGCTAAAATCCGAGTCGGTAAGAGTGACCTTCCCTGATAACATTGCATATTGTGTAACGGTTCAAATGGAAGCTACTGTTGCGCTCAAGACATAGTGGGTAGAGTGACCTCCCCTGATAACATTGCAAATTAAGTAAGGATTCAAAGGGAGGCGGCTGTTGCGCTCAAACTAGAGTCGGTTAGAGAGACCTCTCCTAAAAACATTGCAAATGAGGTAAGGGTTCAAAAGGGAGGTTACGGTTGCACTCAATATGGAGTCGGTAAGAATGACCTCCCCTGATAACATTACAAATGGTGTACGGGTTCAAAGGGATGTTAATGTTACGCTCAAAATAAACTCGGTTACTTCCCCCAGGTAACATTGCAAATTGTGTAAGGGTTCAAAGGGAGGTTACTGTTGCACCTAAAATAGAGTCGGTTATTGTGATCTCCCCTGATAACATTGGAAATGGCGTAAGGGCTCAAAAGGAGTTCGCTTGTTAGAAGTTTTAAAAACTTTAGGACAAATAAAATTCTTATTTGTTCTTTGTTTAGAAAAGTAATTAGAAGGTTCAAAGTCCTGTTAGACTTTTATTTCATATTTAGTCTTTTGAAGCTCCTTCTTTTTTATTTTATTATGTTATTTTATTTCTCAACTTAAAATAATGTTTTATTTCTCCTAATTAGGATTTGAAAGCTTCTAATAGTAAGTTTATTTCTCCTAATTATGAGTAAAAATTTCTATTTAGTTGTAACTGGTAGTATCAAATAGTAGTAAGTTTGTTTTTTATCTCTCCTATTTAGGAGAATCGATCTAATTAGGCTTTTATATCTTTTAATTAAAAGTGAAAAAAGTCCTTATTGGACTTTTGATTCTCCTAAAGAGAAGTGACGAAGTCGTAATTAGACTTTCAACACTCCTAATTACCATTTCTACAGATTTTAAGAATATACGGATTTTGCACAAGACTTTTCCATACAAAAACACATTTGAAGACGTTATCATTATATTTGAATTTTTCAATCATGCGACCACATACATGCATCGAGGATTTACTTTGAGGAAAGTGACCGTGCGACTACATACACGCATCACAGTATTCCCCTTCTCTTACGAGAAAGGGACAAAAAGTTGTCCGCCCTTTTATTGAAGGGCAGACTTAAAAAGTATTCCATTGCCTTATTGCTATCGATAAGGAGGCTTATTTTCACAGATATATCTTGAATTGGTTTATATACAAAGATTATAACGCAAACCAAGCGGGTTATCAGTTAACGGCTTTAATAAGTCCTTTTAAAAGGATAATATATAACTTCATGGACAATCTTTACTTTAAAGTTTTTTCTACTTTTCATTCTATGTATATAACAGAATTATTTTAATTTTGCAAACATGAACGTTTCAAAAACGTTTTATATTGGAGGTATATTTCACACTTTGTTTTCAAATATCAACCTGGGGGCATTTTTGCCAAAGTAATTTCCCAAGCTTGAGCCTTTGTGTGCATAAAGATTAATAACAATGCGAAAAATAGGTAAGGCAGACTGAAGCCTAAATGAATAAAGCACAAACATATTTTCATGTGCGCAGCAGGCAGATCGTCCGTGTCAGTGTTGTTTCATGCATTAAGATGCTCGTAATATGGTTAGGTACCATAATATTTGACTGTATTATTTTCTTATTTGACCAGTTTTGTTTGAAAAAGTTACAAATGCGATATAGAATATTTTTGTACACGGGTTGAAATGGAAATTTCTTTATAAATAGAGGAACAAAAATGAAATAAAAAAGAAATAGAAAATAGAAATGGAAATTAAGAAGAAAAAAATATTCAAATGATATTTTCTCTGAAAGATATATAGTGAATTTGAGTCTGAATGTCTTAAAAATTTGAATAACGTCATCAACCTTTCGCCTCTATTTAAAATCGACATCCACTCACCAGCATGAATAATGCTGAAAACGAAGCAATTTGTAGGGCTTTTGTGCTATAGTAACTTGGAAAGAGTTAAACATAATTTTTTAATTTGAAATTATATTCATAAATGGTACTTTCTAGTGGCCCTCATGCTTACGAAATCGATCTACGCTTCAATATGCATCAACATGCACATTTACCCACTCTGAATTAAAAATAATTAATTGAGCATTTTAGAGAAATTATTAATATTTTAATATTGAAAGAGAGTGCGGAAAATGGAAAAAAACAGTATCTCAGCTATGATACGACAAATTGGTAAAAATTAATGTATATTTTGAATGAACGGATTTTTACTCCCCCATACACGCACGCACGTACGCACGCAAGCACACTTACTAACTTATTAAGTAACATAATCTTACTTTAAATCAATTGATTACGGTTGATGATGTAACTCAAATTTTGAAGACATTCAAACTTAAATACCCTTTATCTTTAAAAGAAAACCATTTTTGAAGGTAAGGTGACAAAATGTTGATGTTTACATATTGTATCTTAAAATGATTTATTAGCATGTGGATACTTAAGTTTTTGTGACCTTTTAAAAGAAATGCCGCATCTCATCGGAAAGTGTGGCTATTCTCAATCAAAATTTACTTAAAGTGAAGTTTGCACAGGGCCAGAAATTTCTTAGCCGGCTCCTCTAGATGTTGACTATGAATCCATGACATTTATATTTTCGAACACAGTTGTGATATGTTAGAAATAGATAAAAACTAACCGTCCATCAATTATGTTTTTATACCGACATGTATATACAACATGTACTAGTACTTCTGTCAACGCGTTGATCGGTTGTCTACCCATTTGATTGTACGGTGTATTGTTGTCAACCTGAGAGTGTCAACTGGTGCAGTTGCATTCTCAACGTCATGACGAATTGCAAGTTATACACTTCTAAATACAGTTTGCAATTTTATCGAAGTTGCATGTTACCAGCTTCCATTTTGTCAAATCGAGATAATCAAAACGCTTAATACCAGTGCAGTATGTAACTCTCGGATCGACAATTATAATTTACTTATCTGTTAAGTAGAACCAAAGTATGAGTTGTCAAGTTTCAAGGCAACGAATAGACTCCATACCGTTGTAGAGGCATCAACCAAAACAAAGCGTACACAGTTAAACGCAGTTTCTAAAAATATCAAATTTAAAAGAAATTTTATCAGTGATTTTAATTTGTAAGTTTAAGTTTCAATGAAATACATTAACCCGTTCTAAAATCAAAAGCATAAGGTGTTGGAATGAACAGAAATTATTGTTAAAATTCCAGCCTTAAAGATGTGTACCGTCTTCATTTTGTACACATTTTTCAATTACGTCTTCAAAATTACTCCATTGGTCTTGAATAAGATCCATATTGTCAAAAACAGCTATTTTGTATTTTCATCAATCATTTGATTCTTATATCTAAAGCTTGTTAGATTTTTATCCATTAAAATGTTTCATATAAAGTTCATTAACTGTAATCATATAAGTATTTCATTGTATGATTGATTAAAGGCTAATTATGCCCTAGATATGCTTTTATTTTTATTCCCGCAAAGCGTTTTCTTATAGTTTTCAAAAGATTGATAATTGGCAAATAACCCGAGTCATAATTTTAGTCTATGAGTTCAGTTATAGTGATTAGGTGTTTTGTATGGAAGTCAAAATAAATACATTTTCCCTTTCATTTTAAAAACTTTTAAATTTCAGATTTAGCTTTACATAAATTTTTTACATAAAAACCCTTTTATGCCACCCTAAATTATAAAAGAATCGTGTAATACAAAACTGTTTCCCCTTTAATTTTCCTTAAAGAACCAAAAAAAAAAAACAAGAAAAAAGATCAAAAAAAGAAAAACAACTTCACCCAAAAAACGCAGCCCCCCGCACACCCAAGTAGGGCACCCAGAAGGCACCAAATAAGTTGAAACTGGGAAACAATAACTATAACATGACACTATACTATCTCAAAATTATCACTTTATCATCGACCTTGTGTTGTCTTGAGTATTGATAAATACTTTTCGACTGCGCAAATTTTCAAATTTTGAAACGCTCACTTGGAAAATTGAAATAAAAAATTGAAAAGGTTAAATGACCTTTGCTTTCCGCGATGGGACAAATAGGATACTATTTTTAAATTATACTGCCTTCTTTATGATGAATGGTTTCTATACACTGTTACTTGGTCAAACATTTGTGTAAGGGACCGATATTTTGGTGTCTTGGTATGGATGGCTATGTAAGAATCATTATCATTTAAGACAGGCGATTGTAGCACGTTTCTTTATTTTTATTTGGAAGTCCAGGTAACTCCGTGATATATTTCACACTTCTTGTCAGTCAAGTAGGTAAAGAATGATTTAGTATATTAAACGGAAATGTATTATTCGCACACCCGGTATTGCTTTGCTTGCGGTCCTGGAGGCAGTCCTTTTTATATAAGTGTTTTATCAGAGGTTCCTTTGTGCTCGATTGAGTAAAAAATACGGGAAGCATTGGTCCTATTGTTATATATTAAACCACAGACCGAGGGTTTAGCTTACTGGAATCATGACCATATCTCCTTAATAATATAAGACAACAGGACCGGTTAACCACAGAAAGCGAACTTGAGAGTTATATTAAATCTACAAATTTCTTTACACTCTAGCTTAAATGTATAATAATTATACTAAAGCATATAACCCTTCTTAACCCTTGGGATCTTCCCGTCATTGCCCGGTTTTTCTGGTTAGTGGTATGTTTAGCTGGAGGCGTTTTATTGACAATGCTCCCACTTGTTGATTTATTGACTTTTTTTTAAAAGGCAAATTATCATAAGTGTTCTGTTATACAGAGGTTTGTTAAAATTGTCCGTTGTATCCAAAAATATTCCCAGTTGGCCTCACACATTTAAAACTTTTAAAACGTGCAGATATAAATCAAAATCGTTCAACAGATACCCGTTGGAAGCACGTTAAATCATTCATGAATTATAATTATATACATATAATCATGTGGAACAACTTTCTAGTGAAACTTCTAAATTAGGAGAACATGATTATAGTCAAGACCAGCTTGAAATGCTGTTTTAAATACGCTTTAACACCACCAATTCTTCTCATTAAAATGAACATGAAAATACTTTTTTTTGTCAATTTCGCCGATATTGAATTTGAAAATCAAGAAAAAAAGCCAGTAACATATAAATTGAATTTTATTACTGTACCAATAAAACATAAATATCAATTTAGGCGAACACGTATTTTCTTTTAGGCGAACACATATTTTCTATCTATATTCTTATAATCTTCATAAAACCTATACGTGTATTGATAATGTTCAAGTACATATGCCATACAATGTATGTGAAACCAATGTGAAGGCAATGTCATTCTTGTATCATATCGGTAAATCCACTTACAATTTTCGATAATGAGACTAGTGCAGTTTCAATGTAAGGAATGGAAATTGTATACCCTGTAGAAATGTTTCAATATGCACATTCGATATGTACAATTAAGATAATTTTATTGTACTTGTTTTAAAAGCAAATAAATATTTCATATGAATAAACCAATTATTTTACTTTAGAAATTTCACTATTTGTACTCATTGTCTTTCCAGTTCCCATGCTATCTTGAAAGAGTTGATTTGGATATCCGTCTATTCAGCGTTTTCTGAAACACAAAACAGTAAAGTAAGCATATGTTATTAGGCAAAGCAAGACTCAAAAGTTATCAGATATAAAAACATTGTAGTTCAAATATTTTATATAAATGATACAAAATTCCCTTGGACGATTCAAGATGAAAAGAAATTTGAACAGCTACGACCATGGATATTTCAGTACTTCTCGAGTTTCAAAGATATGCTGGACTTTTCAATATGAGTCCCAGGTAAATATATATAGCTCCTTAAAGTATACTCGTATAAAGCTTTTATCTGCTGTCTGTTATTTATAAAATTTCAATTTGAAATTTAAAAAAGTACACTTTCAAAATACTTGTATGAAAGAAATATGTTTGTTTGGTTATCTAAAAGCCAAAACACCTTACACAAAATCATTACTAAACCGTTTAAATCATAATAAATATAGCAGAATAATATTTCTTTCCAGAACTTATCATTCTGTTAACATACTATATTAATGTGAATTAAATAACATAGACATTTTGTAAACAACTCGTTCAAAAATTTTCATTAACAGTATTTTTAACATCGTACTTTTACTGTTTATAAACTTTAAAGAAATATTTCATAAGATATAGCTTTATGGTCTTTACCCTTTAGATTTCCCAAGTATTATTATTGGTTTATATCTTGCCCTTGTAAATGAACTTTAGTAATGTTGAAGTTGTGCTCTTGAAATGAGGCATACACCTCTCTGTTGTCATATCAAAAATATGCATAGAGCAACTATGCTAAAACCTAAACAATCGCCATGCATTGAATTAATAGCAATGATATTTTTCCATATGATTTATCCGGTTAGGCCAGTTACAGTTATTTTTCTGTCGAAATCTCACCAAAATAAAAATGAATGTAACTATGCCTCTGATCCATTTTCTTCATCATCACTGTCATCAGAACCATCCTCATCCATATCTTCCAGATACTCCTTACCAAGCTTGAGAATTTCTTTGAAAGCCGCTGAAACAAAGCAGGGTGTCAGTTTATTTCTTCTCATTAGTTATAGGATTTTGTAAAAAAATCTCTTGAAAATCAATTACACGAGTTGCAACAATGTCACAAGTTACAAAATAACTCAAACCAACAGCCCAACATAAATATGAGTAGAGATAAATCAAACTTACATAAAAGTAAAGCATCAGATTCCGGCACCACAGTATCTTCGTGTATATAGTTTATCACCGGAAACATTTTACTTTGTTTAAACTTGAACATGTCTATCAGTTTGTCTTTGTTTTCTTTTAAAATTTTGTTTTCAAATACGTGAAGTTTGCATTCATCTACCACATCACTGAGTAAATCTCCTTTTGTCAAAATGACAATGTAAGGAATATCTGAAATAAAAAAATCAGAAATTATGCGACGGACAAATTAACAAACAAAGAGAAGATAGTATTTGCCGTCTGATCAGACTCGCTCGAAACCTTTGGTACTCTGAAATGGAAGTTGCATAAATTCTGATCAGACTGTTCCAAATTCAATGTTGAGCAAAATCATTACACACCTTTAGCAGGTTAAAGATTAAATAAGTTCAGTTGAATTCACTTGCGATAAAATGATAAGATATTTTCTTTGTACATCAAGAATTATATTACCTTTGTCAAGCAGCCATGCTTGTAGAGATTTAAATGTCTTTTGCATTTTTTCTGAGAGCTCTTCAGCAGGTGTAGATATGTCAAACACAAAACAAACACAATGTACTTTGTCCTTCTTGAGTGGTCGATGCTTAAACTTTTTTGAATCCCTCTTCATGCCTTGTATTATCTAGAATTTACAATGAAAAGATAATAACATAATCCAGTATTGTTAATTCGATTTTTCTTCTTGCCTGTGCAAGAAAAAGAAACATTTCCAGCACATGACTATACAATTATAAAACTTAAAGTACTTCAGCAAATGTTAACTTTTTGTACATGTTTTTATTCAATTATCTCTTTGATATAAAGGGTATAGATATATTCACCTTATATTTTATTGGCACATGTCCAAGAATGACATTTTTGACATCGTCCAGTTGGATGCCATCAGATTCTTGAAAACCTGGTATATCTCCAATAAACACATTGCTATCAATAATGTCTTCAGACTCGTGTTTGTATTTCATTTGATACATTTTATACTGAAAAAGAGAAAAACCAAATTATAACCTTTGTTAAAAATTCTCTGAAGCGTGTATGCAAACACGACATTAATGTGAAACAGAGCAGAACATTCTTAGTATTCAAACTCTTTTCAACATTTCTTTGCACAGATTACTTACCCTCTCAGTTGTAGATACGAAATGTCCATCCTTTGGTTTTCTACCAGTCGCATAGCCTCCCGTTGCTTTAGAATATATTTCATCTCTTAACGCAGATGAAATCGAATCGATGAAGCTTGTTTTCCCACTATACACGGGTCCAACACAAAGAACACGTAGAACATTGTCGCCTAGTTCTTCAAGTTCAGCCCCAATCTTCATTAGCTCGATTTCTTTCTCGTTGGAATGCCTCTGGAAAAATATACCTTACCATTAAAAAGATATGTGCTTTGCATGAATTAGAAATAAAGAGTATATAATAAAACAAACTTGTATATGATTTAAGTGATCATTATTGTCATTGAATCTTATTAATAAAATCAGTAGAATATATACATCAATATCACGATAATAAAATTTTGAGTTGTTAAATGATCTTTTAATCGAGAGGCAGGAAATATTAAAGTGAAGAAAGATGTTTTAACGTGTTTCAAATGAAAAATGATCTTTGATCAATGATCTCAATCTTAGGGTACCCTAATTTTGAAATACAGACAAGGTATTGCTCTTACCGGTATATGTAACTTGCTTGCACGTTCTGACCACCTGTCAAGTTTTGAGGCCATCTCTACAAACGGGATTTGTTATAAAATGAATTGTAAAAGAGAATAGAAAATACTACGAGGTTGTAACGTATTGTTACAATAATGAATACTAAGCTGTAAAACCTAAATTGGGCGAGGCACTAAATTTGTTACAAAGACATAGCTAATAACCAATAATGCTTATCTTCTTACTTCATTGTCTTAAATCGTACGCTTGAAAATTGATACGGTTTCTCTTTAAGTACTCATTATGTGTTTAGGTTTGTTTACCCTCGCCACCGGACAGAGACAACAAGGGCGAGCATATGAAGCACACAATACTGATAAAAGATTGTTTATAACTTGTAAAACTGATACATATACCTTTGTGATTTTCTAGGTAATCTCTTGTAAGTTCAATCATAGTATTCAATGCCTGTAGAGCTAGTCTATCTTTGCCGTTTTTTATAGTTTCATCATTAACGTAGTTTACAATTGGAAATATGTATTTTTCTTGTATACCAAAGAAATTTGAGACAGTTTTCGTTGCATCGCGAGCTTTTGGACTTTTGTAGACTCTGTTAGCATCCTCAGATATTTTCTGACAAAGGTCGTCAAATTTGGTTGCAACAACAACCATTGGTAAACCTACAACATACATAATTTACGTAATGCATATATAATATATATCCTTATACATCATACATAAGAGCTAAGGCATGTAAAGTCAAGTGATAAAGGGGAACCTTTACAGAATAAATATGAATGTCACTTATTTTGAATTCTTTTTGTTATAAACAAGCAAAGTGCTCGTTAAGCTATATTCATATACTGCCCATGATTTGTTTACTTATTGTTCTTTTTTCCGTTCAGTGTTAATGGTAACTACATGGTATTTCACATGTCCTAAAAAAACCCAAAAACCTCCAAACATTAAAATCATTTCATATTCGTATAAAGTACTGATTATCAAAGTGACACTTTACATACCTTAACTAATAAAATATTCGCCCGTGATCATTCAACTTACAAGTAGTGTTTCCTATCTTATTGCTTATTACTCATAGCACAGGATAAAATTATTCTAGCTAATTTTAAACTTAAAACAATTCAAAAATCTAAAAAATAAAATTTCAAATTTTTACACAGATGAATTGAAGCACTAAAAACGGAAACATATGGTAATGATATTATAAAATATACTTCGAACTAAATAAAAAGTATAATCATCAATAAGCCAAAAGTGTTTTAACTTTTTTCTTCTTTTGATTATTTTTCATACTTAAAATTATTACTCGGGAAAAACGATAGAAAGCGAATGAACTGAAAGTTTGCACACAAGCTTCCGTCTTTTATCAATTCGTATAGAGATCTTGAGCAATTATTTCCTGTTACATAAGATAAAACCTCAGTGGTGTCCCTATAGTAGCACAAGATAAAACTAAAAGTGATAAAACTAAAAAAGATACTAGACGGAGAATATCTGTGTTCTCAAATGTTCTAGATATAAAAACAGCAAGTATAGTTAGTTATACGGATAGCTTTAGTATAATTTTACCTTTCCTGTTGATAGATTTTTGTATACTCATTATACGTTTATGTAGATCATCCGTGATAGTGTCTAAATTTGAAGTCCCGGTAACAAAGCACACCAAATGTATTTCGTCTTTCAAACTTGCATTTACCAAGTCACCTTGTTGAATAGGCCCTGGTTGATCTGGAAACTGCAAACATGATAAGAAACGGTATTTAATATGATATGAAAGAAGTAATGCTAAATAAAAACTTATTCCTTAGCGATCTATATTGCCACAATTAGAGTGTGTATGTATAAGTACACATCACTTATGTAATCAAATTACTGTATACAATGAAGATATGCTGGGATAAATTAATTTATTGGAAAACAATAATTGACCCCTTTCTTTGGAATGGGCAATAGGTAACTACATGTAGTACAAATATTTATACTTTATACGCATAATACATTGTACATCGATAACGCATTGCAAGCTAATTGCATTAAATTGTGCCTAAATTCTTTGTTTTCTTTAACAAATGGCCATCAGAACTCCAATTAAGAATTTGAATTGAAAATTTATAAAGACAGCAAACAATGTATCGATTGTAGGATGAAGTTACTGATTCCACTTACAGGTTTGTTATAATCTTATATATGGCTGTATATAATAAGCCAACATAAATTTCGTCTTGCATGATAATCATATAAACTTACACTAAACCCAATTGGTAATCTACCGTTCAGAAGTAGGTCAAACTCGTGCTCATATCCCCTCTCAGCTTCAAATCCTCTGATATCAAATATTCGGAGATTTAAAGGCTTTCCACTCCTTGATTTCAGCTCATATGCGTGAATCTTAAATGCAGCAAAAATTCAAACTAGCTAATTAGTTATTGAAAAAAGATAATCTGCAAAACTACGAGTAAAACGTTAATAAAAATAAAAAGAAACTGCTTTAATGAAAGAATTGTACTACATTTGTATTGCATAATACCATCTTCTTAGCAAATAATTAAGTTATTATTGTCGTTTACTAATCCAAAGAGTCAGAAAATGTATATTTCCAAGTTAAAAGATGAAATGATTTAATAAAAATCTCTGTTAGATTTTTGTTTGTATAATAAATTCATGGATTGTTTGGAAAAAGGAAAAACGTTTAACTTAAGAGAGTATCTCACCTCGTTTGTGACACTTGTTGGCGCATCTCTTGCTGGTGCATGAGACTTTACAGCCCCCATGAAAACCGTTGCCAATGTGTTATAGAAGCTTGATTTTCCAGACCCGATGACACCGACAAGTAATATGTTATATGTTTTGATACCAAGGCCTGGCAATGGTTCCATTTTCTCTAGTTTCTTCTTTATTTCTTCCATTTCAGTATCCTATGTAAATGATATATTATTGTAGCAAACCAAGCATCTTGTTTCGGTGTAAATCAGTAAGAAAAACATTGACATGTACTTTTTCGAAAAACTCTAACGTTTACTTTGTGAAATTATGACAAAAAGAAGAATTAATTGCCATACTGTAATCATTTATTTTCGAAAAGAATCAATTCATAAATTTAAGTATTTTTCTACAATATTTTAAATGAATACACAATTTCTTAAATAATAGTAATGATGATGATGATGATGATGATGATGATGATGATGATGATGATGATAATAATAATAGTAGTAATAATAATAATAATAATAATAATATTGATACACCATGTAATAATAATAATAATAATAATAATAATAATAATAATAATAATAATAATAACACGTTTCAAGATAATACTTCGGTTTTACCTGAAATAACTTTTCGGCCAAATTAACAAAGCGATAACAAATAGTATTTAGAACCTTTATGTCGTAACTTTTATTGCTATCACTTATTTTAAAGCATTAGTTTTATATATTGTAAGTTTAAGCATAATCTCTGTTTGTATTTATATCAATCAGACAAATATGAAATTAATAATAGAAATAATTCTAACACATACTGTTGGTTTAGTCCTCCATGGTTCTTGAAGCTGGTCGTCTGAAGCATTCAAATATTAAAGAAAATATTTGTGAACGAATTCAGAATTGCTGTCTTAACATTCGGTATCTGACAATGTCACTCCGGATCACGGCAGCACGCCACATTGACTTTACTAGAGCACAGTTCAGCCACAGCATCGTTCCTGGGCAGGCTGTCAAGCAGTTTACCAGTACTAGCTGCCTTCATTTTCGCAAGAAACTGATAATTTTCTTTACATGCCAAAGCAGAGGTACAGTGCGACCGGTCGTAGAAAGAATTTTCATGATCAATCACAACAATCTAAATATTTTATCTGAGTGAAAATTAAGAAAATATAGAATGTGTCTTAATATTCTAAAACACATGTAAATCTCACTCCGATACATAAGGTGATTAATATGTAAATATGCCCTCTATCAAACATGCAAAACATGTATACAATACACATTTAATAAACATTTCAACAACTTTTCACCTCGTAGCATGTATCTATATATGAATACTAGGACATGCATTGTTAGATGAACACTAAAATATAAGCAAGCAAATCAGCGACGGCAATTACGCTTGAATTTATTTATCTTACTTTAATATTGATCTTTACAACCATTATCATAACCATTGCCTTCTTACATTTCTTTTGACACAAAACAAATACTCAAAAATAGATAAACATCAGATATATATCCAGATCTGAAGAACTTTCGACAATCACTTCAAATTAGATAAAGCCCTGACTGGTATTTGTTTTGAGATATCCACATACTTGCGCTTGCCCAACATGTCAATAAAACTATCACAAGCGAATTACGTCTAAACTAAAGTCAGGGAAAAAACTGTACCAATATAAAAAGATTATAAATCATCAAAATGATCAGGGAAACTAAATTATTAATATTTCTTACCTACAACTTGATAAACCTCTATCCGTTTAACAACTAACGCCCCAGCGTTTATGTCTTTCTATGTGGATTCCTTTTGTCAATTCTCCCAAAAACTATTACAAATTGCCTCCTGTCGATGCGAACCCTTTTTTGATCTGGTTTTCTAAGCCTCGGAGCAAAATTCCACCCCCATTTGTTTATATAGGAGCCTGCTTCTCTTTCACTTTCAGATTTTTTATTGTCTTTCTTGAACGTTTGAAGGTCATAAGCCTCCCAGAAAAAGGCACCCCCTCCGAAAGTTGGTCCGAAGTTTGCATCACACGTTATTGCCCTATCAACATATTTTTCTTTAATTGGTAAGAAAGTACACGTAGCTTCCGCATGATCATTCTTGTAGAACAAGAATGCGTTTTCATCTCGTTTGGTTCTCTGTTTGTCTGAGCACCACTCTTGACTTGTGTAGCCGCCAAATATGGTGTTGTATTTTCCATAAAGAACGGTTAGTGTTGGTCCTTTTCCATCACACTGGACATGGAAATCATCAACATCAACTTTGTCCACGGAACTGTAGAGTAAATTAAATGACTTCTGGTTATCGCCAACACTGACTTTCCTCTCAATGTCTCTCAGAATATTGGAAGCGTCGTCCATAATCTAAATTATCTGCAAAACATACATGCCAGAAAACATAAAAAAAAACATTAATGGCTTTAAAGTAACCTTATTGAAAAAGTTCTTTTTAATAAAAAATGCCTGATCACATTTTAATGATTAAAAAATAGGATCCATTCATTTCGGATATGCCATTACTAAGGAACATCAAGTTAAACTTGCCCATTTCTTTTAGAGACCTGGTAACCTTATTAGCCTATTCTTTTTGTTTAAACATGTGTCCGTATTTCATTAAACGAAAGCTTGGACTCGGAATAGGTTTTTTATATATATAAATACATATACTTCCAAAACGATCATATGCACAACGCTTTCGTGATTAGTTGAAAATCCTACTTTCAATTTGAAAAAGGAAAAACATTTATATGATGTGTGTAGATATAGATTAATACTTTTTCCTCACAGTATTGCTTCAATTTTAAGTTTAAGATGTTATTGATATCTAAAAGTATTAAAACGGGATCGATTTACATTAACTTGAGTCTTAGGTGTGGATCTTCATATAATATTGTATTTTTATTGTGTCCATCGTTAAAAGTATGAAATAGTAGAAAATGCAATGCACTGTTAAAAACCCGAAACGATAGCACTTGTCTGAACACCAAGTTTTCCACCAATAATCCTTTATAAAATATGTGAGGCCTTATGCAAAGAAAAACATAGTGGACACCAGGGCAATAATTGAAAAACACCCTTCAGTGGATTTAAACACTATCACCACAAAAAAAATCAAACATAAATTATGACAAAAACGAAAGTAGACAGAACAGTATTCTTTTATTGTAAGATATATTTGTATTAATAGCATGTGTAAACGAATATTTATAGCTTAAAATTTAAAATAAATCTTTTAAAATTGTTGATAATTTAACAGACACATCATCTATTAAATACTTAATAATAACACACAGAGAAGAAAACATATCGTAAATCGAAACATTTCAAAATTGTGACACGTACCTGTTTATAAGCCTTATTTGATTGACTGTCCTGTATGGCAAACGCACTAAATTAGATTACATAACACATGATTATAATTCCTTTCTGCATGCTATTATTAAATGTAAAAATACGTTTTCCTGAAAAAGTCAACACATCTACGTTTCATAAAAGGCGTATTCGTTTGAACTGGTTAAAATGCGATATTTTTACGCACCGTGTAGTTTTCTCTACATAGTCTTTATATTTGAGTTTAAACTTATTTTCGTACCAACCTTTACACATAAATCGAGTGCACCCACTCGAAACCGAAAGTTATTTTCAGAAAAATAATCAAGGAAGTAAGTCAGACAATTTTAAGCAGTCATTTTTATTGAAATTGTGATCATTGTATAATTCTACGTCCCCCGGAGTGGATTTACAGAAAAAGAAGATTGATAGTTATCAACTGTTGTCTAAATAAAGGTAATGTTTAATTTCACAGCAGAATGCTGTAAAATATATGTAACTTATTTTTTAAATACTTTTTTGTATCAATTTTTTAAAAATAGAATTTTAAAACAGTACGTTTTTTAATTAGATCTATGCAAAAATAATAAAAATAAGGAATGCACAATAGAAACAAAGGGATATCATTTTTTGAAAAAACTGAATTTTTATTTATTCTTTTACTTAAAGTTCGACGATCAAACAAACGTTACTTTATGTTTACCTGTAAAATTATTTTTTTTGAAAACATTGCGCGGGAATTTTTTTCTCTAACAAAAACCCCCTTTTAAAAAGTATCATTTCAGTAAATTGGGTTGGTTCAAAACCCACTGGGGCCATTTTTTTTTTTTTTTAGGTTAAAACATTGCAAATTCTATGGGTTTAAGCAAAACTTCAAAAGTTTATATTTATCAAAACAATGTAAAACTCCTTATGTTTTGCACAAATGTCTGAAGTATTGTATCAAGATAATTATTATATGAATATATAAGAATGCCTCATTAATGATGACAGATATGAATAGATTCGGAACCCTACCACATTCTGTTTTATGAAATCGGTAATATACCTGTTTCAATTAACGATTTGTTTTCAGGTATGGTTTTCTTTCGTTTCGTTTCTTCTCATTTCAAAACTATGGCTGTGTCATAACATTTCTGAAGTTACGTAATCATGAAAAAAGTAAAACTGTTCTCTAACCGATGGAAACATATTTGTTGATGTTGTGCTATACAAAAAGTTTAAATAGAATATTATCGCGGCTTCTTACCATGCACAACATGTGTGCGCGCTGTAGCTACTATAGAACTGTTTGCAAATGCATAATATAATGCTGACACGTATGATCTTTGGTTTCCAGCAGGTTACCATGGTCAGGAGAAACAGATCATTTGGAGAGTGTACAGAGTGTACACAAAGACGGCTGTTTACTGTATTTAACACCAATACTTTTTTTAGTATTAACACAGATAACTTTTTTGTTTCAGAGATTTACCATGGGGAACGCAACATCGGATGTACCAAGAGATCAAAGGAAGGAACCGAGGGAAGAAGCAAACTGTTTGGCAGATTTACCGGTGGGCAAAATTTAAATATACACTCGTGATAGAAATATGTTGTTTACTTTACCTTAATAAGTATAATTTTATATACATACATAGAAGCATTTTATATACTTTACCTTAAAAGAATATATACATACGTATATGACTAACAAATTTATTTCAGCCCTTTATTTTTGTTTCTAATAAGATGCATAAAATTTAGTTCAGTATTAGTGACACTTTGATATATAATTCATTTTATATTTTCCTGTAATTTAATTATTATAATAATTGTGCTGTAACAATTGTCTCAAGATTTAATATGTACACATTGAAAAGATCATAAAGAATTGTTCAAAGGTAAGCTCTTCCCTGACTTATAACCGACACTCTTGACCTGTAAATGCAGACACTCTTCCGACAGAAACGTTCTGACGATGGTCGTTTGGCATCAAAAAAATATTAGTATGATAATAAGAAGAAACCCCTAATATGTTCTACTAGAGTTGTATTTTTGATATACAGTTATGTATATGTATATGTTTTAACCATGTGTTCTTTCCTAAAACTAATGTTCCGACTTGACTTTTCTCTATCCAAAAGCATTTGAAAAGAAACAACTATTGCTTCAAAAAAAGTCCAATAAGGCAAAGAGGTTAGAAAATATTGATAATTCTGCTTTAATATTTTCTTTTGCATGATAAGACACATAGTAACATCATTGGTCGATGTATATTTGTAATTAACCCACGGAATTTTAGCGGGTTTAGCTTTTATTTGACAGTTATGCTGAAATTGAACGTGTATCAACTGCTACAAACTTGTTACAAACTAAAGTTGTATGTAAAACATATTATTCATTTATAGCGCATTATAAAAATAGAATTTTAAACATACACATAAAGTGTGTATGTAAAATTAAACGACGTATCAAATCAGAACATACCGTTTCGCTTGATCAAAGAAGTATTTGTTAGTGCTTATTTAATGAGAAGTCAGTTATTCAGGTGTGTAACACTTCAATGATGTCTAAATTTTAAAGGACATATTTCGTATACGTTTACATTCATTGAAAGTTAATTTACTTTGTATCTTTTTCCTCCACACAAAAACAGCATGCATGGAAAATCAATGCTAACACTTTTTCACAAGTACAGTGTAGTTATTTCATTTATTTTGATAATTATTTAATAAATGAAAATGCACGGCGTAGCGAAGCGATATTAATGAAATTATGAATGCGAACTTGTGGAATACAATAACATGTTATTTCATTTTACTACACAGAGAACCTTCAGCAATCTTTACAATAATGTGATGAGTCTTGTAGAAGCAACAGTTGCACAGCAGGAATATGTGGAGCAGCTATATAAGATAGCAATAAGTAAAATAAGATCCTTTTTTCTGTATCTACAATTAATAAATGAATTTTCACATTTAATTGAGATTAAGGTGTAAAGTCATTAAATTAATCAAGATTTTAAATCAGTAAAGGTTTCTAAAGTTTCTTATAATCTGTAAAGTGAAGTAATTTTGTTTACGTTTTACATAAGCATCCCTATTTCTGACCATAAATTTAAGTTTATGATAAGAAAATTGGCATATAAAGTAAAGCTAATGGGCAACGTATTTTGAGCTTTTTTGACAATCGAAATCCCTTGGACATAAGTTTTGTTATTTATATATCAAGGGTAGATTAATTTTCTGTAACAAAAGATAATAGACATTAATTATTGTATTTAGATGAAGCAATGGATGATGCTACAAAGTTTGATGTATTAACAAAGGGGCGGTCCATCTTAGAAAATCTACAAGTATGTATATGTATTCTTTGTATATTAAATAATGACAATATGTTAAGCACATTTGTAAATTCAATTTAAGTTTGTAGGTGTGGTGTACTAGTTCTGTCACGGACTCTGTATTCTTTTATGTGAGAAAGCTATCCAGTATTGCTTACGAAACGTCAGTAGTTCTACTCGGGTGTCCGTTCATGTCTGCGATAATGCACGGAGGTCTTCCTCAACAAGTACAGCTGAAAAGCACCCAGTCCCCCGAAACAAAAAAAGAAAAGCACAACATGCTTAAATGTAGATCATACGATTTCCATTTTATAGCATAACTAACTAGTTTTCAATGTATTTCAAATATTTCGCAGTTGTTGCATCATACTAGTACATAAGTAGTAGAAAAGCAACGTATTTGTCTGCATTTGAGTTTTAAAGAATTATCTGAATAAATACCACCATGTCAACAGAATTAACAAATAACAGTGCAGTGTCACCCTGAGAGTATTTTGACTGTTTGATAAATTTATAATTTATGCGTCTTTCTTATGCCAACCATTTACGAATAAAAAAGTTAATATGTAAACTATTCATTATATTTAATTCTTATTAACAATAAAGAATTCTTATTAACAACAAAGCAAATAAAACGCCCATTTTCTTTTTATTTAATCGTGATGCAAATGACTTTTTAAGCTCGACATTTATCACATTGATTTAATATTATTTTTTTAAAATAAATCAGAAACTAAGACAACTAATTCAATTATACAGGCTTCACGCTTCATACATACAACACCAGTGCAGGACTCCGTATTGAATCTTTATCATAACATTCAAGGGATTCTCCGCTCACATCACTTGAAACAATTTGAAATAGATTCTCCATTTTTACAAGAAACGAGCAAAAAAGACTGGAATAGACATCAAGTAATGCCGCAACATCAAACAATTGACAGTAGATTAGTAGATGTAGTAGCGAATGAAATGCATAAAAAAGAAATGGAAAAGCTAAGCAAAAATCTATCTAGAAGTCAGGAACAAATACAGGAACTTAAAAATGCAAATTTAAAAGTTTGTGCCGAAGTTACAGAGTTGCGAAAAGAACTCAAACAAACAATATCGTACAATAAACATTTACAGTACGAAAATGAGAGATTATCTGATGAAATAGAAAAACTCAAGCCGCCAACAATATCAGGTATATAAACACACATGCTAAAACATATATGCTATTCAGAATAATATAATTAATTTATGTTCCCGCCACTGAAAGGGGATGGGGTGTACATTTACACGTTCCCTCCCACTGTTAAACGCTGTCCATACGTAAACCGGTTTGTGTCTCGTGTAAATCCAAAAACCTACCTGCTAGAATCATTAAACTTTATAGAAATTGTTGCAGAATGTGAACTTGGGCATTTTGACTCTTTTTATGGGATAAAGATTTGCCCTTGTCCGTCTCGATGTCCTGCTACCACGTTGTCTGTCCGTAGACTAAATATAGGTTGTATCGCTTATTACTTTAAAGTACAATTGCTAGAACAGTAAAACTGTCTTGGAATCTTAATCAGCATTTGAACTTACGCCCTATTGTATTTCGACTGAATTTATTGGTAATCGGCAGAAATATGCCCCTGAAACTAGCATACTTGTGTGGATTATAACTGCTGGAGCTATGAAACATTCCAAAAATATTTATCCATGTAAATTTACGCACTTTGGTAATTTGTTGCAAGTTTATTGGAGATTAGCAAAGTTATTGCCTCTGACTAAACAGTAAGCATATATTTACCTTTCCCATTTGTATTCCCAAAAATGTAACAATGTTTATTTGCACTAGAAATAATACAGGACTGTTTGTATCAATTCAGCGGGAAATTTGGGTACTCGTGTCCTGTAGGCTCATGTCTATTTTGAATAATAGTCATTAATAGATTTCAAGTTTCAGCTTAAACTTTTTATCACCTGATTCCAATTACAAACTGTTACTGTGTGTTTTATACTAGAACTTCGAAAATCTAAGATAGAATTATCAACATATGTATTCAGTTCTAGCTCATTTCGAGATACAAATATTATTGAATTTCCATTTGTCTCATTCATTAGCTTGACAGTTATTGCTATTGTACACAATCCAGCGTCCGCGTCGGTGTCACACTTTGTTTAAGCTTTTGCATGCAAGTTGGTATCTCCAAAACTACCGAAGACAATTGGTTGAAATTTCACATACTTATCTGAGAAGCATAATAGGATTTCATTGTCCATAACTCTAACAAGGATTTTGACAGAATATTAGCCCTCTTGAACTAACAAAACTTTACTTTGTTTCACTATCAAGTACTTAGAATGTCCTACTGACAGCTCTTTTTCAATTTTCACTGTTAAATTCAGTGGTTTGTGAATCAGTAATGCGATAATTTATATTTTGGATCATCGAGGACAAATGCTTAATAACAGGAAGCAATCCTTTTCTTAAGTAAGATAAAGGGAATGCATACTTTCTTTTGCAATGTCAGTGACCATACTACATTATATGTCTGTAAATTTTAGTTACAATATTTTTAACGTTACAAATTATTGACTGTTTTCTAAAAATACAAACTTTTTATTTTCTCTTTAGGTACGGTTCAGCTTTATCATTCACACAGCGGAAATACCATAAAAGATATTGAAGAAGAGTTAAAGACGATGCTGAAAAATCACTTGAAAGATGTTCAATTTGTCAAATGCAACAGGATAACAGACATCGATCAGTCACAGATGCTTATTGTCCTCAGCATTATTGCTTCAAGAGTAGGGACAGACGCTGCAAATGCAATTAAAGATGTACCACGTGCGTATAACATACATCATTTTTATTGATATAAGCTTATCAATATCATATGCATCACCTAAATCAGATTCTTGTGTTTGTTTGCGCTAAGGTTTTTTTTAAAAAAGATCCTTTTGAAGCGGCATTATATTTATAGTATGCAATGTTTTTGTTCTGTATAAAAAGATGTTTTTAATACTCATATTACGTACTGGTATAGCAAAGATTTAACATATAGTTTATTTAATGTTTTTAAATAAAACTTGGTTTAGTATGTAAATGACTTAAATATTCTGTCAAAAAAGAAAGAAAAAAGGCTGCCACCAAACAATGGTGCATCTTTTCTTTTCATTAAGCATTGCAATCCGATGCATTTTCTTTAAAACAAGTTAAGATTAAAAAATCTTATTTTAATATTGTATCACATATTACTTTTGTTTTGCAGGACCTGAAAACACGGCACTTTTGTTATTTCATATCAAAGAAATTCATGCACTGACGAAACAAGCAAGTACTGCTGTGCTCACAGATCGATCTTTTAAGGACCTTGGTGGGATATTTGATTTGGCCTTTGTAAATGGAAAAGGTTTATACCAGTGTGAAATGAACGAAAATGCAATGAAAAGCGTTTGTGATTTCATTAAGAAAGGTATATCAGGGACAGGTGTTTAAATTTACGACGCAATCTGGAAAAGAACTTTTGTACAATTATATAAAACTGAATTTGATAATTAACTCCTTATGTCTGTGTTTTACCGCTGAAATCCAATAAGTTCGGACCCCTGACAGGAAATAAAGATAGATGGCTGTTTGCACGAAAGAACGTTGAATTTTAGTGCGCGCAAAACATATTATTTTAGATTTTGTTTTTTTAAAAAGCCTTTTGTTGTCATTTGATCAGGTTTTCCAAGTAGAGATAGACAGAGAACATTTGAATACTTCTTTACCTAGTATGCCATATGCTTTAACTTATTAATTGATGTAAAAAAACTTAATTTATGTATATAATTAAGTTTATAAAGCCATTATTGTCCATTTATTCTGGACTCCGGATGCTTTAGATAAAACACTTCTTAGTAAGTATATTTTGAATTGTTGTTCACCGTTGATGCATTCCGTTTTCATTAATATAGTACTGAATTCTATGTTAATCAACCGCTTAAGATAAGTTTGAAATATCTAAGATATATCTTCTTAGCCGCTCACTTCGAATCATTTTGCCGTACTAGTCACACCACCCACCAGGAGTATGAAATTTGTCATATATTAATCTATTTTACGGAAGGTCGCGTGTTTAACTCGAGTATCTGCTCTTGACTGAAATAAAGCATGTAGAAGCAACCGAGGACAGTTAACTATATTTTTTAAGATATTACACTGAAAAAGATTTAGAACAATGATAAAGAACAATATTTTCAAAATTTAGAATTAAAGCTGTTATGTTTACGTTCCGTAAGCATTGCATTCCCTTGTAGATTGTCACTGTCATATTTTAATGATTCTACATTTACTGGTTTACTTTTTAGCTCACCTGAGCTTGCTCAGGGTGAGCTTTTAGGATCGGTGAATGTCCGTCGTCCGTCGTCCGTCGTCCGTCTGGCCGTCCACAATTACTTGTGAACACTCTAGCGGTCGCATTTTTGCCTCAATCATCATCAAACTTGGTCAGGATGCTTATCTAGTTGAAAGCTCGGATGAGTTCGAACATGGGTCATCTCGGATGAAAAACTAGGTCACAAGAGCTAAAAATAGAAAAACCTTGTGAACACTCTAGAGGTCACATTTTTGACCCAATCATCATCAAACTTGGTCAGGATGTTTGTCTAGGTGATAGCTTGGATGAGTTCGAACATGGGTCATCTCGGATGAAAAAGTAGGTCACAGGAGCTATAAATAGAAAAACCTTGTGAACACTCTAGTGGTCACATTTTTGAACCAATCATCATCAAACTTGGTCAGAATGCTTGTCTAGTCAATTGCTTGGATGAGTTCGAACATGGGTCATCTCTGATGAAAAACTAGGTCACAGGAGCTAAAAATAGAAAAACCTTGTGAACACTCTAGTGGTCACATTTTTGACCCAATCATCATCAAACTTTGTCAGGATGCTTGTTTAGATAATAGCTCGGATGAGTTCGAATATGGGTCATCTCGGATGAAAAACTAGGTCACCGGAGCTATAAATAGAAAAACCTTGTGAACACTCTAGTGGTCACATTTTTGCATCAATCATCATCAAACTTGGTCAGGATGCTTATCTAGTTGATAGCTTGGATGAGTTCGAACATGGGTCATCTCGGATGAAAAAGTAGGTCACCGGAGCTAAAATAGAAAAACCTTGTTAACACTCTAGCGGTTACATTTTTGCACCAATCATCATCAAACTTGACTTGATCAAGATGCTTGTCTAGGTGATAGCTCATATGAGTTCGAACATGGGTCATCTCGGATGAAAAACTACGTCACAGGAACTAAAATTAGAAAAAACTTTGTTAACACTCTAGTGGTCATAATTTTGACTCAATTGTCATCAAACTTGGTCAGGATACTTGTCTAGGTCATTGCTGGGAATAAATCGAACATGGGACATCTCGGATGAAAACCTAGGTCACAGGAGCTAAAAATAGAAAAATCTTGTTAACACTCTAGTGGCTACTGTTGTGATCCAAATATTCTGTTAATTGGTCTGAAAGTTTGTTTTGATGATTTCTAAGTCAAGATCGAACATGGGTCATCTTGGATGAAAAACTAGGTCACACCGCCCAAATATGGAAAAACCTTGTTAACATTCTAGTGGTCACATTTTCGACTCAATTATCATCAAACTTGGTCAGGATGTTTGTCTAGGTAATTGCTTGGATGAGTTCGAAATCGCATGTGAAACTAGGTCACCGGAGCTAAAAATAGAAAAATCTTGTTAACACTCTAGTTGCTACTGTTTTGATCCAAGTATCCTGGAAATTGGTCTGAAAGTTTGTTTTGATGATTTCTAGGTCAAGTTTGAATATGTGTCACCTGGGTAAAAAACTAGGTCGCACTGCTCAAATATGGATAATCCTTGTTAACACTGTAGTGGTCACATTTTTGACTCACCTGTCATGAGACTTGGTCAGAATGCTTGTCTAGGTAATTGTTTGGATGAGTTTGATAATTCAGGTGAGCGATCTAGGGCCATCATGGCCCTCTTGTTTGTAGTTATAATTAAAAGTAACCTGCAACAAAATGATTACTTTACTTTCGTGATGTTCCAAATGAAAAAAAATACCAAATATGCCTATCATTGCATCTGCTCTGAGAATATGGTCAATATATATTTTTTTCTTTAATGTACAGCTATGTAATTTGGACCATATGCATAGTTTAACATGTAAACATTAAACTTATTCCGACTTATCCTTTGTGCATGTCTGAACGCCGTCTTACACTTTTACACTTAACAGCAGGCGTCAAGTGCTGTGTGGCAGCCTAAAAATAATTGTCCCGTACTTCACTTCAATGTTGTTACATTTTTCTGGTCCTTCGGTATCATCACTTTTAAGTGTTGCCAATTTAGTACCGCTCAAGCCGGTGCTAGAGGGATGTTGCACTTTTTTTTATTTTCCCTTATGTACAGATTCAATCAAACCGAGTCTGCAATTTTCATGTAATTTTGTTGTGATTAATGCTTTCGATTTTAAAGAATATTACACTTTACAACACTAGGTGTCAAGTGTTGTATTGCAGTCGTAAAAAGTTGCTCCTTCTTCACTTCATCATTGTTAAACTTTTGTGGTCCTTCGGGATCATTGATTCCAACACTTTTAAGTGTTGAAAATTAAATTGAGTACAGCCGAAGCCGGTGATAGGGGACGTGAGGGATGTTGCACTTTTTCACTATCCCTCATGTACAGACTCAATCAAACCGAGTCTGCAAGTTCATGTAATTTTGTTGTGATTTATGCTTTCGATGAATCACAATTTTTTTCAGATTTTTTCCAATCCAAATGCCACTGTTTGACGAGTGTTTATGTAAAAAAGGAAATATACTTCACTCCAAAATGTGCAATAAGATGCTTGTTTTCGTTATATAGCATTTTCAGATCCCGTACAGCTGTACTTGTGAAGTTATTGTCTTAGAAATTCTATAACATTCACTTGAAAAGCAGTTACATTTATACCAGAGTAAAACTGCTAACATCACCAGACTCGATAGACCAAGACTACAGACATCGTGGAGTATTTATTACAATTGAAACAATCAGCCGGGGTTTTCTGTACAATACTTACTTAGGCAGATATTTTGAACATGGTTCACACCTTTCCCAAAGATGCCAGTCTCCGTAAAGCATTCTCTAAGAACCTTAGAGTCACAACTCTATGGTAATGAGGCTTTTGTAGTTCCTTTCAGAAAACGATACTTTGTTTTAGTAAAAAAGACAAAGTATGATTATTTCAATTATTTTGTTTCTTGATTAGACTAAATGAACTTTCTAAATTTAAGTAAGATTTCATAAACTATTTTGAGGATAAAATTTAAATGAATTATTAACATATATCTGGCTACATTGCACGCATTTATAAATAATCAACTACACATGGACATAAAATTCCGACAACGAGATGGTCCGATACATTTTCAAAAATACAATGTCATTAATGGTTTATTTCCAAAAGAACATCCGCAGTCAATGTACTACCTCGAGTTTATAGAATCACAAAAATGAGAATTATTAAATCGCCTAAAGATCTATTGAATGTGGGTAGCTAAATTTAGAAAAGGACAAATGCACATGCTGCACGCGATAGGCTGTCAAACAACAACTACAACTAAAAGGAACATCAACAAATTTCGAAATCGAAAGAAAGAAGACGAATGAAAGAAAGATCTAGTAGTACAGTTGGTCCGTATGACAAACGTGTCATTAGGTCGAGTCTACAGCAGAATTAATACCGCTCAAAACGGAAGTGGAATAATAATTAGGGTCCATGTATGATAAATCTTAGCACCTTAGGTTACAAACGAAAAACGAAAGTTCTTCTTCAAAAATAGGACTCCGGTATATCTGTCTCTTACATAACAACGCATCCGTTTATAATGCACTTATTGGTAACGAGTTTTTGACATGTGAGAAAGTAATCGTCTTCTCACATCTGCCTTTTTCCGGGTTGGTCCCCTGTGAATTTGTCTTTTTCCCTTAAAATACAAATGCAGCAATTGAGAAGCTCTGCGAAAACAAAGAATGCGCTCATTACAGATACCTTACCGAATCATTCCAATGCACAGGTCATGTTCTATTTAGTTTAAGTAATATTGTATATTATTCCGGGTATTTTGTAAATCATTTAAATTTGCACAATTATACTTATTGTTTGCACTGTCCATGAGAGAGGGGTCAGATATTCAATTAAAAAATGCTTTCACTAATGCCTACCTGGTAAGGAAAGTAATATTACTTTCCATTATAAACAAGACCTACAATACTTGTAACGTGGCATGATAATAGTGCAACACTGTTCTGTTTGTATTACTACTGTAGTCAGTAATTTTAGATTAAAAAATATCAAAGCATGTACATTGTCTTTTTCACCTATAATGCTACTCATTTTCTACAAATATAAACACCTAATCATGGTAAGAAATATCCATGTGTAAATAAGCCAAAACAAAATTTTTCATCGACTTTATTTTTCAAAATGTCCGTTATATGTCTCGCAGCAAATGGAATATCATTATATAACAAGAAAAGCATTCAAGCAAGGCATGAAATGGTGTCCAAGCAAGAAAATGCAGCAAGTGAAGATGATCAAGTGGACATGACTGATGATCAGATATTCTTTTCAATGGTCAATTTTAATTGTTTGTTTTTTTACCAGAATTGTATATCATATATGAATGGGCGGACGAAAGACATTGTTCATCATGAACTTTGATAGGCATGCTAGAGATTAGAATATTGAATGTTTTCCCACAAGAACTTGAAATTCTATCAATATTAACGATAATATCCGAAATATACATGTCTATAATATCCAAAATATACCCCTCTGTATAGTACAAGTACAAATGTTGCTGCAATGCAGCAATTGAGAAGCTCAGCGCAAAAACGCGCTCATTACAGATATCTTACCAAATCATTCCTACGCACAGGTCATGTTCTATTCAGATTAAGTACTATTGTACATTATTCCAGATGTTTTGTAAATCTTTTTTTGCATATTTATACTTATTGTTAGCACTGTCCATGAGAGAGGGGCCATATATTTAATTAAAAAAATATGCTTTCACTGATGCCTACCTGGTAAGGAAAGTAATTCCAATACAAACGGGACTTACAAGGCTTGTAAATGTAATGTGACATGACAGTAGTGCAACATTGTTCTGTTTGTGTCACTTCTGTAGTCAGTAATATTAGATGATAAGAAATATCAAAGCATGTACATTTTTTTTCCACATATAATGCTACTCATTTTACATAAATAGCAACAACTAATCATGGAAAGAAATATAAAACTCCATATGTAAATAAGCCAAAACAAATCTTTAATCAATATTTTTCAAAATGTCCTTTACATGTTTCGCGGCAATGGTATCTCATTCAGCAAATCAACATTCCACTCAAACTGCCATAAAACCGATTGCCTTCCACTTTCTCACAACAAAAATTCGGGAAATAGAGGTCTTTTTAAATATTCATTGTAAAAAATGTCAAAAGTGCAATTAGGGCCATAAAAATGAAGGAGCTATTAATTTACCGAAAGAAAGAAAAACATACGGAAAAGACAATTTCAGAATGATAATAATAGTATGAAATAGCAATTAGTAAAAATGGCCTACTAAATTTATTTCGATAAATTTATAGAGAGTGCAATTTATGGTTGAATATGTTTGCATTTCATTTCCTGCTAAATTCACCAGTTCGTGACACGAATTACCGTTTCATTTAGTTTCAGACTCAAAACTAAAACTACTTCTATAAAAAGATTTTTGGACCCTCACAATAATATGCTGAGTCATCTATTTATAGCTTTCGGATTCATGTACTTAAAGCAATAAAATACATACATATACAAAATAATAAATAATTCCTGTAGAAGATACAAATTTAAGAAATAAATTACCGAATTTAAGTTTATTTTTGTTTTGTCTTTTATACTGACTACACAGCGGTTGAGGCGTGAACTTTGTTCCCGTTCTCATTCATTAATATGACACTCCGCGAATCACCAAAAGGGAAACCAATATATGACTTTACATAATAGAAATCGGAAGGATTTCATGATTCCGAATTTATTTTTAACTGTAAATCGAAGGGATTAATTGATAAAAATCGGGTCCATGGACAAAAAAGTAAACACAAATCCACAGGCGCGGAGCAATAAGTTCATTTATACTATAAAGGGGGTATTTTTGAATATTACTCTAATATTGGTTATTTAATAGAATTTTAAGTTCCTATGGTATTTTCTCTTGAACATTCAAAATAGTAGTCAAAATGAACAAAGTCTGTCAATTGATTTATTGGAAAGGCAATCTACTATTTTGTTGAATTACTTCTAAAACCTCGTCTGACCAACCAGTGTGTTTACATTCCTATCAATAAACGCATAACAACACATGTTAATAAAACTGCAGACGAAAGTTTCTGTTGTTAAAATGTAACAACATTAGACAAATCATCATTCAACTCAAACTACCATAAAATCGATTGCCTTCAAACAAAATATAGTAAAGCAAAAATTCGGGAAATCAGGGTCGATTTTAGCTAAAGAGACTTAAACGGCGAATAGGTTTTTTTAGTATACTACTGCTAGACCTGTTTACAGTCGCACAACGTCAAAATAAAAGCGACATATAAAGTTATGGAAGCCAGATCTAGGCCGATTCAAATATTCACGGTCAAAAAAGTGCAATCGGAGCCGTAAAAAAGAAAACCGGAAAGAACCTACGGAAAAGACATTTCAAAATGATAATATAATGATATAACAATTCGTAAAAATTGGCCTACTTATTTTTTCCTATAAATTTATAAAGAGTGCAATTAATTGTTTGAATATGTTCGTTATTGATTACCACAGCGCGACACGAATGACCGTTTTGTTAAACTAAAATTACTTCTACTCCAATATATGACTTTTTATAATTGAAATCAGAAGATATTCTTGATTCTGAATTTATCTTTAGATGTAAATCGAAGGGATTAATTGAAAAAATAATCGAGTCCATAGACAAAAAAGTAACACAAATAGCTCCGCCTTCAAAAGTGGTTTGCTCGACTGAAAATGTGTATTGAGTTAGATGTAGTGTATCATGATGATCAGGGCATTTAAAAATAATCACGAGCTATTTTTGATGAAAGCAGCATCTTGCATTATTTTTGGAACAGCCATTGTACACAAAAGGTTATGAAACGTAACAGTTTTAACGAAAGTAACATTCTTTGAATGAAGAAATATTCTGCTCCGGAGATTTTTCAATTATCCCAATATCTTCAGCTGAAATTATACCATTACTGTATAAGTAAATTTTGTATGATTGCAATAGAAAAAGAACGACAAGTCCGATTATAAAAATGATTTATTTGATCATGCATATAATTTCTTGATTATTTTACACAAATAAATTATTCAAAGATAGATTTAACTCAAGTCCCATTAAACGTGGTTAGAATTGAAATGACCTTTATTCCATAATTTTAAATTATACAATGTACAAAATCAATGTATGAATAATTTAAAAAGAAACGCAAGAGTACTTGTACAATTCATTGAATTTATATAGTTGTACCAAAGATAAGTTAATTCTGATATAATATAACATTGATTATACAATCATCGAATGATTCAAAATCCGTTTACTATAATTATAATAATAGTTTTAAATAATTACAAAATTGGGTAAACATTAGCATGTGTATATTTAAAATCATTTTAAAGATGAACTATGCTCATCTTTTGGTAAAAATACTTTTTCTTTGCAAATATTTATTGAAATCTAGTAAGTTCTTCCTGAATAGGTCTAATTTGAAAAAAGTGAATGTTTAAACTAAGTTTGGGAAGCTGCATTCCATATAGCTATTACTTGTCAAATTAATTCGGTCTATTCTTACAAAACTGTCAGTTTTTATGACACTATAATCGAACTGTGATTACCTGTAGCGAGTAGAGTTTAAAACGTAACATATTTTCTCTATGTGTATTCAAAAGATGTTTATTTTACATTTCGAAAGAAACTGTATAGTTATTATATTTTTCTTAATAATTTGAGCATAATATATCCTTATCGCATGGTTTGGAACTTTTCCTTTGTTCTTATAACCCATTATACTCAGTACACTTCAATGAGCATTTCAAAACTGTATTGATATATAACAGTACAGTTTTTTCATTGATTCATATAGGAAAAAAACTCGACTATTATATATCGGTCGAGTTTTTTTCGCACCTTGTACATATCAATACAGTAATTTCATAGAGGTTCTAATGGGGCAGTGGTAACGACCATTTCCAGTAGCAAAAAAAAAAACAAACAAATATAAAATAAAAAAATGAAATCAATAAAATAAAATAAAATAAATATATAAATACAATGAAAAATATAAACAAAGATAATTAATGAAATGAAATTTACTCTCATTTAATCAAAAGGTACATCCGCTGAATGAATTATTTCCACTGAAAAAAGCCCTTTAATCTTAAATCAATCTTGGTAACAGTATACAATCCGCCTCTTATATTGGATGTCTTTTTTGCGGCAGCGAAAACAACTTGAAAAACTGTCTTATGGTAAATAACTGTAATGTAGCTAACGATTAATTCATTTATTTGTTTCTATTACAAAAAAAGAAAGCATTATGCCATTGCGATAAAACAGTTATAGTATATGAAACTCGTTAGTTACGGGGTATAACACTGGCTGGGCGACATCTCGGGATGTTTCTGCAAAAAAAATTGTCTCGCCATTTTTTAGCAGAAACACCCCTTGATGTCGCTCCAGCCAGTGTTATACCCTCGTAACTAACTCGTTTCATGTACTATAACTATTACTTAACATGCCATGCAAATTATGTTTTCGAACTTCTATGTCTGGTGTTCTATTTTCAAACGCATTTCTAATATAAGGATATGACGGACCATACACAGTTTTGAAAAGTTTGATAATAGTAAAAGTAAACATATTTGTCAGTGTATATATGCAAACTGTCAAAATGAATTTCTTTCTTTATATCTATAATCAATAATATGCAGTTAAAGATGTTTTCCTTGGTCATTATAATATGGACATACTCGTAATAATGAAAACTAATATTCAGTTTCAATTTGTTTCATTATGCACTTATTATATAAAAGTTCAATTCTTCCAAATTGAACATATGTATTCTCTTTTATAGCTTATCAATCAATGTCAAGTGCATCTTAACCCTGATTACATTTTACGATGTTTCATACTGTTAACACAACTTACAGCATTGTATTACGTAAATTCATTTTTTAACATACATGTATATAGATGATATAACAAAACCGTAAAATGCTATTCGCAACAAAAAAGCCCAAATAATTATCAAGCGATAATGACATTAAAAACAAATCATAAGCTCTTCATATTTCCAATACTAAGAATATATAAGGTTTTTACGTAGACAGTTAAAATGTGTCATGTCTGTAGTTTTAGTAGAAAAAAGCTTATTTCTCGGAATATTTAACCCTTGTCCTTGATGACATACAAATGAAAGAATAAAATCACTAAAAACAAATACATGTATAAGGAATTATAAATATAAAGATAGCTAAATTTAATATTAATGAGAAAAAGATAAGATAATATTTAATTTTCATTTCCCACACTTATCAATATTAGAAGCTATCTTACTTCCTATTTTAAGGGCAAGACATTAATCGTCTAAACCAAATATTTTAAACGAATACAAAAAAAATTTTTACTGTGACATTTCTAGTTGTTTATCGGAATTAATATAGCTCGAATACTTTATGTTAAAGTAACCAAAATATTTCAATTTTGTCGTGTGCAATATCAAGACACTGCACTGAACTTTTCAACACGAATAAAAAATGAAATAAGATAGTTTTTCGAATAAAAAACAACAACAATCATTCTTTGAAGCAAGCATGTAAAACAAAATTTAAATAAAGGAAACAAATAACAAACAACAAAATAAAGCAAACAACAACAACAATTAATACAAATAATATAATTTCAAAAGATGATAATGTTCTCCCCTCAATACCTATATCTAACAGTTACTGTATGTGCTTTCAACAAGAACTTATTCTTGATCACTGCTGCTTTCATCATCTGTGCTGCTGTCAGAAACCACACTTTCATCTCCACTGTTATCTCCCAAATACTCGTATCCAATGCTCACGATTTCTTTTAGCGCGTCTGAAGTAGATCATTATGTTTTACAACAAATTTTGTGGGGACACATATAGGACGTTTATAGTCAATCTAAAAGATCCCACTACCTAGTAAGGCCTGTGACTTCAGAGTATATATAAAAACAATTTAAACAAAAAACTTTACAATGATGTATTTCCAAAAGAAGGAAAAGGAAAAAAAAAAAAAAAAAAAGCTTCTTTAAGTGTAACAGTTATGACCGTATCAGACAGGTTTTATAGGAATCACTTTGTCCCGTCCTGCTATCTCAGTATTTACTAAAGGTTTGAAATTTCACACAAAAATGCAATATCACAATTCAATTGTCTTTGTCAATTTTAATAACTTTGATAGTTAATTTGACAAAATGATAATCCTGTTTAAATTAGAAAATAGTCAAAGTATTTCAAAATGACTATAGCTTTGTTATTTATAAATTTATTTTCTTCATTCTTTGAAATATTAAACATCTTGAATGTTCCTTCAAGTTGACTACTTGGCTCTGATTATGAGTAATGAACTTGACCTTCAAGGTAAAATTATTGAATCTTGTTGATATTTTGCTCCAACTGTCTATAGCTTTTTTATGTCTTCATCAACACATCATTATTAAGGACAAGACCTTGATTGAAATCAAACTAACCTTGACCTGTACTCATAAATGACAATGCCCTTGAAAGTATAATTATTAAATTTTCGCTATTTTTCCTGTTGTTTGCTGTAACATTGTTATTGGCACGTGAAACGTTGTCTTATTGGATTAAATACCTTAAGCTTCAAATGCTGCAGAGAGCTAAACTAATCTTGAGTTTAAGGGCATTTTATCTGCATAGATCAAATCATTGAACTTGGCTTGAATTGTCATATCTTTGTCATTAGGTATCAATGAGATTCATTTTTAATTAAAACAACGTGTTTGACCTAACCAACATGTTGGATGGTATTAATATGACCTTGACCATCAAGGTTTATTGATAAAATTTTGATTTTTGTGTCACAATATTTTAGATTTATTTATGAATTTGATTTATATTGGGACAGAAGCAAAATATTCCCCTGTCTGGCGATGGCTCTTGTAAGAAATGTAAATGTATTGTAATATTTTAAGGGAATAAAAGTGATACTGTATTGTCTTGAAATTAGACAAATAATTAAATAAACTTTATGATAAATTTAATTTTAAGGAAGAGCAACAGGATCACCAAAGCTACTTTGTGTCTCAGGTAGGAAATATTAATATTTACAAATAGTTTACAATACTATCATTTGTACAGTTTTTTTCATACAAGACAATTTCTTTTAATATGTTGTATTTTGCTGTGAAAGTTATTCCAATTTCTGTCAAAAATATTGGTGAGGTATGAATCCCCTTCAGCAATAGTTCTAGTTTCTTTTGCGATCAGAAACTTGAACATGATGCTATATTACAGGTTATTTGAAATAATGCAAAATGACGATGTTTAAAAATTTGTAATGAAAAGATAACAATACTACTCACCTAACAAGAGAGCATCGATCTCGGGAAGAGTTTGATTTTCATGGACATAATTCCGAACAGGGAATATTTTGCTTTCTTTGAAGCTAAAATATTCAATAAGTTTGTCTTTGTTTTCTCTAATTAACTTGTTTTCGTATATCTGAAGAGCATTATCTCTGACTGCTGTGCTTGTTTGATCGCCTTTTGTCACCACAACGACATAAGGAATATCTAAAAAAAACAAAAACAAGAGGACCCTGGGTCGCTCACCTGAGGCATTGGTGTATACCTGTATCTAGTCCTTGGCGCATAATTTGAACAATCTTTGTAGAAGACGACTAACTGATGTTACATACGAAATATCAAAACTCTAGTCTTTTTGGTTTTCGACAAAAGAAAATCATATAACTATATGTGAAACTTATGTGGCCCTAACGGGACCTCTTTTGACCCTAGAGGCATAATTTGAACAATTTTTCCAGAAGACCACTTAATGATGTTACAAGCCAAATATTAAAGCTCTAGGACATGTGGTTTTTGACAAGGAGATTTTTTAAAAAGATTTTCCTATATAACCTTTTGTTAAACTGATGAGCCCCCTTATTTGGTGTCTTTTCACTTTATGTGAATTCTTTGAACAAGCTCTATAGAGGACCATTTGATGAGGTTACATACTAAATATTAAAGCTCTGGGCCATGTCGTTTTTGACATGAAGAGTTTTTAAGATTTTCCTATATAACTCTATGTAAAACTAATGAGCCCCCTAATTCGGACCCCTTTTGACCATATTGTCATAATTTGAACAATTTTGTAGAAGACCACTAGCTAATGTTACATACCAAATATCAAGGCTCTACACTTTCTGATTTTTGACAAGTAGATTTTTTAAAGATTTAAAAACAACCTCTTTTGGTTGCCATGGCAACCAGAGTTCTTCAAGGAATTTGATTTTTTAAACGAATTTTGTACAGCTTTGTGCAAGAAACATGCCTGCCTAGTTTAATAAAATTTGGCCAAGTGGTATTGGAGGAGAAGACATTTGAATGAAAAAGTTAACGCACAGACGAACTGACGATGACAACACGGTGTCACAAAAGCTCACCTTGTCTCTTTTTGACAGATTTGGTAAAAAGGACAGTATTGGCGTACACAATATATGTTAAGAGCTTTACGGATTTGAAGATATTATAATATCTTTCTTCTATTTGTCAATCAGTAATTGACAATTATAATCACCAGGTGTTGTATCGTATCACATGCTAAATCGGATTTTCTTAATCTAAAAATTGAATCAGACTCATTCTGAACTAAAAGGGTTTTTGTCACAAAACATCAAAACCTAGGTATGGTACTGATCACTCCTATGAATTTTTGTCGAAAAACGGCCAGAAGTTTGGTCTCTGAAAGCCGGACACAATTTTTCTAGTTAAAGCTTTGTCGGCCATTTTGTAAAGCGAAGTCGAACATGCCAGCGATGTGCACAACTAAGGATGATACTGATCTACTGATTTTCATCGAAATCCCGACAGCAGTTTGACCTGTGAAAGCCGGACAATATTTTTCTATTTTTAGTTCTGGTGGCAATTTTGTGAAGCGAACCAAAACATGCCTGCAATATCACATCAAGGTATGGTACTGGTTAGCTCCTACGAAGTAATGTCGAAATCCCCCAAGCAGTTTGGACAAGCTTTTTTTATTTATAGCTCTAGCGGCCACTTTGTTTAGCGAAGCAGAATGCACAACAAGGTATAGTACTGATTACTCCCTCGAAGAAATGTTGAAATCCCGCCAGCAGTTTGACCTACGAAAGCTGTGTGTGTATTTAAGTTTATTTATTTATACCTCCACCGGTTACCCATATGGGTCAGTCCTCCAGTTGAGCATTAGTCATTTTATATTTTGGTGAATAGTGCAAGATACAGAAAGACACCCCAATTCCAGAAGCTTCTCCTGTTTCTTTAACGTGCCAAATGTTTAAGCACTTATACACGGGACCTCGATTTAAAGTCACATTTGAAAGACTCATTAGCAATTTAAGTTGGCAAACCCGGGAATCGAACCCACACTGTCGAAATTACAAGACTCGAGCCCTAACCGATTGATCTATGCGGGCTGGCTGATGTTAAAGCAAGGCAACATTTTTTTCTATTTAAAGCTCTGATACCCATTTTGTGCAGCGAGACGGAACGTGCCGGCGATATGTCCAACTAGGGATTGATCAAATCTGTGAAGTTTGGTTGAACTCCAACCAGCAGTGTGATCTGTGAAAGCCAGATAAGCTCATTGTGGACGGACAGACAGACAGACGGCAAGGGCAAAAACAACATGTCTTCCTAAATTTTGATGTCTTCCAAAATTTTTGAAGAAATACTTCAAGGACTGTACACCACAGACTGTAAAATACGTTAGCGCATAATAAAACAATAACGTGTTTAGTAAATATAAACGCCCTCTGCCTAGATTCTTGTAACAACTTTTCAAGAAAAATTTACCCATTCATTCAGCTATAGACAGAAAAATTGCCAAAAAGGTGGTAAAGACTGTTATATAACTTGACTTATTGTGAAAAATATCAGTTGACATGTCATTGTTATTTGATGAAGTTGAAAACCATTCCACTTACATATATCTTTTTTATCAAACATACAAAAATGCAAGACAATGACCTGAAACCTAGTGACCTTAAACTATATCCAAACTTAAAGAAGTATGTTCCCTCTTAGTATGAAACATTGGTACAAAAATACAAAGGCTGTACAAAAAAGTGTAACACATCTACTTTTAGCACAGATTCCCTGGACTTTGTGACTTTTAACACTGGACAATCCAAAGTATGTTCCTTCCAAATATGAAAAGTTCATCATAAATAAAGGCTGCTATAAAAGCAAATATGTAAACATTTATTATCGGTACCCTTGACAATGACCCACTGAATCCTTACTTAATCCGAAGAGAGAAGACCATTCAAGTTATCTTCCTACCAAATTTGAATTACCTATGTAAGAAAAAAGCTGTAAAGGTAAAAGAGTAGAAATTGTTGACCTTGACCAAACTGACCTCTCACTCCATCCAAATATAGAAGACTTGTCAATTCACGTCCCCACTAAAGATATCTGTCGGTACAGGTGTAAAAGTGTAAAAATTTATTTTTGGAATTGGTGACCTTAACATTGACCCAAATGACCCTCACTAAACCCGAAGGAAGAGGAACTTCTTAGGTGTGTCCTTGCTACACGCGAAAGACATCGATTTAAAAATACAGACTGTATGAGCAATGTTTATTTTTTTCACTCCAGTGATCTTATCTTGCCACAAGTGACCCCTTACGCCACACAAAATTAGACGATCATTAAAGGTATCCGCCTCTCAAAAGGGCGATAACTGAAAGCAATAGTTATATTTCTTGCCAAGATCGTGAGCATTGTATTGATAAGTAAGTACGTAATTTATGAAGCCAATGGTACAGGAAGAACATAAAGTAAATCCAATTTGCCAGTTAAGATTAACGTCGTACGGACAGATTGACAAGTGGACGGTCAAAAATCAATTCCCGGGGGCATGAAAATGCGTTCTCTTCTTTGTCGTTTGTTTCGCAATTTAAATTTTATTACTTCAATATTAGTATTATAAGGAAAAATAATGTAAACACTCATTAATTTTATTGCGCAGTGTTCGTGTATCCGTTTTAAGTCCTGACGCCATATTAAAACCAGTTTATTTTTTTTCTTGATTCAAATTGAGTTGTTTTCCCTTTTTTACCTTAAATTATTAATATAAACACACAATTATTGACTAATTGTCGTAGAAAATATATATATTATTAACAAGGTATTGTGCATCAAATTCACCAAATAAAAAGTCAATATATAGAGGATATTCAAGTTTTTTCTATAAATACATGATTTATTTTCATCGAGTGGTATGAAAATAAATATTTCATGAGTGGCGGTAGCCACGAGTGAAATATGGTAATTTTCATGCCACAAGATGAAAATAAATCGTGTATTTATAGAAAAAACTTGAATTTTCTGTTTATTATATACATTTTTCTCTTTCTGGACATTAAAATTTGAAAGACTTTCCCATAAATATTGAGTACTGGCAGAATTTAAAAGAAAGTAGTCCGGCAAGACACCAGTGAAAATACGGAAAATATGTTTCACTGCAGTGAAAAATAAATTTTTACAGTGAAAATACGGAAAATGAAAATACGCATTTTATTTCATCAATATTTCTCAATATTTCATTTATAAGTATATAATAAATATATCTATTGACTTTTGTTTTGGTGAATTTGATGCACAATACCTTGTTAATAAAATTATTTAATTCTTTTTGCATACCTTTATTTGAAAGCCACCATTGGAAGCGTTTGCAAGTCTCTTTAAATGTTTCTGTCAATGTTTCAATATTGGATATATCGAACAAGAAGCAAACGCAATGAATTTTGCACATTGATCCTGCATCCTTTACGAAATGCTTTGAATCTTTGTCGATGCTTTTATTTTGTATCTAGAAAAAAACATTTTTATATGAAATGATATACAAGCTCTGCAAAATGTTAAAAAACTGTTTTCATTTTTTAATAATACATACAAAATCAATCAGCACATATTAAATTGATGTTTTTCAATAGTTTGCAAAACACAGTATAATAAACAATTTAAAACTTTCTTACTTTGAATTTATTTGGAACATGGCCTTTCACGATCAGCTTTGCTTGTTCAAGTTTAACTCCCTCCTTATCCTGAATTCCCGGCATGTCACAGAAAAATACGTTCGATGTGTTTGTCTTTCCAGGTTCGGATTTGAATTTCAATTGATACATCTGGAACTAATGTAGTGAGTAAATTGTTAGAATATACGATATATATTTGTACAAATTATTTTTTGTTGAATATATACGAGTTATATGTCTAAACAGTATACAATAGCATATTTTTCTCTACGATAAATACAAATGACAACTAGGGTGGGAGCACTTCTGAATCTAGGTGTAAGATTTATAAACTTTTTATAGAGATTTTTCCCGATGCAATGGAACATTCCAAAAATTAATTCTGAGCATTGTAGTTTTCCACAAAAAGATTACATGCGTTCATTTCTTTATCAGTATACATAAGGCATGTCACACTAAAGGCAGAGTTAATTTTACCCCCAGGGTCATGGTTCGTGTAACTTTTGTAAACAAACTTCATATTCTTGCTACATGCCAAATATCTAGGATCTGTCATTTATAAGTTTAACAGCAAAAAAAAAAAAAGAAAAAAAAAAGAACAACAACAAAAAACAAGATATGTTTATAATAAAAGTCTAAAGGTTTTGGGCCATTTTTTATCTAAGGGTCATGATTTTTGCAATTTTTTGTACAGGTCAACTAAGCAATGCTAAATGCCAAAAAACCTGAACTCTGGGCATTGAATTTCACACTGTAAGACTTTAATGTGTTTTTCCAAAAACATCTTTATTAATCAGATGTCCTTTGGGGCGGATCGAATACTTCCCCCATTGGACATGATAGTTTTGTCCTCTGTAAATGCCAATTATCTTACCTAGTCTATATCAATCTTACAAATCAAATAAACGACGGAATGGGGCAAATATTTACACAAGTGGAATAATATATATTATTTTCACGAACGTTTACAAGCAATGCTTCGTGCCAAATTTCTAATAGTACTGCAAATTAGCCCAATTTACTTGCTTATCTTTAGTGGAAACTGCTCAATTTCAGACAACAGCAAGTTTCATAGATCGAAATGTTTGCCTGGACCTACAGCTCTTCGAATAAATGATCAAATTGACCCAACCCCGATGCGAATCTGGGATGTCCAGTATGGCGTTAAAGATGGCCGCCAAATCTCTTTTATTTACAATATTTACGTTGGTTTATTTGTTTTTCAGTTTTGTAAATCAATTAAAATTTTACATGAAACGTTAACTTTATTGCAATTTAGTTGTAGTTTTTATCGCCTTATTTTAACGAAAGAAAACGGGTGTCCTTTTTTAATGTATATGTCTAGCTTTAATATGATTTTTCAACAAACTATACCACTTTGACAAATAAAAGAAGTATTTTACTTAAATATTATAATTTCATGAGGAGAGTATCATTTTCATGATTTTGAGTAAATCTTTAAATCATTTTTGCAAGTTGTTGTTGTAGGATTATGGGCAAAAGTAGTTTTATGTGAATTGATTCCAATATTTTTATTCGCTGAGATTGAATACAGCAGAAACTGGTGCTAGGTGGGTGTGAGAAATGTTGTACAACACATAACCTCCAACTATCAAACCGACTCGGCAATTGTCAACTATTGCGTTATTTTCATGGCTATCTCGAGTGTTCTTTCTATTCTCAGAACAGTAGGTGTCAAGAGCTGTATGGCAGCCGTCAATGAGCCTTGTAGACCACCAAACAGGACAGAGTGCATAAAGAAACAACAACAAGAGTCATATTTAGCATGTTTAACTGCGCTCAGTATTGAATACCATCGCCCCTTATTTTCATCTGATGTCGCCATTTTTGGCTTTTTCAAAACAGTACCAGAGTGAGTTACTTTTTGTCCTATGTCGGGAATAAATAAAAGAAGAGAAACATAAACGTCTGCCAACTTAAATAACCCCAGTCCAAATAAGACGTGTTTCGCTTAAGTATAATAGCAATGATAATAATACATCTCTGTTATTTTTGTCAAGTCTATTTTCCCCGGACAGACTTGTTTAAATAGACACAAATCTGTTTTAGGTCTTTCTTTTATTCCTCAATAGAAAAGTGTAAATGCACGAAATTCAATAAAGATATTTGCTATTTGTGACTTTATGATACTTTCATGATAATATTGAAAGGCCAGTATTGGACTTAAGATATCACAAGTTGCAACGGTCATCAATGAAAACGGAATCCCCGTAGAACACCCAAGGCGACAGAAATGAAAATGTTGCAGGTCCGATTAGAGTTAGCCAGTGGAAAAAATAAAAGCTACCGTCCACGCCCCCCTAGCACCACTATAAATAAATCAACATTCAAAAACAAAAGTAGTTAAAGTTTGTATTAAGAAACATATGCTGATGTGTTCAAACATTATTCTTATTTAACTAGGACATACCATTGTGAGTCATATAAAGTCACTGTTCGTTTACTTTTCGTTTCTCAGACCCGCCGACTCTAATTTTTGAATAAAGAGTAAAAGTTCTTTTGGATCGTAATTATTATATTCCCATTAAAGTTTAGTTGTGTTTAATGCAGAGCTTTCGCAAATGGAGCACATAAAAACTTTCTTAACTTCGTCGAGTTTGTTTATAAAAGTGATGAAATTGCCGCATTTTTAATGACCGCATACAGCATATGTACAGATGTTTATTCAATCCAACTTAAATGCACGCATTTCCAATAAGTGACATATAATGAAATTCCATTTCAATGTTGTTTGTACACCCTGAATTGGTGTAGCCATATTTGGCAGTAGATATTACACACAGCGTCACATCTCCTGTATAACTTAACATGCATAAATTAACGGCAAAAGTTGTGTACATGTAATTGAAGTAGTCGGCACATTTGATGACCGTTGAGCTGCAGTTGTCAGAGTCAGTAATTTTCATTGTAGGTTAAGGAATCATACAACCTTTATTTACGATATTTACATATTCATATAAAAATATGGATTAAAATAGTGAAAATAAACCTGCACTTATTGGAAAAATAATTTTTCATTTCTTACCTAATTGATTGAATATAATTTCCTACACAAATGCCATTTTACGGCAGGTGGCTTTGTCTAACTATTCATGCAATATAAAACACAATTTGGTTAAAAATTTACAGAACGAAAAAATAACTTATTTTTGTTAGTATTCGTAAGTAATTGAGCGTACAAGCTTATTGAACTTAAGGCCTTTGTGACCTTGACTTTTGACTGAGTCACCTCAAAATCAATATGGGTCATCAAATGGTCATGATCAACCTCCACGCCAAAAATGAAGACTTCGGGTCAAAGCGTTTTTAAGTTATTGGGCGGACAAACTTTTTGAGTCAATGCCTCTGTAACATCGACCTTTGATCCAGTGACCTCAAAAGGGGTCATCTAATGGGCATGACTAACATGTATGCCAAAAATAAATACTGTAGGTCAAATGATTCTTAAGTTATTGGGCGGACAAGCATTTTTTAGTCAAAGCCTTTCTGACCTTGACCTTTGATCTAGTGACCTCAAAAGCTGTAGGGGTCATGTACTAGTAATATCCAACCTCAATTCTAAACATGAAGACTTTGATCAAAACATTCTAAAGCAATTGAGTGGACAATCTGTTTGAACTAAAGACCTAGACATTTGACCAAGTGACTTTAAACTCATTAGGGGTTATCTGATGGTCATGACCAACCTTCATGCCAAGTACGAAGACTATGGGTCAAAGGAATATAATGTCATTTGGCGGAAAACCTTTTTAAGTTTAGACCTCTGATCTTGACCTTTGACCCAGTGACCAGAAAATCAACAGGGGCCATTTTATCATCATGATTTATCTCCATGCCAAATATGAAGACTGTGAATCAAATGATTCTTCAGTTATTGGACGAGTAACCCTTTTTTAGTCAAGGTCCCTGTGACATAGACCTTTGACATAGTGACCTCAACTTCAATAGGGTCACCTAATGGTTTTGACCAACCTCAATCCCAAATATTAAGTTATTGGGCGAAGAAGATTTTTTTTAGCCAAGGCCCTTTGACCCAGTGACATGGAAATCAATAGGGGTCATCTAAATATATTCATGACTTACCTCCATGCTAAATATGAAGAATATGGGTTAAAGGATTTTTAAGTTATTTGGCGGAAAAGGTTCTTTTTTGTCAATACCCCTTTGAGCTTGATCTTTGACCTAGTGATTTTAAAATCAATAGGGGTCATCTACTAATTATGACCAATCTCAATATTAAATATGAAGACTGTGCGCCAAAGGATTAATATGTTATTGGGCAGACAAGGAAAAACCGACGCACGACGGACGGCTAGACGGACAAGCTGATTCCAGTATACCCCCTTAAAACTTTTTTATGGTGGTCTATATATCATTCTAACATGCAACATTTATTTCGATAATATAAATGTATGATTTGTTGGGGCAGGTGTTCGCTTATAAATCCTTTCATTTAAGACTGGATTCAAGTTGTTACCCTTAGATGAGCATTGGGGCGATACGTCCTGAGCGCCAATATCTAGGATTCACCGTAATTATAGTCACTGATTTAAGATGTTTTGGGTTTATTTTGTTGAGGTTCATTTTGATTTTTTTCCCTCCTCCCACCCTATCTTTTTCTGAGAAAATGAAAAAAAAGGAAAACTTTGGTCTTATGTTGCTGTTCTGAGAGTGACACAACGTGTTAACACAAAAAACTTGAAGGAGAATTTCTGAAGCAGTAGAACAGATCGGTAATCATGAACATTACATATATATATATATATATATATATATATAGTTATAGGGTGATGTTCTTTTATCTTCAATTACCTTTTCTGTCTTCGAAGTTCCGTTGCTGTTTGCCTTACTATATCCACCGGTTGCCCTCGAAACTATTTTACCTGTTAAAAGTGACATGATGGAGTCTATGAAACTCGATTTCCCACTGTTCACGGGACCATAACATAAAACACGCAGAGTGTTATCGTCAGACATCTCCTGACAAAGATCTTTTATTTCATTTTCTCTGTGCTCGTTCGATCTCTGAAACAAGAATTATAAATTATTATATAACATAACGCCATTTCTTTCATTCATTTTTACACAGTTTGACCTGTACAATCCATTGTTCGAATTTTTGTGTCAGACAATTTACCAGTCTGGTGGTATTCATGAGCTTGAATATTTTTGCTTTTATTTCATTTTAATTATTTATATTTAGATAATTAAATGATTTGTCGGTCAATTTGTTGTTACTCTTTTACAAAGAAAGATTATGAAATAGAGTAAAACATCCCTATAGAACGCCAAAAACACAGTATATATTCAGTAACTCCGGGCAGAAAAATTATGCACGTTTCGTGCAATAAGTAATGCAAAGTTTGTGCAATAAATGGCGGATATCTGACTTCCAACGGGTAAGTAAACTGGCCAATTCAATTTTTTATTTAACCAAAATGAAAAAGGAATTACCGCATACGGCCGTGAAGACATTATTCTTTATCCCTCATCAAGATTATTTCCACGAAATTGCTAACTGTTAAAAGATCATTCGTGAAAATGATGGCTTGACCACCGTTTTTAGTGTGAGATTTGCTTTTTGTCGACTCTTACAAGTACAACAACGCATATTATACCGTATAATTTCAATTTTCGGTAGGCTAGTGTTTTCGCGACAGTATACGGCTATTCACAGTTTGGTTAAATAAAACATAAATTGTCCAGTTTGCTTACCGCGTTCGAAATGTCAGATATCCTCTATTTATGGCACAAATTCTGCATTACTTTTTGCACAAAACATGCATAATTTTCACATTCCAGCGTTACTGGATATACACGGTGAAAAAATAATCCGGCAAAATTGAAAATGTTTCATGCTCGCAAGGACGGATATATTAGGCGATCGTCCACGCCTACTTCCATCGGCTTTAACAGAATTTAAAATACAAATGTTTTAAATTTTAAATTCAGAAACATCGGCAGATGTGCCCATATTGCTATTTTCATGGAACCTCCCATGTAATTTGTCTTTGCCATCTCATCGAAAGCGACGTATAATCCCCAGGTAAAAGAATACATGTGCTCTAAACGACAAAACAATTGGTCGAACTAAATAAAATGCAAGAAAGTAGATAAGATGATATGAAGCTTGCATATCATAAATAAGACACCAAAAGACACATTGTTAAGACAGGCAACATATCCGAGTGGTAATTGCCAATGACCTCCAGATTGTAAAATGAAATCGGCATACATAAAATTTCAATTTAAACATGGGGACAGATCTAGTTAGGTATAATGCGTAAATCATCAGTACTGACATCTTAATTAAAAGAAAGTTGAAACAAGAGCCGGTTGAACCGGGTGATGCTCCCCGAATAGGTTTTGGACACAGAAAGGTATACCTCTTGTAGTGTCAGAGTTAAGTCACAAACAAAGTTCAAAGGGTAAAAACAACCCAAGTGTTGCTCGCGACAAATTGTCTCAATATGGTGATCTTTTCTGTGAAATATTTGTAAAATCAAACTTCAAGTAACGAAGGCATGGGCTGGATACGATTTTGCTGCAAGGTCATGCTGTGACCTTGACGTTCAAAGTAGCGACCCAAATGTTGCGCGTGACACATCGTCTCAATATGGTGATCATTTCTGTGAAATAGTTGTAAAATCCGACTTCAAATAACGGAGTTATGGGCCGGACACGATATTGCTGCAAGGTCATGCTGTGACCATGACCTTCAAGCTAGCGACCCAAATTTTACGCGCGACACATCGTCTCAATAGTGTAAGGGACTGTGAATGTTTATCAACTAAATTACTTTTAGGACCTTGTAATGAATATATCAGTTTAAAACAAAATATGTTTTATGACAATTTGAACATCAAACTAGCATAATTTATTGATGAGTGAGGTAATACTGTTCAGTCAATGCTTCAAACTTACCTGCCAGGATTCCTGAACTTTACCGGTCAGGATTCCTGAACTTGCCTTAGCCATTCATATTTGCTGAGTTTATTTGTTTAGATAATTTTCTGGTAAATGAAGGAATTAAGAACATGATATAGGATATTCTGAGGCTCTAGGACTATATAAGGCACACTAACAAAGTTTATACTTCAAGAAAAGGATTAATTTACTATTATGTTTATCCTGGCATCATAATGGCTAATAAGAGTTGTCTACCTTGATTCGAAACTTTAAATGCATTTATTTTCATAAACATATACAAACACTTATCATTTTACATGTAAGAACATAGAATGCAATCCATATTTACCTAAGACATAAGTTACTTTCCAAATAGTTAAGTGGCATTGCTGTATTTTATAATAATCTTGATGACCGGTATGACCTCTAAGTTTGTCAGGAGGGAAAATTCAAGTTCCTGGCACTTGGAATCTTTTTATATCAATAGTTCATTTTTCTAAGCTATAACCATGATTGTTTTTGGTCCAGATATTAAGTGCATCAAGTTAAGCATGTAATTCAAGTGTTTATTGCATATTTTGTTATTAGTTAACTTTGTTAATTTACATTTTTCTAAATTATTCCTGTCAATATGGCTGCCATTTTAAGAAATTCCTGTCTTTCCTGCCAGACTGCCAGGCCAAATGGAATGTTATGATTGGTCAATTGTGACAGTCCTGACCATTTCAGAGTCTATATAAGTAGCCATGATAGGCTGTGTTCAGTTTGCATTTTGGCTTTAAACCCTGACAGTCGTGAAAACTTGTGACAAAGCATTTTGTGGAACTTTCTATTGTTAAACATAGCAAATTTAGTGCTTTTCAGAGTTGAATAAAGAAATTGTGGAATTAACTTTTTATCAATAAAAGTTGTTATTTGAACAGTTTTTGACTTAGCTTACAATTGTTACAATTGGTGTCAGAATCAAAGGATTAAAGGAATTGTTTACATTTTTCCTGGAATTGACCTTGAACTTGAAGACTTTTATAAAATACCAAAAAAGGAATTGTAACTACACAAAAGTTAATCACCATTAAAAAAAGAAAAAAAAGAAAGAATATAATAATAATGTCAGACTCTGGAAGTGAAATTGTTTTTACAAATACAGAAGACAATAATATTAGGTCTTCCTCATGTGATGAAGTAAATAGAAATATACAATTAACAGGCCAAATGGGTGACAATGACTCAGAAGCAGGGGGTGACCAAAATATTAGCAGAAGTCCTTCGCAAACTCAAAGGCAGAGATATCTTGAACTGCGCACTAATAGAAGTTATTCATTCTTTCCTATACATCATAGAAGTCAGAACAATTCAATAACTTTGAAGCCAGACCTTTACTCAGGTGAAAGTGATTGGGAGATATTTGAAACTCAGTTTGAGGTATGTGCAAAGTTAGGGAACTGGAATCAACACACAAAGGCTCTTGTTTTGGCAGGCTCTCTTAGAGGGAAGGCACTTGAATTTTATAGTCACCTACCCACTGACGAATTCGGGACGTACGTCCGTACGGACGGACGGACGACCCGACGACTACATGCTCCCTCGAAATTTTTCTGGGAGCATAAAAGCGTCAATTTTTCGTGTTTCATTTTTGCACAATCTGCTTCGTCACTAACGCTAAAGCACATATAAATAGGAGAAGAAATGTCATCCAAAATGGTCACGTTTCACAACAATCAAAACTTTTCGGCCCTCTCCGTTAGTCTTCGGATAAGGACTTTGAACTCAATAGTATGATTAAACAGAGCGGATACAGTAATTCGGTCTAACATACTCTAAGAAATTGACTATATAAACAAATTACAGTAATTTAATACTTGTTGACAAGTTATTTCCCAAAAAAACCTGTAGACATTAAGTTGTGTTTAAAATTATAGATCAGTGGGCATATTGAATTAAACATGGTTGTCATTGTTTTTCATTACCGAAAATCAACATCTGAAACCAGGTGGTAGAACTACTTTCAATCCGTATTAACTCCGAGGTTTTATGAATAATAGCCGAGGACGTTCAAATTGGTATCACAACAGTGATTAGGAAAGATCTCGGTATCCGGTACGCCCTGGTCGTTTATCAGTGTTCGCCCACTAGTAGGCCGTAGTGATATTTCAAGTTACAGTATAGATCAACACACTGGTCATCATTTATATGAATAATTAATCATTTGTTAGTTTGAGTGCCACGAATTACTACAGATATCAAAACCAAAGCAGTTTCATCATTTCAATGACTGTTTGATACGATTACGGATTGCGTACATCCGGATCACAGTTCGTGATATTGTCTCTGTAGAATCACGTTGTACTAAATTTAAAACCAGACGGCCATGATTACCCATATATCGCTCACCTGATTATTTAGGCAGACTGGCAATGAATAAAAGGCAGATAAAATGCCATAATTTTAAACTGATATCATAACATTCATATCTGCACCTGAGACTGTTAATAAGGTTTTTTCGTAAATACCTTTTTATGTGCTTTGACCTTTTTGACATCAGATGCCCCTTATTCAAACCTGAACTGGAAATCATTCAAACAATCTTTCTGACCAATGGCCATGATATTTGGGCTTTAAAATGTAACCTCTAGTGTGACAACATGTTTTTTTTTCCTTTTTAGGTCTGTGTGATTAACGCTTCGTACAAGTTATCTAATGATTGCTAGCCGCATGGGTTCCAACCCCCTCAGGGGCTAATCGTTTCCTTAATTAAGAAACTTTACACTCATTGCTCAGTATTGTTTGGTTTCAGGAACTGATTTGGAAATGTGTCTATAAGCTTATAGCTTCCTACATAATCAAATTAAAATAAATTATGTATAAACCAAGCCTATGTGAACTAAATTTTGACCATGGATGACCAATGTTCAAAGCTGAGCTTGAAATCATCAAAATAAAATTCTGGTAAATTTTCAGGAAATTTGGAATGAAAATATTACCTCTAGAATGTAAACAATATTTTCCATATTTTGGGTTGTGTGACCTAGTTTTTTTACCCCAGATAACCCATATTCAAACATGACCTAGAAACCATCTAAACAACCTTTCTGACTAATTTTAAGGATATTTAGACCTAAACAGTATGCTTTACAGTGTTAGCAAGGTTCAATATTTGCGCTGTGTAACCTAGTTTTTAACTACAGATAAACTATATTTGAACTTGAGCTAAAAATGATACAAACAACATTTCTGACAAATTTCCAGGATATTTTGACCAAAAACTATAGCCGAGGTTTTTCAATATTTGAGCTGTATGATCTACTTTTTGACCCAAGATGACCCAAAATCAAACTTGAGCTAGAAATCATCGTTTTAACCAATTTCCAGGATATTTTGACAAAAATCTTAGCCTCTAAAGTATTAACGAGGTTTTCCATATTTGTGCTGAATGACCTTGTTTTCGACCTCAGATAACCGATATTCGAGACTGCCATATAAATTACAAAAACATCCTTTCTCACCAATTTCCAGGATATTTGGACTGAAACAGAAGATAGTTTTTAAGTATTTACTATATACATATAAGGAAAATCAATGACCCCTTGGTCGCGGCAAATTTTGACATAAGGGCTATAATTTGAACAATCTTGGTAGAGATTCACTATACAATGTTTCATGCCAAATATCTACACCACCTAGCCTTTGTCAATTGAGTGAAGATGATGTGCAATGTGAGTTAAAAAATAAAAATCCATATTATAACAAAAAGCTTTATGCCCTGGACGGAAAAGCGAATTGTCTGTTTTCAGAGAAAACTGTTAAAATATGAATGTTTAGAAGTGTCATTCAGATTTTTTCAACTATACAATCTGTTTGAATAGAGCTATTGAAATATTAGTAAGACGGCATTTTCTTTGTTACATTCTTGAAGCTTGCTGTTTAAAGACTGCGAGCGTGTGCCAACAAGGAAAGAATTACTATATCAGTTTACCAGCCGTTATTCCACAGAAAACTGAAAATGCATTTCATTTATGTATATTGAGATAAGGCAATTTTGAATATGTCAAAACAAATGCTGATGCGGGTATATTAAAACAGTGTGCAGTTTTGCTGAGAGTATATATGACAGTGATCTTATACTTACGCAGACTTGTAATCGTTTAACACGCATGGACCAACTATTATCCTCGTCCCTCAATGCTCCTTAAAAGAAAATTTATAGTCAATGCTGATAATCATATGATACAGTATTTAGATACAAGCGTTTAATATCAACAATTTTGAGGCCCTTAGAAGGAAAATATACAAGACGGCAATGAAGACAATTAATCCAATGCCTTTGAGCAAATTAAATGGCAATGCTAAACAATCTTTGTTCTAACTTAAGCTTTAAAAGGGGGTTGTTGAAAGGTTATTTTTCTAAAAGGTTCTTATGTCTCGTAGATCTCAGACAACAGGGGCAATTTTTGACATTAAAAATGAGGTTTGATTTGAACAAACTTGGTAGTGATTTATAAAACAATAAGGGTGTCTTTTAATAAAGGCCTATAACTGACTTGTGTTGTCATTTTTTCATTTGTCTATAGTGATCACGGTGGGGGGAGGGGGGGAGTCATGCCTTAATGTGAAACATTGAAGGTTCCATGATAACCACCGTATGAACAAATCTGCAAATATTTCTTGAATCAAAACTCCCAAAAACACGTGTCTAAATATTTAAAAATAAAAAAATAACAAAACAAGGAAGAGCGGCATTCAGTGTTGGGTTAAGCGTTCTCTGAATGGCAACCTTTCTTGTTTATCTTATTTTTCATAGTTTTAACTGAATAAAATGAATTCTTGAAATTCTATCACATTAACATCATTTTTGGACCTTCATATTAAAGCCTTTTACAGCTTACTCCGGAGAGGACAGCGGACGCTGGACTACTGATAATTGGTTGGTTAGTTTACATTTCTACCTACACCGACAACATTTTCTCTTTAACTGGGCTACTTTGAACACCTGTACAACCCTTTAAACACTCACTGATACATGCACACTGATGCATGACTAAGTGGTAAATGTTTATGTATATTATTAACATGGATCTCTCAAACTTGTCATTTTAACTCACACAACATATTTTAAAAAATAGAGAAATGAATAAAAAATAACCTGATGATAATTGTCTACTTTTAACTGGCGCCAATAATACGATGTGATGCGGAGGGAGCTATTCTGGAGTCTGTCTGTCTGTCCGTTAGTCGGCTTGTTTGGGATATTGTCTTAATATTACTGCTCCGGGTATTTCTTGACATTGGTAACTTTTACCATTGTTAAAAGTACTCATTGGTACCACAAATTACTGAACAGTCCCCAAGAAATGAACACCGGCAACATGTATTAAATAAACGTCTGTCGTTATCAGGATCGCTTTCATTTTCATCTCCTTCCCTTTCCTTAACATTGATGCTTAGGCGTAAGCCCTTATTTAACACAAACACGAATACAAGACAGTCTGCTTAACTTAATACATTTGTTATTGTTCGGATCTAGCGCCTGATTTAAATTCTTTCGGTTTAACAAAAAAATATTAACGATGCCCAAAAAAGTAGACTGTTGCTTGATTTTCAACATTGTTTATATTTGTTGAAAATATGCTATGCATATTTAATAAAACTGGAGAGAAAAATCTGAAAAATCTTGGGATCTTGTAGTTTAACAGGGAACTGTAAAGCAGTTTTCGAGAATGTCGGGAAACATCGACTATAATTTATGGTATACAATAGCCTAAATGGAGTCAATCGTCCATCCGTCGTTTTTGCTTCAAAGTTGACTCGAATGTTCACCTTAACACAGTTAAGTGCAGGATCTATGCCACTGCTGTATCGTCTCAAGGTAAAGATCACAAAGTTCTAAATCCCTTGAAAGAGTTCCTTCAGCATTGGCTCAAAAAAGATCACCTGAACAAGACAATGTACATAACCCATGCAACGGATATACAGACTCGAGGTCAAGGTCAACCCATAACAAGGTGTGTTTTTCCGAGAGTAAAGTGTACAAGGAATTAACATTTATATTTGTCCCATAATGTCATCTTAGTGCGTGCAGGCGACGACTAACAACATTCGACCGAATTATAATTTTATCGTCTTAAGGATTAGACTTATTTGGATTTAATGTCAAGATACGAGGGTTGTCCAAAAATCCGTGACAAATTTTACAGACGGTTTAGTTATAACGCCAATAGATAATATTCACACATTCAACCTAAAAATTTATTATTTTACGTAACAACAAATCATTTACAAAGAATCTACTCTAGTTACTTAAAAAAATCAATCAATATCACGACATTGATTTGTGTTCCCGGCGCACGTCAAATAATTTGCATTTTGTTATGAATAGGCATAAATAAGTCAAGTAAACTTCAAATAATTGATGATGTGTCTGCACAATATCACGTTGATCCCCCTGCTTTGTTTACATGATCTCAGAAAATTTCAGTTGGAAATTTGTAAGAAACGTACGAGATACGGTAAAATGAAAATATCTCATGGAAAAAAAGAAAGTTAAAATGGCGACGTCCGAAGAATTAGCGGCGCAGTGAATAGTTATCAGGTTTTGTGAGTATTTCGGGATGACACATGTTAAGATTTTTCAACAAATGTGTCGAATAGAACCAGAGTTCTGTACTACAGAATTTAAAAATAAGGAAAAAAACGGATAGGAAGACAGATCTTAACCGCCTATTTTCCATAGGTAAAGCAGGTGCAAAAATTTAATGTATGCCATCAAAACATTCAACAGAGACTAACAACCACATGGTTAAAGTTTGTTTTGACGATTTATTGGTAAATCTGCAACGTTCATGCGTTGAATGCCACTGAGAGTATTTGCGGAAGTTGCTTTATATAGTTTTAACGCCATCTCTGACGTTTGACGTGCGCCGGGATTCAAATAGTTGTCATGGTATTTATTGCATATTTGTGTTGGTAATTGATATCTCTCTTTGTAAATTTGTAAAAATGTTTCCAATGGGTTTATGACACATTAAATATCAAATTCGTACCTATTTTATTATGGCTTTTAAACAATCTTGTCACAGAATATAGGGGCAACCCGAGATTTCTGCTTTTTTATAATTCAAATATTTGTTTTATTATTAAAAGAAGAATAACATCAAGCAATATTTGAAGAATCTTATTTGACATTAGGCAATATATAAGGTGTAGTAACCTTTACAATTCTTAAATTTTATACTTGATGCTTTTCACGTTATACATGTGTTTGTCTAAGCGTTTTCTCCTTGACTTATTCCATTGTTCCAGAGACCCTTATAAACATTTTAACATAACATATACTATGACCATTGTAATGTTCTACATGCTAAATTTAATCATTATAGATACATATATATTTAATTATCATTACCTCTGTGGTGGAAAAGATGATCCCTTGTGATTTGCATCATGGAATGCAAAGCTTCAATCACAAGTTTATTTTTTCCTGGCGTAATTTCTTCGTGATCATTTATGTAGTTGACAATTGGAAATATATGTCTCAGTTCAATACCAAATGTCTCAGACATTGCGGAAGTCTCATCTTTAGCTTTAGGACTCAAATAAATATGATCAGCATCCTCAGATATTTTCGGACAAAGGTGATCAAATTTTGTTGCGACAGCTACTAAAGGAAGTCCTGAAATAGAAGACTGAGCGTAAGAACAGACGTATTGATGGGAAGTGATTTTGGTATGATCTATGGAATAATACATTTTAGGCACCTATATAGACCACAAGTAATTCAAATGGCTTGATGAAAGATACGTTGAATGCGCAATTTAGATTCATATTCTTTTTTATTATTTATATCATAAAGAAACCATAAATCATATTTAAAAGAAGATACCATTGTAAGGGTAAGTCTGATTTTGACAGGCTTTTACGGTTAAAAGTATATACTATGACACACACTTACACACGCGCACACAAAAATATACGCATGCACGCACACAAACAAAAAACTACAAGAAAGAATTGAGGATATGAAACAAAAACATATAAGGATTGGACCCTGGGAACGAAACAATTCCTTGATGAAACTGAGTTTGTAACTGAAATGTCCAAATGCTAGTAGTCCACAATAAATCAATCACAATTTGAAAAAAAAGAGTAAAATATCATTAGATCAAAGGATATCGCTCGGTAAGAAACCTTAACAGAATGGAAAAACTTTTCTAACATTCAAATTCTTATACAGTATAGTCAATATTTGAATGCATTCTGTCCATTAAAATTAAATTTGGAATAATAATAGGAAAATAACGAATGTCCTGTCAATTCCTGATTTGACAAATTCTCGGTTTCAACTTCACGAATTCAATTTTGATTTCAACTTCACGATTTCACATTCATGAGTTATAGATTTCACGAAATTGAAATCGTGAATTTACGAAGTTGAGATCGTTCATTCGTGAAGTTGAAATCGTTGTGCGAGAAATTTTTATTTAAAAAAAACATACATGTAGTTAACGAAAATTAAACAAAGGGCATCACCTTGAAGTAATCTATGAACCAGAACATGTCGCATATAGACCTTCCTACAATACGATTTTTCCATAGTAACGAATTCTGTATTTCGCGCATGCGCATTCTGCGTACGGCAAAACACACAATGACGATGACTACATTTTATCATATTTAAAACCTTTTCAAGTTATGTCACCCAGAAAACAGTAATTTTGGCACTTAAAACGTAAAACGTATCTTTAACAGATGTACGAAAATATAGGGGGACTAATAATTCTATGAAAAAAGAGCATGTTTAAGGGTCCTCTTATATAGATATCACTGGACGACTTTTCCATCTGAAATTTAAATTGAACCAGCAGGGTGTTAAATATTTAATTTTATTACCCCTGTAATACATATTATTGCATACTTTGTATTGTACACTTCCTTTAACTAAGCGGATTGGCAAGGCAGTAAGTGTCAAACAGATTGGCACGCGACCGGTTGTTTTTTCCAGCGAGTTTATAATATTATTCAACCGGGACGTTTTAATACCACGTCGTAGTTCATCAGTAAAAATATGAAAATCGTAATCTAAATAACAATCTCATCAGTTTTTATTGATTTTTTTATATGACAAATAGTATGACGTTTTAAATGTGTTACGAGGAACCGGATGTTAATAGTGTGTTACTTCACTACCCACTACTCATCTCAATATTTTGAAAAAATATGTAAATATGTTTATGTGATTTTAAAATTGTCTGTCCGGCATCAGTTGGATAAAGGATAAAATCAGGTAAATTGAAAACTTAAAATGCATTATCACGTGTTCTGACTTTTTTCAGAATGATAATTAACCTCGATATCATATATTTTTAAATTTTCTTTAGGTTTTATATAAATTATTTCAAAAACAATTATGATGAACTCTTTATTATTTGCTATAATAGATATTTTTTTTACAACAATTTAAATGTCAATGTCAGTTCCGTGGTCGTAAGAGGGAATTATTTATCTCTTTATCAAAATTGGCCACAGAGCTATAAAGGCATCCTTTATGTTTTTGTTAAAAGCTATTTCATATAATTTTCTACCTTTTTCCATAAACCAACTCGAAATTGGCTATGAACTTCTACTATATTTCTTTGTAGGGCGATCTCTTTTTGCCCTACGCAGATTGCACATGCGCGAGAAAAGCGGCTAGCGACCTTAAAAGGTCTATATGCATATCTTGTCTTTGAAGTGAAACTCTATGTACTATTAAAATTCCATGATTTCTGAATAGTCCAGAATAAAATACTTGATTAAATGAACTATTAAAGCCCAGTGGGGGCTTTCTACATAAAGGTGGCCCTGTTTGTAACAACTTATCTGATTGGTCAGCCAAACAGAATTCAGCAATAAATTTTCAAGGGCTTATTAGATGTTTACATTACTATCCTAATAATAGGTAGTAATGCATGGAAAAGTTAAACATGAAAAAAATTTAATTTGTTTTACAAAAGATAATAATAATGACTAAGTATTACAAAGTAATTAAAAGAATCAAACTACTTCTAAGAAACTAAAATTATTTATAAACATATGCTAAATAAAAAACTAGTATTTCATTAAGTTTAAAGGCCAGTGTAAGTGACATTAGAACCAATCTCTTTATAGTGTGTGTAACTATAGAAAAGAATGTTACTCTATTCTGGGTAACGGTAAAATAAGGTATCAATACAAATACAATTAAATTAAGTATAATATTTAATATTAAACTAGTAAATGATAAGAATAAAATGTCCATAAAACACAATAGTTAAATATTTAATATTATCAAGTATTAAGATAAATTAAATTTTAAGTCGAATATTCGGGCCTTATAACTTTTTCTGTATAATACAAATTTTTAAGTAAAATATTAATTATGTATATTATGTAATCCCTTCGCTTATTAATAAACCTGTTTCTAAGCTTGGAAGTGTCGTAAAGTAAGGAAACTGGAGCCTTCACAACAAGGTGAATAGAAAACCGTGTCATTTTAGAAAATGAATATTATTTAATGGACAAAATCTCAATAGTAATGAGGCTTAAATTAAAGTTACATTAAATAAAATTTTTTCCATTAAAAAAGGAAATAGCGACATTTCATTAAAAGGTTGGGTTTTTCATATCGACTCCAGATCTTATTTTTGGGTTAGTCCAGACAAACCAGAAATGAGTTTAATGAGCATACAAATGCCTGCAACCTTATTGGGCGAATTCGGAAAGTACAATTTCTGTTTGACATGAGAAACTCCGCCTTCAGATCATCCGTACATCAATATTAAATCAACAAACATGGACTATAAGTAGCAGTCCTAAATTTTAACGGTAATATTTTCCGCCATGTAACGGATATTTTCATACAAATTTAATCTTTTTTATGAGATGATTATTTTTTCTGAACCACAGGCCTCGTGCACCGTGAAGCTTAAACGGGTAAAAGTGTCGTCCTTGCACAAGAAAATCTTAATTTTGCTGTGTTCCGGATAGCACCTATAACACCGTGACGTAGCCGCATACACGAGCTGATTATAGTCTTCATTTGCATGTTAAAATTCGTATACGAACTTTAGTGTTACCGTGGGGGTTTTCCATTTAAAATCCTAATTTATGAACAATATTTGATGAGATTTACAACGATACTGTTAAAAAGGTTAATGAAAAACTGTAGAATGCTTTGGTTTTTAGGCCGACGGCAAAAACTATTTTAACATATTTATTCAATGTAGCTTTAAGTGTTGGAACACTGAGTACCGCTATGCTGAAGTGCTAAGGGAGCGTGAGGAAGTGTGCCCACCTATTCATTATCCCTTCATGTTACAGACTCAATCAAACACCGAGTTCTGCCAAATTCTTATGTTAAATTTTGTTGTGAATTATCTTCCGAGGCGCACCACTTTGTTTCTAGGATTTTTTCGTGGGCTCATACAATTTGATACATTTAAAGCAGTCTTGTTGAATTTAATCATAAAGGGGAGCAGTAACTTTTGGTGAAATACATTCAACCAAAAATGCTACTATTTCGCAAACCTTCTGTTGGAAATCGGAAGTATTTTTATATGAAGTTCCTATGGATTCCAGTAAGTGATTGCTGAGAAACAATACGGACAAAAAAGTACACCTGAGAAGATGCTAAAGTACTAAATAATCTTTAGAAATATCAATGAGCAGAAGATGCTGCAAATATGAATCAACCACATAATGATGAAGCTTCATATGATTTCGACGGATCTATGTTTATGAAAAAAATCATGGAAAAACATGAAGTGAAAAAAATATTCATTTTTCAGCAATCATCAATGTTGAAACATGTTGCTGTTGTGAACACCTAATAGTAAAGGGACTTTTTATAAAAAGTTATGTACTTAGCCTGTAGTTTCTCACAATTACTCTGAACACAAGAACATTGATGGTCAATAAAGGCTGTTAAAGTAAGAAATCTTATTTTTGCACAAGTGACATTGACCCTAGTTATTCCTAGCTCCATCTAAAGTAATAGAACAACCAAATGTATCTACACATGAAATACATTAGTCTATAAATAAAGGTTGCATAAACAAAATTGTAAAACTCGTTTTTATCAACCTTGCAACATTTACTTTGACCCGAGTGACCACTGTTCCTCCACCAATGTCATAGTACCAACTAAAGTTTTACCTTTGCTTATTTGTCTGTTCAGGTTTAATGTCGACACTGACACAATACTGGTCATACCGACCCGAACACAATGATAAGAATATTTAAACTGAGTCGCACCAGCGAGATAATTAAATATTAGAATATAAGTTTACTTCCTTTACGTAATCGATAAGGGCTATAATTGGAACTGAGGAATAATGTTCCCAAGGTGATTTGACTCGATAAAATCTATCACAAACATGTGCAAAATCATAACATTCAAGATGGAAATGTTTGACTGTAAAATATTCATTGCAAGCTATACATAAGTGAGTATTTTTTCAATTTGACCACAAGCAGTTATAAAGAAATTTGAGATGGTGATTTATAAAGACATGAGTTGATATCGTGAACTTTGTTAAATATACCTATGTCCCTATTTGATTTCCATTCAGATGAAATAAGTTTACTTATTAAGGGTTTAAAATCGCCGTTTGGTAGCAATAAATCTAAATGAGAATAAAAACATTCTGTAGCCAA